TATACTGCGGCATTACTATTATAATGCATTATAATGAATTGTAGGCATTATAACTCATTATTACCACGTGGGAATGAAATGTTGCAGAATGAATTGAAAAGCATGTTGGCAAAATTTATTACAAAAATAGTATAACATGTAGGTACATAACATGAAGGTAATACAAATTAAATGATTAGAGCGTGTATATTTTATTACATTATAGGTATATTATTATCATTTTTGTCATTGTTGGAAATTTTGATAGTTTGAAATTTGATAGTTGATAGTTGAAAATGTTGGCACTTTATTTAGTTAAGGTGATTCGTAGAAATAGTTATTCCTAAAAATCATGTTAAAGCAGAGAAGTACGGCAATGACGTAAGTACGTTTTCATTGCCATACTGCAAGGAAAAATTTCCGTCCGCAATCCGAGCAATTCCAAAAGGAAAAAAACATATATATAAAAAAAGAATGATCACATAGAAACATTCACATACAAATCCATCCCTACCGAATATGTGACTGGCTTCGACATCATCTTGAGATACTATTCGGAAATCTTAAAATTTAGACGAATCAGCTTCATACAAAACGAATATCAAAAAACGAATTTAGAAAATTGGTGCCCTCCGGTCTGAAATCGCTTTATAGACCATTGAAAAGCCCTATGGAAAATGTCAACTTTAAAATCGAATTTTTAGGGGTCCCGCCCGCATTGGCCCTAAACATTAACGTGAATATTCCATGAGAATTTGCCAGAAATTGTTCAACAATGATTTTCTTGGCGGGGTGTGACAATATTATTGATTTTCTTTTTTAAAATAAGGGCGTTAAAGTTGGTTTGAGTTAAAAAGATTCCTGCTTGGCAGGCTAGGGTTGACAGAAAATCCTTCGGCGCGTGGGGAGTGCGGCGAGTCTGCAGAAAGGAAACCTCGATGTTCCCGACTGAGCACCAAACAGTTGGCGATGGAAATTCGCAGGATGGAAATTTCATATGAATAACGTAAAAATAAAATGACAAAAAAAACATATGTGAGCAGTTGCGGAATTTCCCGTTTACACACGATGTACACGAACAGAACTCTCCGACCGCTGAGAAAGATCCGGCAACACCGCAACACTCGAACAATCGGGACGGTAGCCGTAGAAACGCTCGTTCCGTATACAACAAAAGGGCGACCGAGCTCCGGTCGTCGTTTCAGAGTAGACCATCAGAGTAGCCGCGACGCCTACGCGGAGGGACTCGCGGCGCCCCCCCCCCCCCCCGGCCAATGCCGGCCGAAGGCCAGCTCCGCCGAACCCGCAACGAATGAAGGGACCGCACGGCAAAAACGCGGCCCCGATCGACCGACGAGGAGGGCGCAGAAACGAATTTCCCAGAAACGTTCGAAGGGCACCAGGGCCTCCCCGGATCGCCGGATCACGATACCCGCCCTTATCGGACGTCGGCACCGTAGGACCCGTCCGCCGACGGAACCACGAGCCCAGGGGACGAACGGGGAGGTACGAAGTGACCGTTACAAGGAATCGACCGACGAAACGGTCCGAGGGGCACCGCGCCCACCCCGGGAGTTCGGGGTCGAAAATTCAGCGGGGACGGGACGCCGGCCGGCCGGGGGCCCCCGCTGACCGAAACCCCAGGCCACGGGCCGAACGTGACGGGAGCGGTGGCGGTTTTTCCGAAAACGGTCGCGGGGCCCCAGCGCCCCTCCCGGGTCGCCGGATCCGAAATCCGACCTTATCGGACGTCGGCACAGTAGGACCCGTCCGCAGACGGAACCCCGAGCCCGGGGGACGAACGGGGAGGTACGAAGTGACCGTTACAAGGAATCGGCCGACGGAACGGTCCGAGGGGCACCGCGCCCCCCGGAAGCGCAAAAAAACGAAACGGCCGGGGGGACAAGGAGCCGATAGCCGGGACGCGACCGCACGTGGAAGCGCGACCGGAAAGACGCGCGCCAAGCCGAGGGACGGGCGAAAAACGGAACCACCCCCGGGGCCCGTAGCAACCCCCCTGGGGGTGGGAACGGGAAAACCCGCGGAGGGAACGGAGACCCGGCCGCGAGGGGTCCGCCGAACGAACATCAAGGGCGCGGGACGCGCTGGGACGGCGTGGCGGGGACCGATGTTCAGAGGGTCGCGGGGTAAATCGTAAAACTTTATATAAGAGATAAAGAAACATGAGTAAACGATAGACACAATTCAATTCAAGGTTAATGGTTATCTAAAATCGTTGCACTAATGAAAAGAAAAAGAAGGTTAAAAGATAAAATATACGATAATTTAATGTCGGAGGGTGCCTCGAGAAGGGAAAGAAAAAATGGACACCAAAGGTCAAGAATGACAAAAGTTGGCAGAAAAAGGAAGGTAAGGTTGGTTACCAATTTTTGAGAGAGGAACTTTGCTCCTGCCACCTTTAGATGAAATGGTCGGCGTTCTGCAATTAGGAACAACGATTTCTGGCTCAGTTTAAAAACAACGTATGTACCATTAGTTACCCAATGCACATAAGAGCTTTTACGGATGAACCAGAAATCATAGTTCCGAATTGCAGAACGCCGTCTATTTCATCTACAGTTAGCAGAAGCAGTGTTTCTCTCTCAAACATTAGTAACCAACCTTACCATCCTTTTTCTTCCGACATTTGTCATTCTAGACCTGTGATGTCAATTTTTTCTTTCCCTTCTCGAGGTCCAAATATTTAACACGAATTCTAAAGTGTTCCATCTTGAAAGAGGGGAGAGGAGGATCCAGCAATTTGGCAACACCGGATCCCCTCCATTTAAACCTATGTTAAATAATCGATTCTTGTTGGAGCACCTGGCCCCTCCGAGAATCGATACATTTCCATCGGTTTAAACGGAGAAAAACAGTATTGCAAATTTGCTGGATCCGCCAATGAGAGGGGGGGGGGGGTGTCATTAAAATGTTAAAAATCGGGGCAGTGCCGTTCCACGTTGAATAGTAGGTATAGACGAGGAAAAGGGAAAGGGAGAGGGGGAGGGTATGAAGTGAGAGGTATTCAGCGCTTGTTACGCAACTCTGTGGCGACGCGACAGGAAGGAGGGTTGTCTGAAAACGAATGTGCTGTCGGCAGATTTGACGGGCGGCGAGCGAAGAATTTGACTCGAAGAGGTCTGATAAGACAGACTGGCTGGGTCTTTTGCCTGAAATCCTCGGAGCCTGAAAGAATTCCTAGAAAAGGGTGTTCGTGAGAGTGTGCGTACCTACCGCATCCGGTCTTGTCGGACACGGCTGGGTCGAGTTGACCGGAGTTTGTTTTCCCGCCGATTCTGCCGTACTAAGAGAGGACGCCGGATGAATTTTCAGACGTTGCCAGATTTGCTCTATTAAAATCTGAATTTTCAGGGAAATCTGTGAAAATTTTTCCGTCTATTTTTCACAGAATTTTATCCGCAATTATATCTAAATGATTTGACACTTTCTTCACAGAATTTTATCCTCAGTTAAATGTAAGGGATTTGACGACAATTTTTAGCAGAATTTTTATCCGCAATTAGATCTAAATGATTTGATAAGTTTGAGAGAAAAAGCTACGACTGTCTTTCAAAATAAACATTGTATTTGAGGAAGTTCGGCAACTTTCGAATGCTCATACTCATAGTCAATTTTTCACAGAATTTTATTCGCTATTAGATCTAAACGATTTGACACTTTCTTCACAGAATTTTATCCGCAGTTAAATGTAAGGGATTTGACGACAATTTTTAGCGGAATTTTTATCCGCAATTGGATCTAAATGATTTGATAAGTTTGAGAGAAAAAGCTACGACTTACTTTCAAAATGAACATTGTATGTGAGGAAGTTCGGCAACTTTCGAATGCTCATACGGCGTTATTACTCAATATGGCAGAATTGGACTACATTTTACATTGAGAAATTATAGTTTTTGTCTCATCCGTAAGAACACCTATGTCTATGGGGTCTAAGTTTCGAGAAGTTTAGGGGCTACTTCGAGAAAAATAAATTTGAAATTACAGAATCACACAGCCGAATGTTGGAAAGGAAGTGCAAACTGATATTTTTACACTTATTAATTATTGGATTTTAGTTGTGAATTTTTCACGGAATAGGTACATTTCCAGACTATTTATATGCCTATTTTATAACTATTTTCGTTATACTGTGTGAAATCAAAAATATGTCAACGGTTTTCAAAAGCTTCGCTACTGCACATCAGCTCCCCCCCCCCCCCCCCNCCTCAGAATTTTGAATGAAATGGAGCTCTCAACATTTTCATCTCGATATTCTGATAATATAGTTGGACATTTTCAGGTGAAAATATGCACATAATAGAGCTCGCATAACAATTTCGAATGGGTCTGATGGGCCTGGCTCTTACTTTTCTTTCTTTCCAGTGCGAATGAGATTAAAAGGAAGCAGCACTGGGATATCTAGTATTGCTAGTCTCATGGAGATGCATTTTGAGCGATATTCTGAAAAACAATAAGGATATTTACACGGGTTTAAATGGGGGGGGGGGGGGGGGGGCTGATTTCTTCAGCACTATGAAGCAACTGTGATTTTGAGGCTTCTCTAGCCCCTTGGCTATCAATTCAATTCATCCGAAAAGACAAAAGTATGACTGCTTCAAATTTTCATAGGTACTTCTACTCGCAGGGCAAAGAATTCAAGGAATGTTCCGAGAAATATAATTAAGTATTTTCCTTTAAAAATAAAGTATGACAGAAGGTCTGAGATGTAGCAAACCGAGATACGCACTCAAACAATTTTTTTTTAATTAACAGACGTCAGTCTCAGAAAACGCTCTCGCTGCCAAAGTGCCAATAACAAATGCTGAAATGAAACTTGACTTCTTCAGAGTTCAAATTGAGGCAGAAATCTGAGCTCAATTAAAGTACCTGGAGAAAGAAAATGTCTGCGTAAATCTGAAACCTTTGGTAAATGAGTGAAGAAAAGTAGGAACAAGTACATAGCGAAATTCTGTTGCACCTGTCCTTGAATTTCACGAGAGGAGAACGAGCAGGGCCGTATTTCCCATTAGGCCGGGTAGGCCGCGGCCTACAGCGGCAAATTTTGAGGGGCGGCAAATTTTGAAATTCGAGGTTTTTTTTTTTGGTATTATTTATATTTTACACTGAAATGAGTGCTTCTTGATTCGCATGGAACTCGTTCCGTTTTCGAGCACAGTATCAGCAGAGCAGGACGGAGAGGCGAAGGATCCCAGACATGAAAAACGCCACCTATCACACAGCTCCTCGGACTCGGAGGTCCTTATCTCAAAAATGTACAGCTCAAATCCCAGGATCGAATGTCCAGACTCTTTTCGGAGCGGCGGAGCACAATTACACTCAAGATGTGCTAATGTAGGCAGTTTTTGCATATTCATTTCTTCACCACTGGCACCACTGGCTTTATCGCACTACATTATGTCAGGGGTGGAGGGGGCTGATGCTGGCTGGCTTTTTGACGTTGTTTTCATTTTCTAGATTAATTTCTGACAAGCAATTTATATTTCGCAGACATGGTCAGTGTCCCTGTAATCGTTGAAGTTCAAGCATCGAAGCTTGAGCCGTGTAGTAAATTCGCGCAAAAGCGGGCATTTTTGTTTTCGGTTTTTATTTCTTAAAGTTTAATAGTGGAAAATAAAAGATGAGTGACGGCAGGTCGCGACTAAGCGGTCACCAGTACAAACTAAACCGAGAGGAAAAAGAGGAAAAAGAACGCAAGTTACTAAAAAAAACTAAAAAAATCGATTCTTTTTTTGTAAAAAGTGCGAAAAGCCAGATGCAGCCTCCACGCGAGCGCGATACGTCTACGGTAGTTGAAGTTGGGGAAACCGTTCCATCAACAAGTGCGACTAGTGCGGCGAGTTACGAAATTGAAACGGATAACAAAAACGTGTGTTCAGAAGCAGATACTTCCAAATCCCCCGTCTCCGAACAGGCAGTGAATTCAAACATTTTGTTTATTCTCAGTGACGACCCAGTCGAGTGGGAAATCAATGATTCTCTTCGAAATTACGTGGCAAAATATGGATTTAAGCAAAATTTGGATGCCGACTTCAAGAAAAGCAAACGCGAATATAATGATCATGCGCGATATTTTACACGTTCTATGTTCGAGCGAGAACTTAAAAATTGCGAAAAAATTCAGAGGGACTGGTTAATTTACTCTCAAAGCTCAGGTCGAGTTTATTGCGGGCCTTGCCTCGCCTTTAACGGTGGTTCACAGTTTGGCGTTCTAAAGGAAGGTTTCAATGACTGGAAAAATGCGAAACGCTTGGCACAACATGAAAATTCGCCAGATCATAAATCTTCAGTTCTTCAAATGTTGGAGAGAGGTAAAAAACACGGACGGATTGATCACCAGGTAGAACGTCAACTAGAAGAAGAAAAAGTATATTGGAAAAGTGTGTTGAGACGAGTGGTTGAAACCGTAAAATCTCTCGTGTCGCGAGGTTTGCCGTTACGAGGCGACAATGAAACAATCGGTTCGGTCCACAACGGCAATTTTTTAATGGCTATTGAGCTTATCGCACAGTTCGATCCATTTATGGCTACTCATATTGCGAAATACGGCAACCCTGGTAGCGGTCGCACCAATTACCTTTCGTCAACTATTTATGAAGAGTTCGTCGAAATTTTAGCATCGAAAGTGACAGAATTGGTTTTAAGTGAAATACACATCGCCAAGTATTTTTCTATCATTGTGGACTCTACGCCGGATTTAACACACGTTGATCAACTATCTTTAATAATTCGTTATGTTCAAAGTGATGGTACGCCAATAGAGCGATTTATTAAATTTATTCCGAATGTTGGGCATAAAGCTGAACTCATAAAAGACGCTGTGGTGGAATTAATTGAAGAGCTTAAAATAAACATGAATAATTGTCGAGGGCAATCATATGACAATGCTGCAAACATGTCCGGGCCTTACAACGGTTTACAAGCTAAAATTAAACAAATTTCTCCAACTGCCGAATATGTTCCCTGTGCGGCTCACTCACTGAATTTGGTTGGAGAGTGTGCTGCAAAATGTTGCGAATCAGCAGTCCTTTTTTTTGATACCTTGCAAGAAGTTTACACATTTTTCACAGCGTCAACTGCCAGATGGAATATTTTATTTAACCAATATGAGAAAGCAGAGAAAAAGCGAAAGGAATCGAAAGAGAACAAGAGAACACATATCTTGCAAAATCTGTCAAAAACTCGATGGTCAGCACGTTCAGATGCCTGTGTAGCGTTGTTCGAATCCTATTGGGAAGTGATTAGTGCTCTTTTTGACGTCGAAGAAGATGACCAGCAAAATCCAAACGCAAAATGTGAAGCTAAAGGAATTCGTTTAAAGCTTGAAAGTTTTGAAATGGCCTTCATGGTTGTTTTTTGGGGCTTTCTTCTCGAGCGTTTTAATCTAACTAACAAACTGCTGCAAGACCCAGAAATTGATATTTTCACTGCCGTCCAGTTGTACGATTCCTTAATCGCTCTCATTTCTGAGAGTCGTGAGAAGTTTGATGGATTTGAAACCGAAGCAAGGACTTTACTCATGACAGCCGCTGAAAGTTACCAGAAAGATAAGGGGCGAAAAAGAAAAAGAACGCTTCGATCAGGCGAAAAAGCTACGGGAGAGGTGGAATTCAATGGCCGTGACACCATGAGAGTTGAAACTTTCCTAGTGATCATTGACAAACTAATTACCGAACTTAAGAAACGTCGAAATGCGTATGAAATGTATTATGAGCGATTTTTTTTCCTTCTAAATTTAACAGCCCTCAGTTCAGAAGAGTTGAAGAAAAAAGCTGAAGCGCTTGTTCAAATATATCCAGATGATATAGAAGAATGTTTTATTGGCGAATGTATTCAATTTCAAGCTTTGTGCAATTCCCAAAATTACACCGAGGACGCAAAAACACCAACCAAATTGTTGAAAAAAATTCGGAATCAAAATATTCACAGCGTGTTTCCGAATATTGACATAGCTCTTCGGATGTGTGTATGCACGCCAATAGCTAATTGCTCTGCCGAGAGAAGTTTTTCATGTCTACGACGAGTTTTGAACTACCTCCGATCAAGCATGAATGAGGAAAGACTGAGTGCCTTGGGGATTTTACAAATTGAGAACGAGATACTTCAATCTCTGGACTACGAAGAAATCATCGACGCGTTTGCTGCTAAAAAGAGTCGTCGTGTGTTACTGCATTGATTGTGGAGGCACCGCACGGAATCGGTGAGCAAATCCATCTTCTAAAATATTTTATTTGCTTTTTCATATTATCCCTTCTCAATTTTATTTTACCTCCAAAAATATTATATAGAATACTAAAAGTTGGCAAAATTTAGGATGCACAGGGGTGGCGGAACTTCAAAGTCCAAGGACTCCCCGCGGTGAGCTCTGGTAGACTGGTAATTATTTTTTAGCTCCTTAATTTCGCTCAAAATAATCAAATAAAATCCAAAGGTATTAAACCCGGTGACCGGTGTATTGTCACACCTCAAAATCGACACGAAATGAGGCGAAAAATACAGAAAAGGTAGCAAAAAATGGTGTTTTCCAGGTCATTATTTTGAAAATTTTCCGGGGGAGGCCCCCCGGACCCCCCTCGGGCTGGGGGGGGTCCCCCCAGACCCCCCCGGGGCGGCAAATTTTATTCGGCTTCCAGCGGAAAAATCGTAAATCCGGCCCTGAGAACGAGGTATACCTACATACGACAAAATTTGAGTAAAATATAGAGGTACAATTTTACAGTAAATGACACCAAATTTGGGCAGAATTCGAAGAGAAGCGACATGAAAGGACTTTGTAATCAAACCTGACAATCCAGGACCAAAGCCGCGAAGACCAGCATCAAAAAGTTTGTGATTTTGACCAAAAGAACTGACATCCGACATTTCCTTTTCGATGACGATAACACTCGATGGAATTACGCGTAAATAATAAAAACACGAAACCGAGAACTTATATTCATATCTGGAAAGAAAAAGGATAGTCTCTCTTTTCCGAACCAACACGACGAATAACACACAAAAAGTACTCGCACGGCACGAAAGGAAACGAGAAGGTTCGAAACTTGGGTGGTCGCCATTGCAACCTCGCGCTTGGAAACGATTTTCATTCACGATTCAACAGGTGATCACATGGAATAGAACACCGAATCCCGCGAAAAGATATCGAAAACCACGCACTCCCGAGAATTGCACTAATTGAACGACGAAAAGAGTCACCCAAACGCAGGGCACACGAAAACGACTCGACAAGAGACCGGAGTTTCAATTTCATCAAGATGGAGAGCGGCTTTCACCATCCGATTCAAGAGACCAAACACAACGCACGATCGATTTCACACACCAAGAAATATTCGCAAAACGCATCTCACGATGAACATAACACGACAAAACGATATTGGCGTTGGATTGCCCGAAATTACGAGGAAGAAGGCAATGTAAACTATGAACAGACTTCACGCGCGAACCTGTTCACTGACCGATTGCGGCGGCTGTCAGCGAACGAGTAAAGACGCGTGGAGAGGGGTGACCGGGTGTCTCCCGCAGAGCATGAGATCTCAATCACTGATTGGCCGATTGGCGCGTGCTAGGTGTCCTCTGTCTGTCATTGCAGAGGACTTGTTGAAAAACGTTCTGTTGGCGTCGCACCGTGGGTCGAATCATGAGCGTGCCGGACATGGCATTTTGCGCATTTTGGTTTCGTCATCCACGCTGTGTTTCCGCACTCATAAAATCAGTGCCCACGCATTTTCAGTCGCAGAGTTTTTCATGATGATTTTACTGATGAATTAATAATAAGAAAAAATTCCCCAGTTCTCATTTTATTTTCCTGTTGGGAAACAAGCTAACTCTATGGTTTGAAATTTATGTATGCTGACAGAGAAGAAAAATTACGGTGCTGGAAAACGAAAGTTTTTGGGGAAATAGTCGATCTCGGTGCTGCAAAATAATTTACTTATTAACCTTTTTATAGAATATTCTTCCAACAGTGAAGAAAAATCGATGGAGTTTTCAATGACCTACGATGACGATTTTTTCAAGGAAACCATGAAGTATGACAGGAAGTCTGAAACGTAGCAAACTGAGATACGTGGCCGTCGCAACCAGGGTGGCAAAATTGCATGAAAAATAAAATCTTGAAATTTCATGAAATTTTAGAACTTTATGAAAGGCGTTGAAAAATAGGTAAAAATAGGTAAATAGGTATGAGGTATAGGTAAAATAGGTTCCTTTTCATATTTCGGAAAATGTAAAAATCGTGACTTTCTTCAGTTTATAGTGTGATTGAGTGCGAGTTGCATGCTCTAGCGCCTGGGAGCAGGCCCGCCACATCCCATCTCGCTGGTACCAGTTTTAAGGTCCGGGCCCTCAGCACAGAGGGGGGTCCGAGCGGCCTCCTTCGGAAAATTTTTGAAATTTTATATCTACTTGGACGCATTATGAAGCTCCCATGACGGAGATTTCCCATCAGTTTAGCACAAAATACTTTCGGATTGTTGCATTCAAAACGTCTGGAAATTCTTTTCGGGGGGGGGGGGCGGCAGATGATACTATTTTCAATTCTAGGGGGTCCAAGCCCCCCGGGACTCCCCTTTCGTACGTCTATGCAAGGAGGTTGAGTCATTGAAGTCGAGGATGCCCAGACTGGAGACTATCCGACGACGGAGGAAAATGAAACGCAGTTAGGTACTAAAAATATCAAAAAATCTACTACACTATACTATACTAAAAATCTTGAAAACAGATAGAAATATTTGAAGAAGTAAAAAAATTCTACAGTGCCCCAGAGTATTTTTCAAAATTTAATCACCTTTTGCGAAATTTTTAGGGTAAATTTTTTACTTTTCTTTACGAGACAAGAGTTACATGTGAATTCGTAGTGGTTTTTCACCAGTGGCACGGGCCCCGGAACCAGGGACCCAGGATCCCCCCCCCCCCCCNCCCCCCCCCCCTTTGTGGCGGGCCTGCCTGGAAGATATGAAATGTTTCACAGCCTCGTGAAATTTCACTCCTCTCTTACGTTTCATGCCACCCTGCAATTCGGCCGTCGATTTCCCGTGAGTTCCTGAGCCGCTTTGAGAGGCTGTTTGCACTACTGCGCGCACGCAAATGAAAAAACCAATTCATAAAATGCGACTCTTCGGGTGGATGTCTCCATCAAGAAAATTCCTTTCTGTGAGAGACCCAATGTCCGGCATTTTGCAGGTTTCGATCCACCGTGCGTCGCGTCAAGTTCAGCCGTATTCCTTCGAAAAGAGATAAGCGTGTGTCGATTTCTTTCGCACCGACAAAAGGCGGGCCGAGGCTGAGAGGTGTGGTTTACCTGGGTTTACCCTTCCTCAGTAGACTCTCGACCGGATGTTGTACACCGAATCTCCTGCCACCGCTACTGTTGATTCGAAACGGCCGAGACTTTTCCCTAATGCCAAGTCTCGCTAAAAATTAAGAATTGGAACTCAAAATGCAAAATGATGACACGCCCCTTCGTCTAAGAAATCAGGGAAGGGATTTCTTTCTTTTTTTGGCCCGTACTTCACATCTCCACTGTGAACAGGGCCGGATTTACCAATAGGCTACATAGGCTGTAGCCTAGGGAGCAACATTCTGAGGGGCGCAACATTTTTGAGAATTTATTATTATTTTTTTTTTTTTAATTTAACGAGTCTTTCGTTACTTTTTATTTTCCAAAACCAACTTGCAAACGTAAATGTAAACGTACCTCAAAACTGTTTAAAATCGTGTGTTTTAAAAAGGTGAATTCGAACATTTTCCTGGCACCTAGGTAACATCCTCTCTCTGATCTGAAGGTGAAGGGGAGCGGCGTCTGGGGACCCCCCCCCCCCCCCCCCCCGAGAACGCCTACTTTTAAGGGCGCCACCCTAAGTTTAGCCTCGGGCGCTAAAAATGTAAATCCGGCCCTGTTTAAAGGGCAAGAAAAAATCGCACTAAATTTTCTCAATTTATAATCGGTCACATTATAATCACACAAAATTATATTTGTGACAGACAATTTGCAGCGCCGCGAACCAAGATATAAGATTCTGCAGTTTCCCCAACGATACTCCTCTATCTCATACTTAAGTTTGTCCTCGATCCAGCGGCCAGCCTCGGCATGGAGGCAATGCAGGCGGCCGTTAAAATGCAGAGTATCAAACCTAACCATCCAGAATTTTTGAGGGAGGGCAGATAATACTACTTTCAATTCTGAGGGGGAGGGGGGAGCCTCCCCCCCCCCCTCACGCTAACACTTCCGCTACGCTTGTTACGCCCATGTGCAACGCGCCAATAGATTTAAAAATTTTTTTAGAATTAGTAAGAGAAGAAAAAATAATCTTTCAGTAAGTCATCATTTTTAATTTGCTACGTGCTTAAAACTTATGACTTGTTGCCCACCCCTTCACAATGTTTGACAGGAGGGAACTACAGCATCTACCTGCCAGAAAATCAATGAGACAGATTCTGCCATCATTTTCAAGCTTGACGACATAAATGACATACGCTGTGCTCTAGGGGGCACCGATTAATATAGTTAGCTTATTATTTTAAGCGCAAGACCATTGGATAGGTAAGTGCACTTTAAATGATGTTGAATGGTTTCCACACCCTCCCCAGTTTCCCCTGCTGAGAATCTGTAGCTTCTCCTTGGAGCTAAAAATAAATTACCATTGCTTTTATCGCTTGATTATCTGATTGAATAAATCAAATTGTGACATTTCATTCACCCAAGTAGCATTGTCATCTACTTTTTAGGTGGCGCTCATCAAGAAAATTTCTACTCTCTAGATAGAACAATTTTCTTGAGAGAAAATAGGTATAAAGTAGATCTAGAGAATAGACACAAGGAAGTAGAAAGAAAATAAATTTTTTCCTTGCATTTTCTTAAAAGAAAACATTAAGAAATTGGCTAGAAAATAATTCTACTTTCAATAAATTTTCTATCTTTTTTCCAAATGGGAAGTTGACAGGAAGTAGACCTATGAAATAGATCTATTTTCTTTGGTCAGACTTTTGACTCGCAATGTTTTTTCTTTCTATTTTCTGGATACCTCTCATTTTCTTTGTTTTTTCTAGAAGTTTTCTTAATATTTTTTTTCTGGAGAAAAATTCTATTTTGCTATTTGGGTCAGCGTGTTGCTACTTGACTTCTATGATACTGAAAGTTTCACACATATAATTTGAAATGGGAGGGGGGAAGCGGGGGCTGGTGGAGTGAGGAGAGCAAACTTATTTGCCAGGTAGCGTCGGCTACTTGTTTCTATGAAGGAGGAAGAACTCACAAATGATGTGAACCAAAAAGTAACAACAATAAATATGTTTATTCATGTCAATAAATAACTTAATTTAAGAATAATTAATGACTAACCTACTTATGTGTGAATTAATTAAACACTGATTGTTGAATTGGCCCAGATGAATTCATACCTAATTGATCCGATAATTGATGTTGCTTGGCAAGGCAAAAATAAAGGATTCCTCGTAGAGAGGTAAATGTTTTGGCAAAAGTCATCCGAACTTTACAAATGTTCAAAAACTTCAAGAATTCTCAAATCAATTTACCACTTGCAAAATAGCCATCTGTTACGCATATTTGTTCTAAACTTTGTTTCTTACTTAAAGCAAAGCTGAAGAGGTGGTGGCGGATAGTAATATTTTTTTTGCGCATATTGAATCTACTATGAATCTCTACAGAATTCTTCGTTTTGAGTGCTGAGCTCTATTTCCCACTTAACGTAAGTAATTTAAAAAATATAACAAGTGGTATCCTGTTACAAACAAAGGTTACTAGTGATTTGATTTATTTCATTAGTAAGATAGAATTAATTTCCACGAAAAAAGAAATAGAATCTCGCCCTCTGAAAAATAAGGCCATACATAAATATATTAATACTGAAATGCAATACATATCACAGAACTGAAGTTTCTTTAGTGGAATATGATTCACAACTTTAATTTCCAGAGCAACTTGCTTAATCGAAGTATCAAAGTTGAGTCAACTTAATTGTAAAATAACAAATTGATAGGGGAGCCTAAGTATTGCGACAAGAGGGGTCATTCACTCATGAAATTAAAAGTTTAAAAAAATGTCAATACTTAACCACATAATCTTCTTAAGAAATATTTGAAGACAGAGGAAAAGGCTAATTTTTCTTATAAATAAGGCAATTAGGTGGTACAACATACCATTGTGGAGTTGGTTATCTACGATGACTCTATTGTTGTGTTCGTTAAGGAAGGTTCAACAAGTACGTCATAACTAGGCAACATTAATCCCATGATGCTTTGCTGGAGCTGCTATGCTCATATATGTTTTCTTTTACATGAAAAAGTACCCAACAGACGGAGGACTGAAAGGCATGAATAACCACGAAAAAATTTCTCTGATCATAGATGTGTGAATTAATGGTGCCCTTATAAAGTATACAAAATTTAAAGAACAATTTGTTGACATGATGAGAGGATTTATGAATTACTGAAAGTAGATTACTGATTTAATTACGATACAAACACAAAATAATTGACCCTGGTAAAATACTGATCCTGGCTTTTTGGTATGGATTAAATTTAACTTAATACTGATTTTAAAGTGTTAAATTCGAATAATGAACCATTCTAGAGCTGCATCAAGTTGCCTGCATAAATACCAACAGCCTTGTCACTAATTTTTGCACATGATAATGAAAGCAGAATCTAGACATTATAAAATATCAGCTGTAAAAAATATGTTGTGAATTACTGGCCCACTATTGTGAATTGACAAATTACGAAACAAAAAGGCTGTTAAAAATTGACCAAGTTGATAAAACTGTACCTACTAAAAAGCTTGGGAAATCAGCAAGTTCTTAACCAATCTTCTTTGATGGTTAATGATTAAATGAAGATTCTCGGAGAAACTCTTTCTAGCTTCCTCCATTTGTGAGGTAATTCTGGGATTAAGGACAAAACTTTCAGGCTTCACCTGATATTTTAAAATGGCACTAGAAAAAGGGAACTTGTATAGGAAAGCAGATTAAAAACGCAATAGTGTATTTCCTTCGGAAAATACACTAAAATGTTGCTTCCAATACTAAAGAGTTTTCTGTAGTAAAACCTGGACGGTAAAATTTAGAGACTGAAAACATGCTGTGCTCAAATATGCATCAACCTAAGCTGGCTTGACTAATTTAAAGACGAGACAGGATGTTAGAACTTCTTTGAAAAAACATACTGAAATAGCATCTAACAGTATACTGATTTTTGAGAAGTTGAAAATGGTACCAAAAGAGATAAACATGAAAGCGGTCTAATTAAACTACACAATAATATTATCTTACAGCTCTAAATTTGAAAAATATTCTAGAATTTCAATTGATTCATGAAGTACAAAAATAAGAAAAATTTGTTCAAAAATATCTTTTTAAAAAAGGCTCTGACAAACATGAAAGAGATGAAATTTAGAATATCCAACTGGAAGACTTTGATCACTGATTTTTTTTTTTTCACATTACATGTTGGCAAGGTTTGTGATACCCTGTTGAAACCAAAATGGACTTCTGAAGAATTGTAAAAAAATTTTTGAAGCCTTACATGGAGAATTGCCAAAAAAAAAAAAAAAAAAACTGACAGAGAATGATCGGCTCCAAGTACTACTGAGGCGCAAAAAATTATTTCACAATCAGAGACATTTTTACACATCCGATGAATTGAGAGTGACTGATTAGAAATCTTCCCTGGCATACAAAAATTGCTACTCAATGCTTTCTTGTTTAAAATGTGTACTGTTTTATTCCTATAGATACAATTTGTGCACTATGGCTCTTAGAACTTCCAATAGGCATAGAACAGCCAGACGGCTAACCTCTAGAGCTGGTCCCTAGTTTGAAAGAGAAAAAAAATTCCATTCTTTTCAGGGCATCACGAACCCTGATTGAGGCTACAATTAAATGAGGAACAAAATGTAACTTTTGCTGATGATAAAATTTTCATCCAGGTACAATGAAAGGTCGATGATTTTCAAGCTTTTCTTCACACACGTAGACTAGGATAAAATAAGTAGGGATGCAAACAAATAAAAATCTTCAATACAAATTAACAATGGACTTAAGAAATAATGCCATGTTCATGGTACAAAATTGCTGGACTATAAAGTACTCTCATACCCTCTGTTTAAAAAAAAAAAAATGATCCCCCTATATTCTTTGCAGAAAAATGCACTCAACTGCTCACAACTTAATCTTCTTAACTCTCAACTGAGTTTTCTCTCAAAATCTTAAAATTCAATTTTTGAGAACTAACTTGACTAAAATAGCTCTGCTAAAAATTTTGCCTCTAAGAAATGGAGACCTTTTACCAGTAGACAGTCGTGTATCATTTGGTTTTCAAGGAAATTCAGGTTACTGATTCCGAGAGATGGTGAGTAATGAGTATATTCGAGCTGATACGAATTACACACCATAGGAAAATGAGAGAAATTCAATGAAAAAGAGAAGAAGACTATTTTTCTGCGATTACACCTCATTCATAGGTGCTCAAGTTTAGACTTGCTGACTTGATTTAACGATTGAGTCAAACTTTTTGTTGAAAGAAGTACACAGCTGAAAAACTGTTTTTGTGCTTCACTCATCAAAATCTTGCGAATTTATTCGATTGGTAGGCTTTGTGATTTAAAGATAGTCAAATAATTAATAATACTTAACCAAGGATTGAAACAAATCAAAACATCAACAATTACAGCCTGAGGCTGAAACAAACAGAGTAGAGAAGCGCAAAGCTGCGTCCGATTAGCATTTACTCCTGCATATTTGGCTGGGCTTCTTCCAACTTACGCCAAACCACCTGCAATACAAAAATAAAGAAGTGAATATGTATTGCAAAAAATAAACAGGGAGACACGTTGATAGAGTAGAAATAGTGTTTAATCTGGTTAGTCAAAAAGTGGTGGCCATAGAATCTACAGTGCGTTTTTATTTTTTACCACCATAAAATATCACTCTTGATAACCATAAATCTGTACAAAAAAAAAAAAGTTTTTTCACATACTTCGGCTAATTTACATGATTTTTCAAAATTTGTTTTTTTGAATGAATTCTTAGTACAGTTGTTTCATCGTTCTTTTGGCCCCTCCAACTTTTCTTGACATCTTTCAATGATTGAAGGGAGCTTACAAGATTTATCTTTCTAAAAGAGAGGCAGAACTATTGAACGTAAATATTGCGTAGAAATTATCATCAAACTACTTCAGGAAAGCTTGACAGAATTAATTTGGATGGACTTACATTGCACATTTCTCGTAGAAGCGCTTTCTCTCCATCGTCCATTGGTGGAATTGGATCTTCATGTGAACCTGAGCTCCCGCGCTCCAATTGCTCCCGAACTTCCAACACTTGTAATGCTTGGACAACTGCCTCTCTCCTACCATTGTCATCCTGAGACTGAATCAATTAAATATTCATTATTGATTATTAATTATACGAGGGAAATACAATTTGACAGCTTATTGGCTTATTGCAGTAGGGAAGAAAATTAAAGTAAATGAGACAGGTATTAGAATACGCTGCGCTGAGAAACAATCATGTGTAACACAGAAAATATTATTTCATATTTCCTTATGAACGTGAATTAACACGTCATATATTTTAACTCGATAAGTTCAAAACACAGCATGCATTTCTTGATTTTGCTGTTAAAAATAACAAGATTACTGCAAAAAAGAACTATTTGTCTATCTTAATTCTTGCAGCATTCAAAAATGACCTCCATCATGCACCAATTTTTTTGGAAAAACAAATTCTTTCCAAAACAAAACCCCCCAATATTGAAAGGAATTTCCATACCTACTCCAGAAAATTTCTGGATGAAGGAAAAAATTAAAAGTTATCATCAGAAACAGCTCTAAAAAATACATGAGAATCTGATATCAAATGATCAACGTTTGTAACTCATTCACTGCCAGCATGTTTTCGAGAACTTATTCTCATCGGAAAACACACAAAAAATGGCAAGATTTGAACACTTTAGATCACAATTTCAGCTAATCGCTGCAGTGCTATAAATATCAGTTGCAACAGCAACTAGTACTCTGAAATTAGTTCCTTGGAGGACCCACAGACAGTTCCAGACAGCGCTTCCACTGACCAGCAATGCAATGAAAACACATCTTTTGAAACGCCTGTCACTATGACCAATCCAGTCTGGGACGACCAACAAAAAAAAAAAAGGTCATTGTGACTACTTCCAAGATAAATAAGTTAAGTTTCCTTTTTTATTTTCATCAAATCTATGCAATTAGAGCTTGCAGCAACAAAATATTGAAGCCTCTTAGTTGAGAGGTAAGAGGATTGACTTACAACAACAGAGTGAATATCCCAGTTGTTTCCGGACTTAGAATTGATTTTCTTTAATAGTAATCTATTCTCTTCTTCTAAAGACTTGACACGGGCTTCTAAGCGCTGGACATACTCTAATGTGGACTGGTCTGAAAACAGAATAGTAAAATTAGAAAGTCAAACAGTTCACGTATCAAACGGGTGGCATTTTGCAAAAAGGGATCAGTGTTCATAAGGAAAGAGAAGATTAGCTTGTTTATTGTTGAAGGAATAGATCGTATTCGATAGTGGTTCCATGAATCATTTGGTTCAAAACAATAGAACATAACCTCAATCCGAAATTTTAGGATTTACTTTGGAAAAGCTGAAAATGAGAAAATTCCTGACAATTTCAATTTTCATTGCCTTATAATACTCATAAGAATAAATAATCCATTACAAATAACCTGCTCGCTCAGATACTTAGATATTACTTAATTGACTTTTGAGGCTATGTTTACACGTTGAATCAATTGATATTGATACAATCTCACCTGCTTGATGTATCAAATACATTCCTTACCTAGTCATGGTTTTAAAGACCGGCATGCACATTCTTACGGGTATGAGCGCCCATGAGAACTTGTTGGCAGATACATGTGATTATTTGGTTCCTATTTACAATATACAATACAAAATATTTACAATTTGCAATGGTGACCCCTAAAACATTTTACCTTGACAGGTTAATTGCAAAACCTATTTTTGATAAAAAAAAAAAAAAAAAAAAAAAAAAAAAAAAAAAAAAATTCTACAGCTATTAGGTATGAAAAATATTTCATGAAAAATGAGCTGGGTAGAACTTTTTTTTAATATCGTTATCAGTATTTCAAAAGATGAGCACGCACCTGGAGAATGATAGGCAGGATGAGGGGGTGTTTGATCATCAGGATTTGTACTTGAACTGCTTCCATCACCATCATCGCGACGTAGTCCCGCTCCGCAGGCTCGACACGTTCCTCCTCGTTCTTCGTCCAAATAAAGACATAATTCCTGAATAATCAAGTATACCATTAGTCTAAATCTTGGAGAAGATTAGTTCATTAAGATTAAGAGAAACATTAGTCATATTACTGGACTATTTCTTTCTATTGCCTCCCATCTGACGAGGGATTTGGCCAGAAAAGATGTTGTGGACCGTCTTCATTAAAGATGCAACAAAATTCCTGCATTATCTTAATTATTAATTTAAAAAAGAGTTCATGTAGTGTCTCGAAAAGTTCTGCCATTTTCCCTCTCTGTTAGAAGAAAAGTTTGTGAAAATTATAAGTTATAAAGTCGGCTCTTTATTCTTTGACAAAGGGAAATAAAAGTGAAAATGTAGCAACTTCATCAATTATATGCATGGTTTCTTGACAAAGCCTACGAACGAACTGCGACTGTGTGTTGCAGAGATACTAGCCGAGGCTTTCTATTTGTCTATGCTTTGAGATCTACTGAGACAACTGCAGAAATATATTCTTGGCATGCTTCAATGATTTATGGAACCCAACAAGGTTTCAACTAAGATCCAGAATTTTCAAGTATTTAATTTTTTTCAATTACCTTGTCTATTTTCTTAATGAAATGATTGATTGATGATGGTAAATTCTCACTACAGAGCAGCTTTGAAGAGGAGAATGCTATCTGCTAAGGGTTCTCAGTGGTAGATAGCACTTCCACTGAAAGCTACCAAAATATTTTTGAAATTAATTTCTGAGGGACAGCTGAAGTTTTGAAAATGATATCAATTTCTCTTTCAAGAAAATTGCCATGTTATAGAGAAATATTTAGAGAGCACTTTATCAAACTGTCTGGCAAAAAGTTCTTTTTCGTCTTCTGGACTTATCCAGTTTTCTCTTACCCTTCTATTTTCTGTATCCCTGACTCTTTTTTCCAAATCAAAAGAAAAGCCAAACATAAACATTGCTAAACGCAAAGTACCAGTGCAGATCAGTAGGAGCTCAAATTTCCAAGGGAAAAATTCACTACAGACCAGGAAAGAGCTCTGCTAGGCTCAGTATGGAAGCGCCATGAAGTTATGAAAAAAATCACACACAGGAGAGCACAGAAGTTTGCACTTCGCAGCTCTTCTAATCACACGTTTTCCCTCCCTGACCTTCTTGGTTGCTAGAGCCCCCTGTTTTGTTTTAAAAGATAAAATAGTTGATGCATAACATACTTTTAGCTCTAAGTTGTCTTTAATCAATTCTTGCTGCTTAGAGTCAAGCTGTCTCAATTTACTTTGGTACGCAGAAACTTCTTGTCTCATGACGCTGGCAGTGTAGCGTCCAAACCTCTGCCACTCCCTTGCTAGCTTCCTCCCTTTCTGCCTATCGTCATCCAAAAAGCAGCATAAGTCCCGCAATTCTTGATTGTCATCACTAAGTCTTTGTTTTTCTTGCTTCAAAGTTTGAATTTCTGCTGCCATCCGCCGCATCTAAGGGAAAATAGGCCATGAAATAATCTCATCACACCAAGTGAGCAGTTGTAAAAGTAATAACTTATTGTGAGCATGTATCGTTTGTCAGAAACTATAAATTATTATATTTTTCCTCATATGTAAGTACTGAAGTTTGTCAACATAAACCTTGAGAAACTAGAAGGAAAAATATTGATGATCTGTCTTAAAGGATAAAGATAATCATAAAAAAATGATTTTCATAATTACCAATAACTAAATTAAGGAGCTTGTTTATGAAAAATTGAATAATGAATCATTAAATCAACCTAGGAATGTTCCTACAGAACACCACCACTCAAAATATTACAGTGAGGTTAAAAGTGCTACTGACTACCTTTCTCGAGATGAGCATTAAGATTGATGCACTGAAGTTAGGTGAAAACTAGAAACAGTGCTCTTTAACATAAATTTTAAATTTTTGGGGCTTTGTATGAATATTTTTTTAGAGATCCAAATTAAAATTGATGTTGCAAAATTTCCAAAATGACCCTCCTAATAAATCAGAATAGCAATGTATTTGCGCAGTGATAAATTACTGATCTCATAACATGCACTGTAAAGTGTAAATAGCGATGCCTTATTTATCGAAGGTTTTTCTATGTACGTTAAATTTACAAAATTTTCCTGTACCTGCTCTGAAGCAGCTCTTGAGGCTTCTGCATCAGGTTTTCGAACAAATTTGAGCATATCTTGTGGTGGAGGAGGCGGATGATACTGAGGAGGAGCGCGCTTTTGATCAGCTGTTTGGTGGTGCCTGAAATAGAGAGAATTACATTATATCAATGTTTTAAGACGTTCATCTAGAAAAAAGGAAGGAACAACTACAGTATATCATTGATTTCAAAGCTGAATATAAATTCGCTGCTTTTTTAAACTCACTCCCTCATACAGCAAAGGTAAGTTGGATTGGTTTTCGATGTGGAGATTTGTCATTGAGGACTAGGATCGGCTCCACCCTGGATTTCTGCGACTCCAGCCTCCTTATCACAGCATTTAACAAAAATAATTTCTTACAGCCTATTATCAAATCACATCAGAGACATATATTGCCGTAAACATGCAATTGCTTAAAAAAGGAAGGCCAGCTAACAGATTATTGATTGCTTAGTTTGTTTTTTTCAGAATTTCTCTTTCGAAAAAATAAAATTAAGTGGACCGCATTAAACAGAAAGAAACCAAGCCACATCAGCTATTGCCGAATTTAATCGGCTAATTTAATTTTTTTACATGAAAACAGTTGTGCGGATTTTCGTGCAAATTTCAGTGAATTTTCTCCATAGTACAAAGCAAATTCCTTAACATTTTCAAAGGGATCCGCACAAATGTTTTCTTATAAAAAATTAAATTGCCCAGTTAAAATTGGCGATAGCTGATATGGCTTGGTTCCTTTCTGTTAAACGCGGTCCAAGTAATTAACATGGGTCTGAAAGCTTGAAGTACAACTTTTGATTGTTTTCTTTTGGCCCAACATCAGGCTTTCACTGACAATTTATTTTTGCTTTCATTTAATCATTGATATTCTCTCATAAAACTTCTTTTTAATACTCAGCCAATTTCTGATAAGTATTCTCGTTTCAAAGTGAGTATCAGGTCAAACGATAACTTGATACTCAAAAAATGAATACTTAATTGACAGCCCTGGCTTTTTTTGCCCAATAGTCAGGATGGAAGAATGTATGAGAATGAGTTTATTTACTGATTCACATCATTTCACATGGGTTATAATCTAATCTAACATAATCCATTACTTAACAGAGTAAGAGGAAGGAATTGTTGGAGTTAGAACTTCAGGAAGAAAACTGGTTTCGCTTTACCTGTCGATTTCAGCAACTGTCTGAAACTGCTTGGCTGGATCAGGAATCAAACATGGGTGAGGACCATCTTGCGGTATTAAATATGTGGGTGGTTTCTTAACTGGCTGTGGCGGAGGTTGGTATTTTGGTGGAACTAATCCAGGCTCAGCTAAAGCTGGTAGTTTTGCTATATGACTGTTCACACTAGCAACTGATGATAGCGGCTTTTTAGTTATGTTTGACATGTTCGACATAAATACCGCATGTACATTACTTTGGAACTAGTTCACATTGTAGCAACCACAAATGATATGAATACCTCATCACCTTATCTTGAGGAAACTGTAACAAGGCAAGTACAAAAGCATTATTTATTTATTTATTAATTGTTACAAAAACAAAATTACAAAAAGGAGTGATCGCAAATGCTTCTGAAATCCACTGCCGGATCATGGGCAGTTTGAGAAAATGTGCAATTTAATTATCTGCCTGAAGAGTTTTATCTAAAGAATCAGTTTTGAAGAGATTTTACAGTCCATGGCATTAAAAAAAGCTAAAAAAAGCTCTTTCTTGGCAGTAACTAAACAAAATATTTCAGGAAAGTCGTTAATGTAGCTGAAAACTAAGACCCCTCTTCACCAACTCACCTATGTACTTGTTTGGGAGGTTGTGTCTGTCATTGCCTCAGTTACTTAGATCTGTACATTGCCTGTACTTTGATCATAAAATACTATTTTCCTTCATCTAAAGCATGATGCAGTCGCATAAATTTGGTTCATTTTGTCGGTGTTGCCAAGGACTTAATTTGTGAATTCCATCCTCTGAATTTCCTAAAGAGGAAAGGCTGCTTTCAAAATTCCCCCATATGATCTGTTATACTCCCAGTGGCTTATGGCATAATTGAATTGGTTTCTGTTAGATGGGCGTAAGTCCAAAAAATCATGAGCCCTGGCTTTCATTGATCACGCAGGATGCTAAGGTTTATGAATTTTTAGACTCATGCCCATCTAACATAAACAGATTCAATTAGGAGCCAATGTCTACGTTAGCTATAGCTAAGATTGGCCGATATCAGAATAAGAGAGATTGATTTCTATCGTATGAGAAATGGGTGAGCTCATAAAAAGGGTTGCTCTCATTAGTGTTAGGTGATGAAACAGGGGAACCATACCACACCTACTGAAACTTTATCAGGGGGGTAAAAGTAAGGGTGTTCCGTTGTCCCTGAGGTCACGTAACATAGGGATGAGTGAAAGGCGCTTCCAAATGATTGATACGTTATGATGATACAAAGCTATGGCTAAATTGTGCCCAAGTCCCTACAGAATCTTTAGAATTATTTAGATATCAGATCAGTGGAAAAGAGGCTTGAGAATAACTGATGTAGGGGTGAATGACGGTTTTGGTTAAGTATCAACANCCAAAATCAAAGAATACAACAAAAGAAAAGTTTCGCGTTAATAATTAAACTGTTCGTTCGTCATTTTCAAAAATCCTCATGCTCATTCTCCCAGCACGCACGAGGGAGGACCACAGATTAGGACAAAGTCAGCGGATTTAGGTTAGGTTCTCAATGTAAACATTACTTTCTGGGTGTGTTCTTCTTCTTCGACCGAGATACGCTGGGAGTGAGCCTTCTGTTGGTGAAGCCTGTATATTCTGTGGCTTTGCTTGCTTTCGCTTTTCGTCTTGCAAGTTCCAACTTGTCGGCAGGATTGAGCGTTTTTGCAGGCAAAGACCCCCTACGAATGAGCAGGCGATCACAGAGCGGGAGTAGCTGGTGGAGCGTGCATGAAGCTCGCTCGGACTTCATGATTATACTCTGTTGCTCTCTCCTCTCCTCTACTCTTTGCACATCACATAATGGCGCCAAGCACAAATTTCACTCTCGGAGAAAAATTAAACTGCTCAGCTCAGGGAATTGACCTTTTTGATCGGGATTAAATTTCTAAAAGAGTTCAAACCAAGTGCTAACCAGGGCAATTCTCAAAATTCTTTGGCAAGACATTTTTCTTATATAATTTAAGGATTACCTAAGGAGGGAAAATCTTTAGCATATCTGGAGAAATCACAAGCTTGTGTGGGGGCCCCGCAGCGTTCTGAGGCATTGAAATCAAATTCTAAACGTACCTAACGTACCTACTTACATTTTGAATTTTGATGGAAAATAAGGGGGGAGAGGCTTCATTTATATCTGAGCCATGGGGATGCCAGATGATGAGGGATGAGTTTGAGGATTTTTGCGCTCAGCAGAGATGTTTTCAGGAGCATTGGGGGAACTAGTTAGGAGGAGGGGGGAGAAATATTACCCTCTCCTGACTTCAAGAAATATGAGGGCTTTTGCTAAGTTAGCTGTGTTGCTAGACTTTCATTGTGGAATTTGTAATTCTACCAAAAATATTTCCATGTGAAGATGAACCATCAAGCTAAAAATTTAACTCAGCATTCGCACAAATTTATAAATTTTTTTTGTGGCACAATGGTACAACTTCTGGGAAACATCCTGTTAAAGGTAACGAGGCACTTAGCATATTTCTTGAAAAATTTGCTAAAAAAATATCTTTGCACATTTCTGCTTTTGATAACTTATACCTACAAAAGTACATAACGATCCAAAAAGTGGTGAATTTTACCAGTCAGGCATCAAGGGGTGAAATATGGGAGCATAAATATAGCATTAGGTACCTAAGATGACATTTGAATCAGTGAGTTCGAAAATACACCAACTCGGAAAAAAAAATTTTCAGGAAACACCTAAAACTTCGCAGCGGGCGAAGAAGTTAGTTTAAGAAAAACTTTTTTGGTGCCAAAGGACGCAAGAAGTACTCTAGAGACTTTAACGCACCAAGTTTCAGATACTGATTTTTCATAGTCTGCCCTGAAAAATTTAAATTTTTTGACCTGAATAACGCTTGCATATTTATATAACTTGTTGGCACAAGGTATACTGAACCGAAAAAATAAAACCGCATCGGATAGTCGCCCGTTTCCCTTGATCGGCCAAAAATTGGTATTTCCAATGAAATTCTTCGATTCTTCCCTTTTCCCGTCGCCGCGCCGTTTCGAGCACTTCCGATTGCAATTTCGAAATATCCTTTTGCGTGCAGATGCTTCTACTTATCCATAAGTGTTACTAAACCGTAAAAAAGTGAAAATCGAAAAAAACCCGTGTTGGAGTGTTTCCGAACTCACTGATTCATTTTACATTATTGGAAACATGATTATGTGGATGGATAAGGTGGGGAGACGGCAGACGATAGGATGGGTTAGAGTAGGTATTGGTTAGAGAGTGCTCGAACTGCTCTGAGTTCCCGTCGCGCCACGCAGCCATCTTGCCTGCTCATTCCGAGGGGGTCTTTGCCTGCAAAAAGTAAACATCTACGATGGAGCCAAGAGGTTAGTGGGCAAGAGATGAACCATGGGGTTTGTAACAACGGAGAAAACACGAGGAAAATCCATTGATTACCTTTGAATACATAAATTCTACGAACAAGAGGGCTCATATAAAAATCGAAACAAAAATCACCTGTCATGCAAGGGGGAAAAAGTAAACAATTAATATAAGGTCACGAGAGAAAGTAGGCCTTACTAAGTCCCGTTAAAGGTATGTAAATGAACGAGTTTTAAAACAACGTACCGTCCAAAAGAGGGTGCACTACAATCCGGAAACACATTATAAAACATAGTTATTACTCCTCACGTAGAGATGACCATATGCAATGGGTTCAAAAATACAAATGCAATTAGAAAGTGATAAAAAATACGATAAATAATAACGTGGTGTAAACGTAAACAAAAATTAGACGACAATTGGGATTGGAATTGGATTGGATAAGGATTGGGAAATGCGATGACCAACTTGACAATCACAAATTCCCGCCTGATTTTACAGGTTGACCACAGTTTAGAATAATATCTCTATCTAGTATCTAGTCTTATGTCTATTCCTTTGCTAGAGTAAAAGCCAGAGCCAGATTTGTTGTTATCAATTGTCATCATGGCTACTATGAAAGATGTCTTGTCATTATACGAAAATCTGAAGACAGAGTGGTCTAAATCGCCTCAGAATTTAAAGATAATCGGAGATCTCCTCGCAAAATTGAAGGTAAATGTTATTTCACGCCCGTAATCATTGAATATTTTCCGTAATCATGTTCGAATGGCAACCTAACCTCCCAACGTTTATCCTTTTTTCTTCTAAATTATTCTATTATAATGTATTTTACTTCTCCCAAAGATTCTACTCTCAGTTAGATGATTAAATGTCGATGAGCATTTTATACTTTGGGTTCTGTTTCGAGTCAAAATTTTTTGAATGTTGCGATATGCATGTAGCTTTGTTTCGCGCCCAGTATGGATGCGCCCAAGAGCATAGCTGTCAACTGATATAACATCGGAGTGTCAAACTCAATGAAGACATAAGTGTACTCTAACTTACTTAAGCTTGCTCTTCAGTACTTCGCTGAAGTTTTGAGAGGTGTTCGACGAAGTGATAATTTTTGGATTTCAGGGCAGTTCTTGAGGATATTCGAACATCACATCATGCTGTACTGAGTGCAGCAAGTATTTGTGTGCAAAATTTGACCCAGAATCAATTTTAAGTAACTCTGAAAGTTTGTCTCGAGTGATTTTCACAAACTATCTTGCCTTTCGACTCACAACATTGTTGAGAGCGCTACACAATTGCAAGTTTGTACAAATTAAGAGGGTGCGTCAACTTCCTAGGCAGCCCATAGGATGACCCAGACCCCTAAGTTTTCAGAGTCAAAGCCTTATTTGAGGCGCATGACATGTGGGGAAGGTAGAGCCCTTTTAGCTGCTACCTATCACTGTTTAAACAACTGCAATTTTGCTTGTTTAGTTTTGAATTAACATTCCTTTATCTCTTTTATTCTTCCAGATTGGTTTGACAAATTTAATTTTTCTACCTACATCTAGCTCCAAACCGCAGGAAAATATCACACAGCAAGAACTTTTATTAGCCCGTAAGTTGTTTGATTGCTATTTTCTCTGTACTTAGTAAGAAAGCAAAAACACAACAAGTCGGTCATTTTGAGTTCACGAATGACGTCTCCAATGCTCATGCTGGGCATTGGATGTTCTCCCAGTAAAGTGTAAAGTCTCCAAATACGTACTTCACTTCAAATTAATTTTTTTAAATTATAAGGGTTCGAAAAAATGAATGATCATTTAGGTATTCCTTTGTAACCACCACAGTCCTTTTCTTTGATTATTGTCCCAGTTTGATTTTTGTTGCCATCTTGAAGTTTTGTGACGTCAGGCGGGTACCACTTTTGCCAGGCATCTACCGAATCTGTAGCGCGCATTTCAAATCTTCGCCTGCTCTCAACAAGATTAGAACAAGATGAGGACGAGAAGCATTGTTTGATAAATGAGATGACGATGAGATATAAATTAGATATAAATGATCCGTCACATTCCTTCCTAGAAATGTGCCTGTTCCAGCTGAATTTAGTTTTTTATTTCTGAATGATGAAAGAATCTCAAAGGATCGAAATATGACTAATTACTAGCTCTGTAGCTTGCAAGATAAGGCCCTTACCTGAGTTATGAATTTTTCCAGTATCGTTGAAATATAAGTAGAGTACCTAGTAGCGGCACCCAGTGTCACAGTATGTCATACCTATTTGATGTACCTAGGTAATTCTCATCCAAATAAGAGAAGAATAAATATTTACCTTCATTAACACCAAGTAGACGAAAGTTCCACTGTGAACTTAGTTGGCCAATAAAAATGCAAACAATGAAGCAATTATTTTTATTTCCTGACTCCAAATGGTAAGAATTATGGTAAGAACTCTAAGGCATAGTAAAAACTGTATTTATGATTCCTCAATAAATACAAGGTTGACTGTTTGCATGGAAATGATAGTACATTAGTTGGCGGCTTATCTATTATTCTAAACTTCAGATTAAGTTGATGAAGGTAGCAGGTTGTTGTCAGCAAGAGCTGTTGATATGAGTATGTAGTTTAGAATGGTCAATTTTTAATTCTGCCAGAGGAGCATCATTAGTATTTAATACAAAACTCTCAGGGGTCTCTGGATACTATGCCACCTCTTATCAAGAATGTTTATGCTAATTTTGTTGCTATGTGGTGATGGGAGAGATAATTTCAAGATTATTTTGGTAAAAGTCGGACAAATATGAGGATGCCAAGTTTATAAGAAAATCTCACAAACCAAAGTGAACATTGTTTCATGCCTCTGCAATTTTCAGCTTCGGGCTAGGTTCTCGCAAGAAGGTCAGCACAACGCGCTGATCAAACTTTTGTGGAATTTCTTGTTAATTTTAGAATGTGTGCCAAAGTCACAGTAAGTATTCCACAAAAATTGCAAATCTGAAAAATCTAGAAAAATAACAAGTACCTCTCAGCCTCCGCGCAATTCGCACCCCTGCTAATAAATGTTGGAGAATAGAGAACACTTTACCCTCAAAACATTACTCGCACTGAGTTTAAACTAATATGTAATTATATGTGTACGATGGTGGATCTGAGCTGTACTTACTTACCAAACTTTGTTGAGCGAAGTTGTTACTTAGGGGAAATTCATTAACTGCTGCCAAGGATTCACAAACTCTGACCTTGATAAATATTTCCGACATATACTTGAGATACAGTCAGATGTTTGGAATTCTGGACATTCAGTTATTGTTCACATACAAAAGAAATTGACTAACAAATACAACCGTTTTATATTTACATAACTGCTCAACAGAACATACCGACAGTTGTGATTAGTTTCTCGACAGCACTCTGATAGCGGTAGGATAGCTAAAGGATCCCTACCCTGCGGCAAAAATGGAGTTGATTGAAATTTTGATTCACATGGTGCTAATGCTGTCAAGACTCAAGACAAAATTACACTCCACGCACAGTCAAAGAGTATTTTGATAAGTAAGATTATCCATTAAGGAAGTTGCACAAATCACAAATCAAACCGAAGGACACGGACAAACCAAGGAGCCAGCCATAGCCAGCTCAGAAACTCGGCAATTCAGTTTCTCTCACTGCAAAAGGTGGAACCATCCAAAGTACCATCAATGTTAAGTTGAAGGGGTGAATTACTTATTTAAAGAGTGCTAAGTCATTTTGGGACTTTTTCGAAGAGATTTAAAGGAAAAAATTGGAAAATGCTCAACTATAAAATGAACGTAAACAATCCGCCATTGTATCAAAGCTGACGCACAAATGAAACAAGCGCTAAACACAAGGGTAAAAAGTACATACGTAAATTGATTTTGTTTTATAAGGAAAATGGTGAAAAAGTTAGGAAATTCATATTGGAAATTGAAGCTTTAAGATATAAAGAACTTCAGATAATTAATACAGTTTATTTAGAAACGGAGTTAAAGAAGGCAAAGTTAAGGAAACTCAGAAGGAACAGGGTATTTTGTAGGAAAGGGTTGGTAGGTTTAGAATTGAATCGACGTATCGACGTATCGAACAGCGACTATCGGTAGTCTCGAAAAACCCCTGTAAAATACACACTAATACAATAAGCGGTTACATCAGATCTTATGGGAGCGCACTCACACATACAAAAAATCGCTTTTTCAAGCGATTTTTTACAAGAGAACAGAGGAGAATCTCACTAGCGATCGAGATTTTTCGAGATTTTACATTGATTAAATAGCCCAGAGTGAAAGGAAAGTTCTCTCCAGTTGATCACTGGGAGAACAATAGAAACAGTGGGAAACAAAGCTGAAAATTTTTGAAAACATTCTCAGGACGTTTTCATAAATTTTTAGCCTTGTTTCCCTCTGTTTTTATTGTGTTTTCGCCATCGTATTCTGGGCTACCATAACTTCTCTCTCTCGTGTTAGTAAGAGATATAGATTGCTTCCAGAATTTTCAGCTATTTTAATTTAAAATGATTTGCCTCACATAAATTCTCTCCTATTGAAAGCTAGAGCATTTTTTAAAGATTAGAGATGAGCCTATGCTCCCCGAAAAATTAGGTTTTCCAAGACCTAAGGTTTGACACATTCACCATTGATAAAGTTATTGGTGCCTTTCACATCTTTTCAATCTATTCGGCTTTTAAATTTCATTAAGACTTATACCTAAATATAATGAACTTCTTAGCATTTAAGAACTCATTTAAACTTCTTTCAACAAAATATGTTAAGAGAAGAATTTTCATTTTTTGATACTTAAATGCTATCTGTTCCAGGTGGTATTTTAGAAATTGGCGCGCAGTACAGTATTGCAACAAAGAATATTCCATCTTTCGAGCGTTATATTGCACAGCTCAAAAGTTATTACCTAGATTATGAGTAAGTGTTAAATTCTTTGTATCATTTCTTCAGTTTTGGCACATCTGTCATACTTTCACTTTTGATCAAATTCAACTTTTTTTAATTAATAATAGTTTCAGATCCGTAACTTCCAAAATTTTGCCGTATGAAGTATTGGCAATCAACAAATTTGCAACTTGCTATTCTAAATCCAGCAGCCTCAGCGTACCAGGAATAATCATTTTTTTACAGATTAAAGGGAGCAAAATCGTTTGAGTCATTAGACCCTACAATTAAAAAATTCTAGATTTTTTTTCAGGTGATTGGACCTTCAATCAAAGAGATATTTAAGTATCAAGGACTGGACTCAGCTAATAAATACTCCAAAAAGTGATATACCTTAAAATTGCTTTGCTGTTAAAATGATGTCGAAAATAAGGCTAAAAAACAAGGGAGGTACAATTATATTGAAAATAAATTGTTAACAATTTTATTTTTAATTTACTTTGCTCTACTCATAAGAGAGTATTTTTTTTGAAATGCAATGGAGAGCAGCAATTAGGTATATTTTGTTATATTTAATCATCCAACGCATCTTATGAGATGACCAAGGGTTGCTATCAGGTAGATACAAGTAGATCTACAATCGTCTCTCAAGCTAGCTAGCTTCTTCAGAAATATTAGAAGCAAAAATGTGTCAAAAATGAGTCCAAAAAATTTTCCTCTGTAAGTCATACCTTGAAGATTCTTGTAATCTGTTTCTCCCATTAAAATCTTGTCCTCAATTTTTTATTTCAGATCCCAGTTGCCGGAGTCACCTTATAAGTATCAGTTGTTAGGATTAAATCTCTTGTTTCTTCTATCTCAAAACCGTGTAGCTGAATTCCACACAGAATTGGAGCTTCTTCCGGCAGAACAAATTCAGACGAACATTTATATCAGACATCCATTATCTTTAGAGCAATATTTAATGGAAGGCAGTTACAATATGGTGAGTGATTTCAAGTAATAGAATTTTAGATGCTTAGCTGATTCTTCCAAGACACACTTTTTAATTCAGAAAATTTTCTTCAAAAAAAAAAAAAAAAACTTTTGTAACTCAAAAAATTAATTCTGGTTGTTATAGAAATCATTAATTGGAATTATTGTCCACGCATTTGACAAGAAACTCCTTCTCAGTTAACCTCTCAGGGGCATATTACTGTTTGAAACCAAGTCAAAAAAGTCCATGTATAATTTTGAAGAGTAAAGGACAATGATCAATCGTGAAAATGGGGCTGTCGCATAAATTTTTTCTTTTTAATTAATTTTCTCCTCACTATCTGTTAACTATTCATTGGTTTCTATTGTTAATCATTCCAAAATCCCTCTATTTGTTTCAGATTTTTCTCGCCAAGGATAATGTACCTGCAGCAAGCTATAACTTTTTCATCGATATTCTCCTCAATACGGTCAGAGATGAAATTGCTGGATGTCTAGAAAAAGCTTACCGAAAAATACATATGAAAGAGGCGGCAAGAATGTTGCATCTGCCAAATACAGCAGCCATGAAAGCGTATGAAGAGAAGGTAATTTTCATTCTATTTAGAATAAAAGCAAGAAAATTGGCCTTAACTTTCAAAAGACAATATGTCTGAGTCTTTAGACAAGCACATTTTATTGATTGTGGAATAAGATTAACCTTCCATCTGAGTTGACAATGTTGCAAGTTCCTAACTTTTAATTTACTTCAGTATATCTAACGGAATTTAATGGATGAAACTTTGTAAAATATTTCTTTGAGTGTCTCGAGCTTTTCTCAGAAAAATATCAGTTAAGGATATCAGATAGTTTTTGTTTTGGTTTCCCAGGAAAATGAAATAAAAGATGATGAAGCTTTGAAAAATGTTTTTCCATCTTAGCAACAACATGCAAACAAAGAGTTCCTACAAGTATAATGCTTAGTTCAGTTTAACAGATCACCCATTCTCAAAATGTAACGCATCAAAAGTGAAAGTCGCAAAACATGTATCTTACTTGGTGAGATTGCAGATTTCCTGTTATGTCTTGTTTTCTTCCAAAGGAAACCAACTGACGTAATTACTTTGAATTTTTAGTGTTTTTCCTTTATGCAGGAACTTTATGGCTGGAACCACGGAAACCCTGCTAATATATTCGATCCCTATCTGTGCATGGAGAGTTTGATTGGATATCGATGGTAGAATTCTTACACCATGTATCTCGATCTGTGACATTACATACTTCCTGTTATACTTTATTTTTTAAATGGACAGTTATTAAAGTTCAATTCTTAAAAACTTCCATAAGTAATTGTCCATTCTCCATGCCAAGGAAATTCTGTGCAAGTTTCAAGAAATGATGCTGCTTTGTTCTCCTAAAAAAGGTAATATACGAGCAGAGCTCTTAAACACTGCAAGTAGGATATGTGGTATGGTAATTTTACCGTCAATATAGGAGTGGACTCACTCCGTTTTATGTGTGGGATCCCCTCCATTGCTAACTTCCATTAGAGACTTTAACAATGGGTCGAAGTCGAGGCGTCTTTTATTAATTTGGATTTTGAATCATTTGTATTACAACCTACTTCCTATTTTATTTTGTTTGCTCTGTACAGAAATGCTGGAAATTAGGACAGGACAGCTTTTATTCATTTGGATCAGATGAAAAGGGCACCGAAGAAACACTACCTTCATGTATGCTTGCAGAAAAAGCCATCGAATATGCACGAGAATTGGAAATGATCGTCTAGATTTTTTAATGCAAGAAAAAAACGTCTATTAATATCGCCCTTTTTTTGTAACTTTTCTAAGTTCATTTTATTCTTTTGTTAAACTTAAAAATTTGCAGGCACGGAAAAACTGTATTTTACTAGAGCAAAATGCCTGCAAACTGTTTTCTTTTCTCATTTTTTACTCATTGTGTACAGTCTTTAACCATGAAGTCCAAGTCTTGAATAAACTCAACTAAAACCATCTCCCTGTTGTTTTATGCTTCTGCTTTTCCTTCTTAAAAAAAAATGTAAATGGCTTTACAAAGAAAATGTTCCGATTTTTTTGGTCTTCCTTTATAATTTTAGATCTGGGGAATACGTGTTCCTTAATTTGAAGGACTATGCTACCTCAAGCTGTGTTTGCTCTTGTGCTGATGCAATGAAAATGAGTCAGTGGCAGCCATTTTTTTAAAATTTATTCTCCTAAAGTATAGAGTAAACTAAACGCCTAGAGGTTTTTTCACACTTTGAAACAATGTTTACAGCGGGCTCTAATGACATAGCCCTGCACGGAAAACAGTTTTAAATGATAGGCCACACTCCGCTTCAAGCATTGCCGTCCTATGTCAACTCAACCGTCGACCTTTGAATGGTTCGATCTTGATTAGCTTTTTTTCCTCTTAGGAATGATTATCTCTTCAAATTAGTTCTTACAAGAATCAGTTTGGCTGATATTAATCCTGTATTCATCTTTAGTTGCACATGCATGGTAGAATAAAGAAAGTTCTCTCCGTAACCCCTCAAACTAAAATGCAACCTGATTCTGCTAGGCGACTTAATAGGTTAGAAATAAACCAGGACTGCGTATTAACATCCAATTTTTTTAAGTGGCATCGCTAACTAAAATGTGATTGCACTTTGATTGCTTGAAAACAAGCCAGTGTGGATAAGCACCCTCCCATAAATTATTGAGGCAATGAAAAACTGCAGGAGACTGTAAAAGAGAATGTTTAATAGGTAGTTCAGAAAAAGAATGTTACGAATAAAAATTAAAAAAAGAAAAAAAATGTTGACCCACCATTTAAATGATAGGTTCTGGATTAAAAAGACAATTAAAATAGTTGACAAATTGCACTAAAATATCTATTACGGCGATGGAATGGCATTTAAATACACCCACTTTTTCAACTAGTTTTTGAATTGACAGGGTACAATGAGGCTTTAAAAGAAGGTTAAAATAATAGAACGGTTAACGATGTACGGTGTTACAGAACAAAGGGTCTCCTCATGGCACAGATTCAATGTTGCCAGAAACACATAAACATTCAAATTTTCTATAACTTCTTATTACTGTACAGCCACAACAAAAACTTGAATGGGTAAAGTAAAAAAGGAGAAAAGATATTAATAAACAAACAAAAGAAAAAAATAATAAAAAAAATAATTTTAAAAAAGTTGGGAGAAAAGATAACAATATTAAAATAAGAATTGTGGCAAATAAATCAGCAATTGTAAATATATAACACAGTTAAAATACAAATTACATATCGAATGAATAGGATGGTCAAAATTAAAGGTGGAAATTGATGAAGGAAGGGAAAAATCCACTACAGTTACAAAAATATACAATAATATTAACATTTCAATGGATTCCATTTCATCATAAGCAATTGTACAAAACAGAGAATTGGTTACTAACACTTCTCAATTTTTATCTCATGTTCTTCCGCAAGCACGGGTTTTACAAGATGATGATAGTTATTTGGAGGTTAATGAAATCACAAATGAGAATTCCCTAACCTTTTACAAGTAAAGGAGATGAGATTTTCCGTTTCAATTCAGTTTTCAAAGCTTATTGATGCAAAAGCGAGCGACCTTATGGAAGCGAGTTGTTTTTCATGTTGAAGTTCCTTCTTTACCACTGGTTTCAATTATCACTTAATAATAAACATAATGCATGGTTATAAAAACTGAAACAAAAGAGATGAAACATATTCATGAGAAAATTTAACAGCAGAGAGGAAGTTCTGTTTCTCCAGGTTTAGAGATACAGAAACAGTTATTCTTTGGGTAGAAGTCGAGTGTGAAACAATGAAGATGAAATAAGATGCCGAGAATTTACAGAATTAATGTCCCTGAAATTCCCCTGCTTTCTCTCAACATTTTGGGAGAACTCCCTAACAATGAAAGACATGCCAGATAGTTACAGAGATATAGTTTGAAATCGTTTTATTTTTTCATCTACCATGATCTTATTAATCAGTGATGAATAAAATCTGTGTTGATAACTTTTTGTGCATCATTGATCGGATACTAGTGGAGAGACTCATGGTACCTACACGTGGACGAAATGGAGAGTCATGACAATGTTTTAGTGTATTTTTCCTTCGGAAAATACACTAAATAAGATGCGAAAGTTACTTAAGAATTTATGTTGATACTATGAAATGGAATGCAATAAATATTTCTGAGGTACAAAACATTGAATTTTTTCTCTGTATTAAAACTCAAACTTAACGACAGACAAGACAGAAATGAAAGAATGATAAGTGAGAAAGAAAACAGTTGAGAAATAAGTTGTTTACCTAACAAGAACAGGGGTCTTTATTCGGTGTGAAGTCGCTGCCAAGCTGGGGTGGTTTATGTTGAACACCCGACTCTGCTGCGTTCAGATCCAATCTACAACAAAAGAAAAATCAGCGATTAGAAAAACTCAGTGAAACCATCAGAGGAATAAGAGTGAAAAATTTGGCACAAGAATCGCCATATCCTTACAGGTATTGAGAAGGTGATAGAACTTGGCCTCATGTTTCTCACTAAAATTACATTTAAGTACAATAGACGTTTTAGTATTTACAGTTTTTGAGAGCATAACAAACAATACACTTGGGGCTTCGAATGTTTTGGATGTTCCACAAGTCCTATTTTTCAAAATGGAAATTCCTCAGGCTTGGCTCCACTCTCATCACTGTCAAACCAGTTTTAGCAGCGTACGCGTATGTTCCTCATGCCATGGCTTGAGGACCCCGTTTATATCATTGCCAACTTTTATCTCTCACACGTGGAACAGTCTACTTTATCCATCTACGAGAAGGGTCAGGGATACGACAATAAAAATACAGAAAAGTGAGAGCAAGTGCTTTAAACACAGGGTGTTGGCACCTACATTTTCTAATTTTCTTTCCTTTTTAAATGTAATCCTTTAAAAACATAAGTCTTACCTTCCATCTTGAATACTTTGATATATTTTCTTAGCTGTTTCCAAGAATGCTTCCTCTACGTTGTCGCCCCTGAAATAATTTGAAAAAAAAAACAGTTATTAATATGGACAGCAACTTCTCTTATAGGAGCAATAGGTACGGAGAATGATTGTAATCACATAGAGACAGACAAAACTGGATGAGAGATAATAACATGCAGAGTTAGCTTCTCTTGTTATAATGTATAGATTCACATTCACGGTGTAAGTCCGCATCTTGGTTTGCGGCGTCGCAGAATTCCTGTCATCATTTATTTTTTAAACAGAAAACTACTCAACGGCAATTCTTTAAAACTGCTGTAATTTTTCTTCTCTGTGCAAAGAAAATTCTGAAAAACTTCAAGGAATGATGTTAATTTGTTCTCCTTTAAAAAAATAATATAGAGGCAGAGATTTTCAAACACTGCAAACAAGATACCTACGTAGTTGCGGACTTATGTTGTCGACATGTGTTAAAGGCACCTTTTTTCCTCACTTGGTGAGTAGGAGCCATGAATCATTATTTTCAAAGCGATACAAACAAGAATAACAGAATCCAATATTCAATTGAGTTCTGCATTAGGATTTTCTAAGTGGGGTGGACATCCATTTAATTTCTGTTGATTTTATAGATTAAGTGCAGGTTTTTTTTTTTTTTTTTTGAGTTTACTTCTCTCAGAGGTTGAAGCTGAACTCTTCTTTCAGTTACATAACATACAAAATTTGATGGACTTAGTACAAATAGAACGTATTTTACTCCCTTAAACTTCGAATTTTGTCCATCGATCTCTCATAATTACCTAGGCTTTTTATTTCCCAAATTATCAGACCACTTAAAATTTGCTGGGGATTCAAACTTTGAACCTATGCGCTTCAGTATTTCCTGAACGGAAAAATATTTAGGAATTCAATTTTGCATTTTTTCACTTTAAGAGATGAAGAAATGTTTAATAAATAAAAAAAAAAAAACATAAAGATCTTCATTTTTGATCTGAACTCTAACTAATGTTAGCTTCTGAGGTATTTCTTGTTATACCAATACATGAAACTGGAATAAAACTGGCGTTGTAAATGGACTGTCTCATTCCGCACGTAACAATTGGTCACTTGTTATGTGGCAATAGTTTGGGATGTGAGAAGAATTGAAGTTGATAAAACGCAGAAACTAGGCAAAAATGGCTGAAATCCAAGCGCCGCAGACAGCATCAAGTGGAATTCAGGTCTCCTTTCACTCACTCTGAAGCAGTAAATGGCCTTGATGATGTTAGAGGCATGCAAAATCCACTGCATTTTGTCTTTCGCACTCAGGTTTTAGCAATTTTTGTCTGCTTCTGATGTTTTGACAACTTGAACTCTTTATAGATCCTAAGCTGTTTGCTTTCCGTGAACCCACCACTATTGAGATATGAAATAAAACAGCTGATTGAAAAAACTGTAGGTAGTTCAGACTAGAAAATGAGATGTACGCAAGTTTATTTTTTTAGAGAGACTTCTTCGATTTTTCAAAAACTGAAAAAATGCATAAAACCTTGCCTGAAAATCAACTCTTGAGGTTTTGGTAGCCCCTTTGTACCCCTCAGCAAAAGATCAAATGGCTACAAACTTACGTTTTAGCGCTGGCTTCAACAAACATCAGTCCATTTTCATCCGCAAACTGCTTTGCTTCTTCATATGTTACATCACGCTGAGAGCCATCTGCTGAATCCAGGTCGCACTTGTTACCGATTAGAAATATAACCTGGAAAAATTCAGAAGATTAATTTCAAAAAGAAAATCACCCGATGAATTTAACAATTTTCAATGGTTTAGTTAATCGAAGCTAAAAAAAAAAAAAGAATCTCATCTGTTATCAAACTTAAAGGGTCCTGAGCATGAGCATGTCCATCCAATTCTTGCTATTTTAGAGAGAAAAAATGGGATACTGTTGGTTTTAAAGATAGTTAAGATATAGGTATTTTTACTTTTAGTCATCCAATATATTCCTCAAGGCTAAAGGTGACTAACAAGGTTAAGGAACTACTATAAAGCAGCTCCACAACTCAAAGGTGTTACATGCATAAACAAGCAGTGAACTCCAACACAATGTGTTGATAAGGCGCATCAATAACTTGCACATATCAACCCCTTTAGTTTTTATTTACAGAGATTCCAAAATACGCAAGCAGCACAACAAGAAAATTCACGATCCAACACTTCAAGGTCAACGACACACCTTGACGAGACCGTGTATTGTGAATGTAGAAAACCATTCGAACGAGTTAAAATTTGTTGATCTGCCTCAAGCAAAATATTTTCAGATTCTTGAAGAAAAGCAGTGCACACTACACATACAGTGGAAGTTTGTTTACTATCTGATAACAATTGAATCAACGTAAAAGAAAATGTTCGAAGTCCAAGCCAGTGTTTCAGAATTTAAGTGGACAATTTTGTTGTAACTTTACGACACAAGATGGTTTAAGATGTTAGGAATGTGGAACAATTTTATAAATAATCCCCTAAGGGTAATTAAACATTTACGAAAGAGATTGATCCTATTCATCAGTGCCGTGGGACAAAAGAAACCCATTGCGATTATGAAACCCTGTACTGGACAACAGACGTTTCCGCATACATCGATTCAATTAAATGATTTACAAGAGGAAAATGGGAAAAGCATTTTCATGGAGAACTATTCTGATTCATGCATATTCTGGGGGCTAACCCTTTTCAATAGGGTAAAAAATAAGATGAGACTTACAGTGCTTGGATTGGTGAGGGTGCGAGTATCTGTCAGCCAGCTGCTTAAATGGTTGTACGTCGACCTCCGTGTGATGTCATATACCATTAAAGCACCAGCAGCACCACGATAATAAGACCTGCGGAGATGTATAGCACTTAAGACAAATCCTTGAAGTTTTTTTTGTTTAATATTATTATTTATTCAATGTTAACTACATGTAAACAATTTTATTAATTTTACGTATTCAAGAGTTTGCAGACATATAAGCAAGTGATACATTATTGTCCAAACGTATAACTGAGTAATACATTATTGTCCAAACGTATAACTGAGTAATACATTATTGTCCAAACGTTGAACTGAGTAATACATTATGTAACCGAGTACATAATATATTGTATAATCGAGTGATACATTGGATAACCGAGTACCTGCAATATCTTTAAAAATAGGACAGAATAATGAAAATTCTTTTAACATTTCAGATCTAGGTACGAGGGTCATCCAGAGAAAGAAGTCTCCTACGGAATTTCTGGCGAATTTTCAATGCTACAAAAAAACCAACTGTATTGTTGGATGTAGTAGATTATTGGCTGTACTATAAATTTATATTTTTTACAATTGGACCACAGGAACTCTCAGAAAGGTAATTTTTTTTTGCGCCTCCATCATCACTCACTGCCGAACCTGAGTACCTAAAAATTGCTTGGAAAAAGTATGAAAACTCAAGCTCACCCTTAAAAGTTCACAGAGGGGAACATAATACAGCTAACTTTTGAATTTTCAATGTAATCGCCACTGAAATCCAAGCATTTTTTGAAGTCTCGCAACAAGCTTGGGAATCTTTCGTCAAGGAATTCAACTGGTGCTGCACCTATCAGACTGTCTTTCAAAACTTGACTACAGTAACTGTCCTTACATTTACGATTCCCCTGTTAATAATTAGAGTTACTTAAAAAATCTACGTCATCTCCAATCATCGTCATAGTGACTTACCTAGTGACTGCACGAAATCTTTCTTGACCTGCAGTGTCCCAAATTTGTAATTTGACTTTCTGGCCAGCAACATCTATTATCCTTGTGCCAAATTCTACTCCTATTGTGTGAGGGCAATCTGCCATGACTGAAATGCAAAAGAAAAAGAGAAAAATTAACAAAAATGGTTCTTGAACCCCTGCACTCATGTGCACAAAGGAATGGTTTCAGGATCTTTGTACTCAAGTACTCAAAGAAATGACAGAATAAAGGGCAGAGGCAGTAAATCCAGTGTCTGACTAAACAGCGTACTTCGGTATCAATGTTTCTCGGATTATGCAATTATTTTATTCTCTTTATACTTAGGCATCCGAGTGCACAACATGAAACTAATGATACACCGTACAGCATATTATTCAGGAGAAAAAGTATTGTCAAATGAGCTTTTCTCCTCTAAAATACAAACGTTCAGTTCTAAATTTCATTTTAAATTTAATGGATGAATTCACCAGATGCCATCATGGATAAGCTTGGGCTAAATAATTCTGTCTATGATGATACGATGAGGTGCTTAGTTTGGAATTTTAGAGGGAAGGGCAAGGGGAGGGAGGATTGATTATACTTAATTTTCAATTCTCAAGCCTTGCTTACATGAGCGCGGTTCACGGAACTTATTTCGAGGAACTCGTTCCCGGAACAAGTTTTAGCTGAGCTGAAAACTTATTCCTCCTAGTCCCGGAACTTCCCCTGTACTCCGAGCTTCTACATATGTTTCTTTTGATGTGAATTTGTTTGTTTTTGTTTTTTACGTCCTTCACATGTCTTGACATTTATTTTTGTTACTTTGGCGGCCGTAATAACCCATTATTTTGCAATAATTGTATAGTTATATTGAAGTTCCGGTTCCAGTTCGGGAGAACTCGTGTAGACAGCATCCCTCCTTTCAAGGAACAAGTTCCGGGAACTGAGCAGTTCGAGGAATAAGTTCCGGGAACTGAGCAGTTCGAGGAATAAGTTCCGGGAACTGAGCAGTTCGAGGAATAAGTTCCACGAACTGCGCTCGTGTGGACAGGGCCCAAGTTTAGAAGCATCGAAACTTACATTTTTTGTCCGTGAACTGATGAAGCAAGCATGATTTCCCAACACCCATATCTCCGATAATGATGTATTTAAAGATGTACTCATAATTGTAGGGTCCCGCAGACATTTTTGATTCTGACCCTGGAAGAAAAAAAATATATTAGAATTTCAGATAGAAATCATGATCTGCATTGCTTACCTATTTTCCACAGAGACAATATCTCGATGATAAACAGAGTACTTAATGTCAATGCTGTAGATTCTTACAAGATGAGTCCGCCGACCCATGCTTATTTAAAATGAGATATGAAGGTAGAGAAGATCTTTAAAAAAATGCTTTCAACATCTTACAACTAAAAGTTCATGCTTCCAATGAAGCAAACGACACCAAATAGATTCCTTTGTCAAAGATGATAACTCCAATCAATTACTCGGGAGAAATTGTTGCGACTGTCATAGTAGTAAACACTCAGTGCATAGACTATCCAAAAGAAGTTAGATTATAAAAACTGGTTCACCAGACTGAAACTTTAGAATGTTCGCCCAAACATATCGCAGATTTGCAAAATTGTCGGGGAATAAAATGTGTCTGAAACCTATACAGTCTATAGCGTAACTTAACTTGTCAGGACAGAGAAGTCCCAGCTGACAATTGTACACTTGAAGATCAAGAAATTTGTCATATTTAAACAGTGATGGATGACTCACTGTAATACAGAAAAATACATCATGGTGTGATAAGTAGAATAATGAGCTATGGGGTCTGATACAGGGACCCTCCTCATTTCACATACCAGCTTTATATGAACAAAAGTTGATTTAAAAGTTGAAGCTACGGCTTACCGAAATTCTTCTACGATGTCAAAGGTTTACCATAAAAGACACGAAGGATTGATAAGTCCAACGAGCGAAGCCAAAACAAAGCAAACAAACCTAAATAATCACAAATATGGCAGACAACAGTCTGACAGCTCCGAGAACGGCCTTTCCGAAATCAGCTGACTGACGAGTTTGCTGACGATTTCCCGATTCCCAAAGATTACATTTGCAAGTCCAAAGCTCATGGATTTTTATTACATTCTCGTGGGCGGATTTCCATTGGCGTTTGAAAATAGAGCGGGAAGTTCAAATAAGCGAACTTTTCTCCTCACGCCGTCTTGCGTGTAATACATCTTGTCCACTCCTACGCGTCCAAGATTTAGGGGAGATATGCATTTTAACGCTCAGTGATGACTAGTATCTCTGATAATTAGTCTACCAGAAATATTGTTATCGTGTCATCAGACTGATGTGTACTTAACAAGTTTTCCTAATTTATTTAATTGTAGAGACTTGTGAAACTGTAAATCAAATCCACTTGTTGAATTCAAATCAACTTTGAATGATACAACTTTTGTGGGTACCCACTGAACAGAAATTATTACCTACAAGGTCGCAATAATAGGTATATAGGGTGATCCAAAAGTGCCCCATCACCAGCACCAGGCAACGCCCCTGTAACTTTTGAGCAAATTGAGATAGTGACTTGAAATCTTGAGAGAGCTCTTAGGTCGAAGGAAATGACATTCAGGAGCACCCACAGTTTTCGAGGGACCACCCTGAAAAGGGACGAAAATCTCAGGGATTACAGTGGTGGGATACGACTTTTTGATCACAATGCACAATGCTAAATCTATGGTAGGTACCCATAGATTTAGTAGTTCCATGGTGTAGTTTTTCCATTTTATCCAGTTTTGGGCATAGGTCAGTTTTTTAATATGTACCTAGTTAAAATATGTATAATTGTAATATAAGTGCATAGTCTGTAAGAGTTTTCCTTTCCCATTTTCCTTCTAATTTTTCAGGAGCTTAGTTCCTTACCTAATTTTTATGAAACCATCAAATGAGGGGCTTGGAGGACACAGCACATAAGTGCAATTAACGAAAAAATCGAGGCGTTAACGATTACAAGCAGAAGTAGTCTGAATTTATATTCTGCGAAAAATTTGCTCCCAAAATCCAATTTTTAAGCATCAAATAGTCAATTCGGTTTGAACTTTCTTTCCGCCATAAGGATCCATGTAATTTCGGAATTTTAAACAGGTTTTCTCGAAGTAGCAAAAACTGCACTTATGCGCATTGCCTTCCAAGCCCCTCAAATATGGTTCAGTTTGTTTGGTTTATCACTACGCTTTTCATTTATAACAAAGGATAAGGTTCATTTAAAGAAATACAGGACAAAATTAACGAATATAATATTATATTTTAAGTATTGCAAACCCAGAAAATGAATTTCAACTCATAGCTTTGAACCAGATAAACAAGGAAATGCAAAAAAATACTTCAATGGATCAAGAAATAGTTGTGGATAAAAGAAGAGCTATTGCTTCAGATTCAGGCATTAGAACTTTTGCCACAGCTGAAGCTGAATGAGAATACAGAATGGACCCAATGTTTTCTCACTGGTTCCAAAAATTACCGCTTCTCTCTTCATGAGCAACAAAAAATATACATAAATCTGACGCTACAAAATTTTCCTCCTTAAGAATGAGCTAACATTTTAAGCTTGCAGAAACTGTGATTTTGTCTTTCCTCTGTTGCTTTTTCACAGTCAACTTAAAAAATTTCATATCTTTATTCTTTTACAAGTGCCTTGACCAGTAAATGTTTTGAATGGGTAAAAATACACCATAAAAGCATCTTATTTTGGATTGAAAAAGGTCAAACGGATTGCTGGTAATTATTGACATGATAAATGGCACAGAGAATTTTTATTAATGATTCCTTCAACTTCTGTATTATTAGTGAGGACACAATGAAAACTTGGATACATTTTTGGTCAGATTAAGAGTTGAGCTATCCTAAGGGATATTTAAAATCAGCAGTAAAGTAGATGAGAGTTGAATTCAAGACATTTGATCAGCTAAAAAAAGTCTGCCACCGATATCAATGTTATTCACATTAAACAATTCAATTACTCCATGAGCATTTTTCGAGCGAAGAGCATCAAAACACCCTGCAAAATATTTGTGATGGCTTCCAAGGACTAAAAAATCATACATTTTCTCTCTAAAAGCGTATGTAGAAAACGGTTCCCACACAGGAAGTTTCAACTCCTAAACGAGATACTGTACCAAATAATTTTGACACAGATCAAACAGAAGTTAGATGTATTACAGATATTTGTATTTTTGCCTTTGAACCAATGTTATTCGTAAAAACTTATATCTTATTTAGGAGTCAGACAACTTTTAGACTTCCAGACCATTCCGTTTTCCTAGTGAAATTATGAAAAGCAAATATGTCACCAAGTGCTTTGAGTGTATGCTTGACTTACAGCTCATAGTGCTACGCTGAATTTGAAAAGATCAAGGGCTGATTTACTAGGATTGGAGGAGTGATTAACAGTTTGATTAGAGCAAAGTTACTCAATAATTTTGTTAAGACATTGATTTTCGATTGGCAAAGGAAAATAGAATGATTTAACAGTTGAATTGTCATCAGTGACATTATCATTGCTGGTGGTCTAACAGCATGATGAAATTTGAGGTAATCAGGTAATTTGTTTGGCTTGGATGATCCTGGGTTGAATCAAAAGATACCAAAATTGAATTTGGTAATGAGGTTCAGTTGATAATTTTTTTTTTTCCAAAACAAAAAGTGGGAGGAAAAAGAGAGGCAGGGCTGAATTGCAGCTGGAGTAGAAACAAAAGGAATAAAAAAAAACCCGTATGGTTCAATTATATTGCATTTTGCAAAATAGAACCAAGAACATTCCAATGTTGCAAGGAATGTGCAACTTATATTCTATGTAATAACATACTGAAAACGTGAAAAAAATTAATTTTACAACGGTAATTATTGTACAAACTGATTGCGGTTGATGCACTTGTACGATGTTGGAGTTTTTTTTGCCAACGTGCTTTATGCTGAATTTTTAACGCACGTTCGCAAAAAAAAAACTCCAACATAGATAATTTTTGTCTTGAATTTATAATTCACCGTGAGTAAAGATAAGACTTGTTCCAATGATCACTTTATATTTGCAAGGTAAAAAAGTTGCACTATCTTAGCGACATTGGGATGTTCTTGGTTCTTTTTAGCAAAATGCAATCCAATTAATTGGTTAAATTATTCAAATTTGCATTTATCATGAGAAATCATTGCTTACAATTAGTAGCGCATAGAAACAATGAGTTGTGATACATGATCAGGCGCCTCTCTCACAGTAACGATATCTATCTTTTACAATCTGTTGGTCAACCAAGTCAGTCGTTGTCTTTCTCTCAACTCTTAAATATGTATTTTATCCCATTCTAATCAAAGATTCTAAGTATCAACCACATACAAATCATAATCTGTGCAGATTAAAGAAAGTGAGTAAAATTTCACTCATTATCACCAAGGAAATTCTTGGATGGATTTTACTGATGCTTTAAAGTAATGAAAAGGAAAAAGGAGAACGACAAAGATAGAAAGAAATTGGTTTTTGGACAAGTTTCAGTGCTCAAGATGCATAATTTCAACATATGGCATATTCTGGAGCTGTTGATGAGACAAAAGAACTGCCTCATGTTGAAGAAAAACTACTATGGACAAATAAGTTCTGAGTACAGGAATAGTTTTACAATTCATCCACCTGATATGATGAAAATTTTATCACACTTCTTCCCAAAAGAAGACAGTTGAACTGCCGATCCACCTTCAGTTCAACGCAGTTCATCATTAGTTTTAAGCAATAGCGCATAGAGCTATAAAAAGTTTTTGCCCGATTCAGAAATTCAATTGAAAAAAACGTAAAGTAAAAGGATGAACTTCCAAAAATTCAAATTTGCTAAAAGTGCTGACATAATTGGGAAGTGTCACCATGACTTTGATATGAGTATAAAATCTCAAAGGGTCGATGTTTTACTTCACTTATGCTAGAGAAAAGATAGTGCTTACAGACAAGTTGAAAACCAATTGAAATCGATTGGACATGATGAGGCAACATGCCAGTAAATTATTTCCAGAAAAAAAGATAAAAAAATCAGATACGCAAAAATTATCTAGCTAGGTCCATTGACTATTTTATAGAGTTGAAATATTTTCATGGTAACAAGTAGCATTGATTGTAACCTATTTACATGACTGAAGTAACAAACAATGAAAATCAAAATTTGTAAAGTTTTTAAATAAAATGAAAAAAAAAAAAAAAAAAAATGTACTCCTCGTGTTTTGAAGCTTTTGTAACCTAATACTCTAAAATATTTTGTACACGAAGTTCGAAGAAAGTACCACCCTCTTAAGTAAAACTAACGAGAAGTTTGGAGCCAGCAAAATTTCAGGAATATTTGATATGATGTTCCTTGCAGCCTCGAGAGGACAATGAATTTTTGAAATCTAACTTCTTGTGAGTCAGTTTCGAGAAAAATGGAGCTAAAAAGTGAAGTTTTCAGCCTTCTTGCACACACTTTTGAATGAAGATGTCAGGCTGCTGCCACGTCAGTGTGGATGCTAAGTATATCATTCAGTGAAATTTAGTTCTGTTGGTCTGTCTCATCTTCCCGACCTGCGAGGAAACAAAAGCTTTTTCAATCCCTAATCAGATTTTGCAACATTTCTACCAGATGTTGCCTGAAGAACAGCCATTAAATTCATTTTTTAGCCCTGCTTTTCGTCAGATTCGCAAACTGAAAGTTTTATTTCACATTGTGCTCAGGAGGTCATAAGGAATATCATATCGAGTAATACAAAAAAATAGCATTCGCCAAATTTATTGGAATTCCATCTGCAGTACTTCGTAAATTCAAAGCTGTGCTAAAGTTTCATTAAATGATAAGCGTTGAAAAATATTTTTTTAAATCTCTTTTGAGATAATTACTATCTCACGGATTTTAGGGTAAAATTATGGAAGCTGTGATTGCTGGCATTTATTACCTTCTTACAAAATTTCTTTTAGGGTGGCTACGACCACAAAAATGTAAGAGAGATCTGCTTGTTCGAGAACAAAAAACATTTTTATGACTCATGTTCAGCAAGAACATATTTTTTTTGTCTGCTTAAAACAAAGTTCTAACAAAAAAATACAGTAAGTTACAGTACATCTAAACATCGATTGAAGCTCAAATCCAAAAGATTTTAGAGTATTGAAGTGGCAAAACTTCTCTTGAAGTTCAGCTATATACATTCAGTATTTATAGACAACAGCAATTTTTCATGGCTTGATACTCAAGAATATTCAAAATGTCTTTATTTGAGATATTACAAACAATATGATAATGTAGGATAAAAGGCTTCAAAGGTTTTAAAATTTCATAGCTAACATACATGGAAGACAAAAATGGGTCAGTTGTTCTGGTCACAGAATCAAGTTTTGATGGTTGAAGCTTAAAGATTGACAAAACATATTAAGGACTGTTCAAATATCTCTTTCAATATCTCCACTGTTAATGGATGTAGAAAGAGCCCTGCAAACTTTGGGGGCTAAAAGTTATCCGTTGATTTTGATGAAACTTTGACACGTTGAAATAAAGTTCATCACCAGCACAAAGCCAAACAATCGGCAATGTAGGAGCCAGGATACTTGCGGTTGGTAATGCCAATTGTGTAGCATTTTAGCCAGAACCTAAAATCTAATTTCTCAGAAGAAACAGGAGTTTCTAATTCAAGCTGACGTTCAACTGTGAAGGGAGGAAAAGCTTGAGTGACAATGATGCAAAAAGCTTTAAAGAAAGGAGGAAAGAGAAATCGTCAATTATCGCCTGTGACACCTCCAGCTATGAGAAATTTAATACTTAAAAACTTTTTAGTGCCAGGCACTGTAATACTGAACTTTGAATATGATTTCTTTGTGCATTTTTGCAAAGACCATTGTTAGCAGAAAAAGAAGTAAGCAGCAATTTACTTAACATATGAGTGTATTGTCTGACTAATTTAAGTGGCAAAACAAAGGTACTAAATAATGTTTCATCAATTTTTTATCTTGACCAGCTTTCGACCTTCATAGTTGATTCTGGAAATGTTAGCAATTTTACTTTAAAATACTTCAAAAACTCTGATATCTAACCTCTATTCAGCAAAAAAACAACAACAACATTTCCCAAGTTAGACTACAAATTATCACCTTCATTGAAAAGGCCAAATAACTCCCCCACCATATGAAGTTTTAAAACTTCGAAACGATGTTGTCCGATGAGGCCCTGAAACACTTTAATTGAGTACCTGCGCATGTCCCACTTAAAGTTACTGTAACGAACCATAAAAAGGGGAGTAAAAACACTTTATGACTTCAGAATATTCATGAGTATCTGAAATTTTTTAGACTACCCATTGATAAAACCCAGGAGTCTGTTGAACTTCAATAGTCCGAATGGGTAGTCCACACAACTGACGTCTGAGGGCGATGTCACTTCTAGCAGAGAGAGCACGATTTATAGAATTAAATAAAGTTCGTCTCCTGAGCTGACGCTCTCGTAAGGCAACATGAATTCCAGCGATAGGATGCAAAAATGAGATAGGATTAGAATTTAACTTAGCACTAGTCTCAGTTTCACTTATTTTCACAGCTTCACCTTCGCTATTTGCAATATCGTCTTCAATTTTAACTTTGACGGCTTCCGAACTACCATCTTTAGTTCTAAATTCATCACTATTTTTTATATCCTTATCTCCGACTTTACACGTAGGACTATTGTACTTATTCAACAATCTTTGGATTGTTTCCGCACCAGCGTATTTTACAGAAACTCCCAATTTTTCCAGAAGACAAGCTGACTCCCACTGCTTTTTGGCTGAGCCTGGTGTAGCATCGGCATCTGATCTTGCTTTAGGACGCGTCTCGGCAATTAAACTTGCCCAGTCCACGCCCAGAGCATCTCCTAATGTCATGCGTGCTCTAGCTTCATCTTCAAGCTCTTCATCGGAAATTTCTTCAAAGTCTAATTGCTCCATGCCATCCTTTGGTTCATTTTTCAAGCTGGAAAAATATAATTGACAAATATGAATATGTAAGTATCTTTAGATTAGGTTTGCACTATTACAATATTTATTAGTTTTTACTTCTGAGTAACTTAACATACATGGCAATAATGCTTTGACTTAGAACTCGTCCACTTCTGATAGACGAAAGCTATTTCTGACATCGGTCTTGATACAGAATTGCCTTTGAATTCAGAAAATAAAATTCCCTGACATTTTCCTAATTTTGCTGTGATATTTAGGTAAAATTTCCCAACAATTGATGGTATGCCAGATAGTAAAAAAGACAATTTGAAATAGTTGTCAGGCCAAATTTATTGTTCAAAACGTCGAACCCATTCTAGAAAGCAAGTAAGCGTGACTTAACACTTATTCCCTGACACTTTCGTCGTTTTTCCTGATATTCCTCAGTTTTCCCTGACTGTGGCAACCCTGTTGATAAAATGTATCAGTATTTCAGAACGAGGTGAATCAGTGGCTTGCCCACAAGGATTCATTGAAACATCCCTACATATACTAACAGCATTATTATTTTGTGATTTCCAATTTACAAAAAAACAAATTGTGTTCACTTCACACCAGAGCGTGTGCTACTATTACTGATACTAACCTAATGAAAATTTCATTAGGCGAAAATATTTACCTGTCCTCTAGAGTATCCTGTAATGTGCCACTGCCGGGGGATAACATTTTATTTAGTGTCATCTTTTTTTGAGTTATTTTTCGGATATCATCTTCGATGGCCTCTTTCGCAGTCATGTCAAGGGATTTTTTGGGTAAAACTTGAGATTTTGTGCGATCTCCTCCTCCATCCTCGCGGCTCAAAATATCATCAGCTTCATCACTAATGTCGCTTAGTTCTTCTTCTAGAGGCCCACCGACATCTGTTTTCTTCTTGGAATCTAGATGTAACAGTGTTAAAATATTTAATTAAAAAAATGTCAAGGAATCAATATATTAATCATCACATTTAGAATTCATATTATTTTTCTTTACAATTAATTAACTGTTACAAAGTGGTAAAATATTGCTGGGTCCACACTATTTTGCAGAGCAAGCAGAGCCAGAAAGTTCAAATATTTCAATTAGAGTTGAAAACTTTGAGCTCTAATGAGTATTAGTAAGTTGAAGACTGAGACTATTTGACTACCTTGTTATATTCAGTTCGAGCCACATTTTTTAGTGATTTTTGCTTGTTAACCATTACATTAATAATCACATTTGAGTTTTACTGAACCACTCTGGGCAGCTGACTGTTTGCATTATGCCATAAAAAGTTAAAAAAAAAAAAAAACTCACGAGAACTTTGTTTTTAAATTCTGAAAGAGAACTTGACTGAATGACAATGATGCTTGGGAACGCATGGTTAAAATATTTTCTTCTGAAATTTTTACAAAATTTTGAAATACCTCATCATTATAATTTTCAATTCAACTTTGTAACCACCAATTTGAAATCATGATATTTGGAAGAAAGATGATCTAAATCTAGTATTATCAGGTATTTTTTGCATATTTTTCGTCTGAACTTCTTTGATTTACATTTACGTCTACATATTTGCTGATTTTCTTCCACACTGAGGTTATTTGTTCCCAATTGGTTGTTTACCTGAATTCTTTTCTTCTTCTTTCTTAACAACAGGTTCTTCACGAGCTACAGTGGGAGGAGGTCCTTGAACATTCCTTGGAGTCCAGTCCTTTCGCCACTCGCGATCTGACCAATCCTTTGAGTATCTGCCCCAGTCCTCATTGTTACCTTTTCTCCTCCTGTCCCAATTATCGTTTCCTTGATGCAGGTCAGAGCGCCTGGAAGAATTTAGGATAAATATAGGTTAGGAGTCTTAGTTACAAGTAGAGGATGTGATTATTTTGTTACAACATTTTAACTTAAATAAAAGGAGTAGAGACATACTAGATTAGTACATTCAACAACAATGCAAAATCAATATAATGCATGAAAAATAATTTTTTTCTTTTCGTTTTGGCATTTTGTCAAATTGTCAGATAGAAAATGAAGGCCAAAGAAGAAGAAGTAGTATTATACAAAGTTTATTTATGGGATGTGTCTTAACATCAGAGGTCATTTAAATCTCTGAGAACAATTAATATAAAGAGTAAAGAGCAAAAAAATGAAAAAAAGAGAGTAGTGGTAAAGGACGACAAGAACTGGAGTTGTAGAAGCAGAGAAAAACAGGAGGCGGAACAAACCTGAGACGGGGATCCCAGTCTCTATGCGCCTCCCAGTCATGTGGGGGCCTTTTGTCTTCCCAAGAATTACGCCCAGGAACTACCTCTCTGGAGAGATAAAAACAGATGAGAAACAAAGTTAGAGATAAAAAAATGAATTTTAAACAATAAAAAGTTATGCAAGTTCTGAAGTTAAATTAAAGTAAAGAAACACAAGGTATTTAAGTTATTTCATTGGATAGAGAAGATAAACGTTGTTGAGGATTTTTTATTAATAAAATAATTTGAAAACGATTTGGGTATGAGTGGGGTGAATCCTTGATGAATGCTATTTTAATTAAACGATACATTAATCAACTGCCATCTTCTCTTCATGAGCCACTACATCCTAATATGTTGACAAATGTTGTTTCAGTTCTGATTCAGCCAAACAGAAAATATCGAAGCACAATTATGAAATGATATCTGATTTCAATATTAAAAAAAGTTATAAAATGTATTATTTTTATTTGTAAGAAAATGAGCGCTTTTGTTTGGATGGACCTGTTGCAAACTCATGCTAGGGCAAAAAGAACGTTGCTCTTAGAGTAAAATAGCTTCAAAATTATGATAAGCCGATCAGAAAAGTCTACAATATACTTCACATTCAAGTTTTTGTTTAACTTTTCACATAATTATGTTCTCATTACGGTATCACAGGATCCAACTTTTCAATTGAAAACAGCAGAAGAGAAGTTGAACCCTTGAATTGGGTTTTATAAAAAGAAGATCAAAAGTTTACAATAGCTAAATAGGACAGACCTTCTCCTATCTTCTGGGTGTATACGAATTTGGCGAGTTTCTTCTCTTAAAGGACTATCTTTAAAGTGAGATCTGTCATCTGCTTCATTTAAGTATCTTGCAGTTCGCTCGTCCCGTACTGAAATTTCAAAAACAAAGAATTTTTGGTTACTCATTTAAGAAATGAATTTTATACTGTGACATAAGTTTTGATGGTAGAAACCTACATGGTATTTTCTTTGGAAATAAACGATGAATATTCCTCTAAAATCGTTTTCTTGATATCAGAGTCAACCAACAAAAGATGACTCCTCTATGTTTCTCTCTTCCACTGGGGTAAAAAACAAAAACTTAACAAATAGAGACTACATTAATTCAGTGCATATTGAGTGGCAAGAAAAGAGCTGCTATTGAAGTTTATGTACTTGGAAATATTTTAAAAAAATAAAAATTGGATCTTCTGTGGACTATGAATTTTAAAGAAATGTAGATTTTCTATTTTCTGATAATAATTTTTTTTTTCCAAAACGAAAAATTGAGTACATACATATACCACAAGGATAGTTAGAATCACAGTCATTAAATCTTACTTAATCTCAAAATTCGTCTGTTTGAACGTTTGGCTACAGAATATTGATGGTGAAACTACGAAAACATGTTTCTCTGTTTAAACTGCGATAGACTTTCTGTCGTAGCTAATTTTTTAAATGGAAAACACCTGAAATCATTTTTTAGAAGATTCCTTGACTTCCTTCCTCCCTGTGAAGTGTATGCTGAAAAAATTTCAGGCAAAAAAGTTGGTTCATTGTCTTTAGATAAAATAAAATAAAATGGGAGGGGAGCTTTTAAAACACAGCAAACAAGAAACTTGGATTTGTAGTTTCACTGTCACTATGCCTCAGCAACTTTTCTTAATTTTTTACTAAATTTCCAGTCTTTTTTGCTGCATGTTTTGGCATGTCTGATGCAGCATGTTGCATCATTCAAGATGCCTAAAAAAGAACAATAATGGATGTATCTCCAGATAAACATTCAATCAGTAAGGTTTCAAAGATACATACCTCTAAAGGGGCTATCATATCCTTTGTCTTCAGCTGCCAGGACTCTCCTAGCTTCAATTTCTCGACTCCTGGATAGATCTCGTTCTCGGTCAAGAACCCTTTCTCGTACAATACTGCGTTCATGCGAGCTCCGACGCTCCAGGCTTTTCACTGCATCATGCACTAAAATCCTTTCTAAGTTACGGTCCTTTAACATGACACGTTCTTTATCTACAGATAATTGATCTCGCTCATAGCTTCTATCTCGATCCCTTGTCTTAGTAATTGTTCTACTACGTTCTTCGCGAGGGTAATTATCGTTTAATTTAATTTTGGCACTAACAGTCCTTTCAAATGATCTTTCTCGCCCACGAGGTGTTTTCTCATCTCTCTCCGGTAAACGAACACGATCTTTGATGACGGTGCGACGCTCGGGTTCGCGCAGCCTCTCTTTGCCCCGTTCTAGCTCTCTTGCTTTTTCCTTTTCCCGCTCTGCTTTCACTTTAGCTAGTTCCCTTTGCCTTTGCCGTTCTTGACATCGTTCTAGAGCTTCTCTTCTTTCTCTTTCTCGGGCTGCTTCTCGCACTCTCCTTTCTCTTAATCTCTCATCTTCACCACCTGTAATAAGATAAGATCATTTCTTATAAATTCGGAAAATAAAAATAATTACGATAAAAAATTATCTTCTGAGCCTCCAATTGTTTTTTTTTTTTTTTTTACGTCAATTAGGTGAAGATTAAAAATTTTGGAATGTCTAGAGGTTAATTGCCCATTTTATTTAGAGGTAAATGACAAAATAGGAAATTTTAATTTACGTCAACTTTGAAAGCATTAGAGTTATGAAAAAGATGAAGGCAACTTTTTATCCATCCTAATTAAATTAATGTGACACAAACAAGTTGTTCTTCCTCTTTTCTTCTCCTGTTTCAAACCAGCATAGCAAAATTATGTACATTTCAATTATCAACATTTTTTCAAATTAAAGTTCGTCAGTTAGGGAGGGAAGGGGTGGAGCTCTCTGACTGCATTTTGAGTGGCATTTTAAGCCTTCATTACAGGGCACTTTTTGTGAAATCTTGCAAGTTTAGGCTCTTTCTTCTCCCAGAAATTTTAAATCCTCCCGACAACTTTTGCCTTCCTCTGTCCTCTTTATTTGGCTAAAAGGGTGCTCTGTTTTGAGACTTATAGATCATTTTAAGAAATTAATTTGCCTCCTGTAAGCGGTTTTCAGAATATAATGCTTTAATAAAATATTAATCTAAAGTGAAAAGTAAACATAAAACATTCGCCAAGTCAAATGAGTTTGAAGCATTTTTTGATGAAAAAATGTTTTTTTGAAGGAACAGAGAAAGACACAGCTGAGTGTCTGAAGAAATTAGAGAATTAATTACGTTTGTCAAGAGCAATCCTTGGTGCAACTCTTCGGTGATCATCTTTCATATTTCTTAATTTTTCATCCCGCCTTTTTTCATCGTTCCTAATGGATAAAAAGACACAAAAAAAATTAATAAAATGGATTCAATTAATTTATAAATATTCTTCACAGTGTTTTCAAATTTAAAAAAAAATTGCCCAAAAACCAATGCTCAACACTTTTAGATGTCATGAAAACCATAAAAGAGCACACTATCTGAGCCTACTTTTTCTCACTAAGGTGACCCTTTGCTAAACGACAATGCTACATGAGGGTTTTTTGTGGATTAAAACAAAGACACTTTTCCTGTACCAAGTTTTGTGCTAATATGTTCTCAGAGGGAGCTACAGCACCCTCTTTACCATATTTTTTGTAAAATCACTGCTTTTTCTGTATTTTGGCAACGGAAATACCTTTAGCTCATGAAAAGTGGCTACTTCTCAGGTTCCCAAGTACTATAAAATCTCAAGCTTAAGGAAGGATTTCGGGACGGAGGGTCTTGGATCGTTTAGGACAAAAAGCTTGGTAGTGTTCCCTGAAATACCCCAGAATTTCTTTGAACTTGGGGCAAAGCAAATGAAATCAGCACTAAATATTGTGGGAAGTACCTATTTTTTAGTCCGTAATCATTGACAAAATTCACAAAAAGTTGATTTCCTTAAAATATGAGGGGCCATGGTTTCTACTAGAGGTAGTTAAGGAACAAAATTGGGGGCAGATTGAAAGTCTTATTTTAACCCGAAGAACCTGCTTCTGCAAAATGGGTGTATTATCCTGATACCTCTTATAGATTGTAAGATCTCATTTTCATTCAACGACATTCCTTGTTTATTGCCTAAATGTTTTCTATTTCATTCTATTCACTCTATTTTAAGTGTCAAATTTATTTTAAGTGTCAAATTTATTTTAAGTTAACTAAAAGATTAGGATTATAATATTTCTTTCTTATCGGTTTCAATACAGAGAACTTGTACAAGTACAATGATCAACAAAAACTACCTGATATCATTTTGTCGATTCCGCGGAGGTGAAACTTTTCTTGTTATAATGTGTTTTTCTGGAGTTAACCTTGAATTTCTTAACTTTTCTGGAGATTCTTTCCTTTTAATAATTTTCTGGTGTTCACTTCTTCTACATGGAGTGATTGTTCTTCCTTTAGATTTGGGCGACTTGCTGCGCACCCGTTCTCGGGGTTTTTCATATTCTCTTTCCCTCTGCCTAGATAGAGGAGAAACACTTCGATGCTTGTCGCGATGATCAATCGCCAGGTGTTTACTGGCTCTGGGAGAGTGTTTCCCTGATGAAAAAAAAAAAAATTCTCACATTAAGAACGATGCACAAAACTATTTGGCTTGGATGAGAACTTCCTGAAAATGAATCGCTAAGTTAGAAATTATGTCATCTCATTTCCATTCAAATATTTTCATTTTTTTTTTTTCCAGTTGCATAATTGATTGAAACAAATTCATTTTCTTCCCTTGCCCAAAATTCAACTCTTGCTGTAAAATTCGAGCGGTTTGGAAACATTGCAGTCGGTTTTTGCGTTTTTCATTTACTCAGGCGCTTGGAGCATTTATAAAGGAAGGAAATGCTGCCAAAATTAGAAAGATGTAGACACTTTAAAAACGTGACATGGTGTGGATGATATTTTTATTCAAGGTAAAACTATTTCTCATAAGCCCGAACTTAGTAGCCTATCATTTTTTGAGTTGTATCATTCATCACAAATGAAACTTCAAAACTCAGATTTTGCCACCATCCTCCTTCTACAACAATTTTCAGTGAATTGAGTAGGCACAACCCGCAGGCTCCTTTGCTCTGGCATGCGATGCAATATGTTGATTCGTAACGCTAGGTAGCATCAACTGCATTCAGTTTCAATGGGGAACACATATGTGCAAGAAATACAAAACTAACGGATACTTCCGAGGCTTTAATTTTTTAAAGCACCCGTAAAAAACGTTTCACAGTAAACTTAGTTCACTATCCACAGCTTTAATCCTGCAGAGTTTCAGAATGAAATCTTTCAACATTCTGCAAAAACTGGGGTAACGTGAATAGGAGTAGATAACACGCACACTAGATGAAAACTTATTCAAAGTTAAACTCACTTCCGGGAGACTTGCATTTTTCGGTTGGAGGTGTGAAAGCATGTCGATTGTGTTTACTCGCAGTTCGTGAAACAGGGGAAAATTTGGATGAAGATTTTTTGGACGAGGGACTTGAAAGTTTCTTACCAACTGGGCTTCTACTTCTACTTAGATGTCTATTCATCACAGGACTTTTTCCTTTGATAGATTTACTGAAACAGAAAGAAAAGTTAAACAATTACACGAATATTATGGGATGAGAAATTGGTATTATTATGAGCGGCAGGTTTGAATTCACTCATCGAAAAACGTTAAAAATCTCAGTTTGGAGTTAATTTTAACAAATGTTGATGTTTGCATCGTACATGAAATCTACATAAAATTTTAATTAGATAACATGCATCAGAACACTTCAATTTTAACTTTGTCTGGTGGTCCATTGTTCAATCACTAAATTTTATTTGACACCTTGGAAATGTTCCCATTTTTAAGCTACTCAATTCTTGGCTTCTAGACACACTCTAATGTACCTCTCAAGCATATAAAAATCTAGAATTTTATCTTTTGCGATGATCTCTAAGATGATTACAGTTAAATTTTATATGCAAAAAAGAACATTTGAGTGCTATCTGTGGGCTGCTGAAAGTGTGGAGGGGAACCATTTTATTATGTGCTCTTTCACTCTCATCGAGTCCAGAAGTTCTTAAAGTTTCTTTGCTTAAAAACATACAAATACATATTTTGGGTACTATTCCTTGATTTTTTGAGTTGAAGTTCTTTTAAAGGAGCCTCTTCTTCAGCATGATAATACAATCTCACGTACCTATACTTGATTTTTTTGGAGACATGCTCATCAGAATATGAAGAGGCGGACCTCCTTTTGGTTTTGCCTGGAACTCGATTGTGTTTCCTACGACCTGAGTCAGAACTAGAGGAGGAGCTGGATTCTCCAGAGCTAGAACTCGAGACACTACTGCTCGAATCGGAGGAGTCTGAGGATGTGCTTCGGCCTACCTATGATCAAAAAAATTTCGAGGAATTGTTATTTAACAAAAAAATAGGACAGAAAAAGGGGGCTAAGAGAGAGAACACTAAATGAGCAAAAACAATTTATAATCTTCCGTTTTCTTTATTATTTTTCCTCTTTGTACTTCATCTTAAATATATTTGATGAGGAGAGATCAAAGAAGCACTTTTCGTAACAAGTTAGAGCTGTAAAAGAAGTCACATCACTGCCAATTTTTGACCAAAAGAGCTCAACAAGGTCTCATTTTTTCGGTTTTTACTCCATCTACATGAATATGTAAACCGATTTCTTTTAGCTTTTTCTGTTCCTTCTAAAAGTCTAATTATTGCATTACTTTTTGGACAGCCAATGTAAACAAAGATGTGTGTTCTAACACTAGAGAAGACAAATTGTCACAGATAGCTGTTCTTTAATGAAAGTTTTGTCAGAAATTCATTAGCAAATTGCTCCGAGGAAGTACCTATCCTTGCTCCCTGCAGTTGCATCATGCTACTTTCCTTACTTGAAATTTTCCAGATTTTTTCTAAGTTTCCCTACACTTGCTCAGAAAAACAGAACAAAAATAATTCAATATTTAAAACAAGTTATTCGAAAATTCACACATTCATTTTGAACTTTAAATTTTCGTCTATCATTACTTTAAAAAGCCCCAATGGGCCTGTTGCATGCAAGAGATATAGCCGTGCGAATAGACTTTTTAGAGATTAAATGACACGAAAATTACGATGATCACATTAAAAAAGTCTGAAATACACTCCTTACTGCGCAATTTGCTTTGTTAGGAACGCACTTTTTCAAATTTCCCGCGTCTGGGGGCAGTTTTCTAACGGAATCAATTAACAGCAACTCGCGGCTATTTCCGGTCAACTATAACTGACAACATAACTTAAAAATCGGAGCTCGTGATTTCGTGAAATGAAATGTATAAGGATTGCGTTGGATATTTAAAAGTTGATTGATTTGGTTACCGCATAAAGCGTATATGGAGCACTATAAGAGATCACGTTGGGTTTGTAAACAAACTGAAGGAAAAATAACAACAACAACAACAACAACGACTCTTCCGGAAATCACCGGGCCCGCCGTTTGCTTGTTTCCGGTGATAAGAAAACTGCCCCCAGACGCGGGAAATTTGAAAAAGCGCGTTCCTAACAACGCAAATTGCGCAGTAAAGAGTGTATTTCAGACTTTTCTAATGTGGCCATCGTAATTGTCGTGTCATTTAACCTCTAAAAAGTCTATTCGCGCGGCTGTATCTCTTGCATGCAACAGGCCCATTCTCTCTTTAACTGGTGGTAAGTCATACTCCAGACTCTTTGTTAAAAACTGGTTCTTCCTGTCACATAACATTTCCTTTTGATGGCAACCGACAAACCGCAATTTGCTCCCTCTTCAAAGTACAAAATAAAATAAAAATACTTACTCTTTTTGAACACTTTTTGATACCCGATGAGAGTTTAGAATGCTTGGAAGAAGAATAAGCCCCGTGATGATCTTCATCTCCTTTCCTTTCTTGCTTTTGAAGTTCTTTCTGAAGAAGCATCAAACGCTTCTCCAACACCTTTTCATCTGCACCTTCCAGATCAGTCGAGTCCCACTTATCCAAACCATCGTCTGGGCTTTTGCCCTTCCGCTCGCCTTTGTAGACACGGAGCTAAAGAGAAGGAAACAACAATGAATGAATGCAATGATTCAAATGAAGCAATTTTTCTTCTGTGCTTCCAAAAACAAAATAAATCTTGATTCTATTTGAACAGATTTAACTAGCGGGTTGATTATTGAAATTGATTGACAAAGCTATAGACAAAGAAGACATAGTGAGTATGAAGCAATCCTATTCGTTGAAATGAGCGGTTTCTATAGATTAAGGAAGAAAATTATAGACTGACTGTAGGGACTCTTGTGGGTTGCAGTTAGTTAGTCTATTACTCATCTTTTTTGCCCATTGCAACCACCCACTTATACCAATAGGATCTCTCTATATCCCTTTTGTATTCTTTGTCTATAGCTTTGTTTCTCCATTTCAATAAGTGGCCTGCAGCAATGTTCTGCCTCCTCCCGAGCACTATGGTTCAAGAACGAGCTTTGGAGCCAAAAATTGCAAATTTTTAGTCGTAATTTTAACAAAATGTTTAGCGAGTATTGGACATAGATTTTTATCAAAAATGGAAACTCGATAATTTTAACCTGAATTGTGTTTTTCTGTTCCCCTGAAAAATTGGATTACATTTTGCAATTAGGAACTATAATCTCAGACTCATCCAGAAAATAACTTTTGTACATAGGGAAAATAAAGTTTCATACGTCGTTTCTGAACTGAGTCAGATATTATAGTTCCTAATTGCAAAATGTAGTCCAATTTATCCTCTCACTTCAAGTCCCCTTTTCACAAGCCCAATCACAATTATTAGGTCAAAGTATGACTACACCTACAAGTTTTCTAAATGGTTTTAGTTAACAATTTCAATTCTGTAAACCTGATAATTAGACACTTGATAAATGGGTGATAGCTAAAAAGAAAAGAATACCTGATAGTCTATGTCCTTTCGACTGCTTCTTTTCAAAGAACTTAGAACAATATGAGAATTTGAGTACCTGGAACAAATTTCAATGCAGTTTTTAATGTTGTAACTAGAATAAAGCACAATACTTATTTACTTACATCCCATTTTATTTGATTATCAAATTTTTTCAAAATGCTATACGCACTTTAGTGCATCAAGTTTTCCTTTCATACAAAATGAATCACTGCGTGAGGTGATTATCACCAAATTCATTATCAAGATTGGAGGCATTTTAGGTATCGGATGTCATTGTTGGGACATCCTGCTGACTTTACATTTTATCCAGAGGCTGTTTCTTCGTTTATCATTTGATGTCACAACCTGACAATAGCTTCTCTGATCTTGCTACGTTCATCATCAGGTCAGATAGTTTATCAGTTCACCCTGGCAATTGTCATGGAATGCCTGAAATAGCTCCAGAATGTTGTTTTGTATTGATTTGAGGATATGAAGCAACGCATTTCGTAACACGGTATTACTAGTTTTATTGAAATAAGACATGGAGTTTTGGACTGAGGCTGTTTACATTCTCGAGGCCTAGATACGAACTGAACTGGTAAGAGCAACAACGGTGAAGCCACCGCGGGGAAAAATGCAAGTATGTGCGCCTTGCACTTTTCAGTGCATTGTTGCCGATTTACGGCTGAAATTACTTATATTACAACACCCCCCCATAATGAAGGCGTATAATCGTTTCGTAAAATTTTAAAATTATAACCAATCCCAGTCTCCTTACGAGAGACTCCCTACAGTCTCCTTACGAGAGACTCCCTAGCCTCGTCTTACAAAAATGTTTTTGTTAAGTTTAGTTATTTTTTCTTAATCTAGTTACATCAAAAAAAAAATTATTTTTGTTTTCTTGAATCTTAATGCAAATTTACAACAGAAGTTTAATTATTACTTTCTTTCAAACAAAATTATCAGGTTAGTATTTTGTTTAGGCAAAACATATGCTTCGCTGGTGTCAGTGGTTTTGTTAGCATATCTGCCACCATTTCCTCTGTTGGCAGATACTCTAACGATAAAACTTTTTCTTGGATTAAATCTCTCAGGAAATGATGTCTGACAGCAATGTGTTTCGTCCTACTATGGAATTTCGGATTTTTGTGGAGTTTAATTTCACTTTGATTGTCATTAATCAGTTTTAGATTGAATTTTTCGTTAAAAATTTCAGTGAAAAGATTTGTTAGAAACAACCCTTCCTTGCCACTTTCGGATACGGCGTAATATTCTGACTCTGTTGATGATAAAGCAACAGTTTTCTGTTTTCTCGCTTCCCATGAAACAGTATTATTGTTAATTTTATACACATATCCAGTATAAGATTTACCATCCTCAAGATTTCCTGCCCAATCGGCATCAATAAATCCTGTGAAAACAATTACATCTGAATTTTCTGATTTCTTGTAAAGCAACCCTTTCTCTTTTGTACCTTTGAGGTACCGCAATACACGCTTAGCTTGTTGCCACATTTCATTCTTTGGGTTCTTATTAAATTGGCTAAGGTAGCTAATTGCATACGAAATGTCAGGTCTTGTGCAGACCGATAGGTACATCAAGCTCCCAATTAGTTGCTGGTATGGAATATCAGTGTTTATTTCTCCCTTTTTATTTTTGTCTTCATTCTCATCCTCTTTACCCTTTTTTATAATTGGTGTTCCCACGGGTTTACAGTCTTCCATGTGAAAACGTCTCAATATCTGATTGATGTAAATTTCCTGGTCAAATTTAACCTCACCCTTTTTTTCATCTACGTGGACGTTCATCCCAAGTATTTGTTTTGGTTTCCCCAGATCTTTTATTTTAAATGCGTCCATTAACCCCTTTTTGACCTTATCTTTCATTGCATGATCTGAATAGAATAAGAAAAAATCGTCAACATAAATGGCAAGAATAAAAATGCCGTTTTTTGATCGCGAAAAATAGACGCAGGGTTCTAGCCGCGATTTTTGTAACCCAAGGGATGTGATAACTTCATTGGCTCTCTTGTTCCAGGCATGAGAGGCCTGTTTAAGGCCATATATCGCCTTTTTTAGTAAACACACTTTGTGTTTTTGACTTTTATCTTCAAAGCTTTCGGGTTGATACATATAAATCTCCTCTTCAATTTCTCCATTAAGAAAAGCTGTATCAACATCGAGATGTTCTAATTTTAAATTGAATTCCACCGCTAAGGCAAATAGCATTCTCAAAGTCGAATGTCTTACGACCGGGGAAAAAGTTTCATGATAATTTACCCCTTCTATTTGTGAGTATCCTTTAGCAACCAATCGACATTTATAGCGACTTATCTCACCATTCGGACCTCTTTTTATTTTAAACACCCATTTATTCCTGACTATTGGTTTATTAGAGGGAGGATCAACTAGAACCCAGGTCTTATTTTTAATTAATGATTGATACTCATCTGACATCGCCTTAGTCCACTCAGTTGCATTTTCCGAGTTCATTGCCTCATGCACTGTCACAGGTTCGGCGTCAGCAAAAACAGAGGCGTACTGCGCGTACAATGCTCGATTCTCCGGGTCTGGATATCTGCATACCGGGGCTCTGTCTCGGTCCGGGTATCGTTTTCCATCATGGTCAATTTCCAGCACCGTTTGGTTGGTTTCTTCATCACTTGGCTCCCATAAGCTAGCATTTGAATCGTCAGCAGTTGACTCTTCTGATTCTGTCGTATCTTCTTCACCTCCTTTATCTTGCGTCTTCTTTCTTCTGTCTTCTTCTTCTTCTTGGCTGTCTGCTTCCGGCCGTATGGCATTTGTTGGTTCATGGTCTAGCAAAATCCGCACTTCGTTGTCTGCGTTGTTGAGAAGTTTAATCGTTTCATTTTCTCGAAAAATGACGTCACGCGAGATGATCATTCGCGAATCAATTGGATCGAAAAGTCTATATCCATGTTCCGCGTATCCCACGAAAATATACTCTTTGCTTCGACTGTCTAGTTTTTTAAGATATGTAGTAGTTTTAGCAAAGACTCGCGAACCGAACACTCTGAGATTTTTTAAATCTGGTGTTTTGCCGTGCCAGATTTCGTATGGGGTTTTTTCGGAGCCGCTTTTTGGGGATCTGTTCACGAGATAGGCAGCTACACGGGCAGCTTCGCCCCACATTTCTTTATTCAATTTCGAATTGAAGAGCATAGCACGCACTTTTTCAACCAACGTGCGGTTAAGGCGTTCGCTTTCGCCATTAAGTGAGGGCGTATTTGCTGGTGTATAACCCAATTCGATTCCTTTAGTTTGGCACCAGTCTTTCATTTCAGTGGAGCTGTATTCCCCACCGTTGTCAAGTCGTAATTTACCGACTCGTAAGTTATGCTTCCGCTCCGCAAACGCTACATACGTTTTTATAGTATCGAAAACTTCGCTCTTATTCTTAAGCAAATACAGGCACGTAAAACCGCTAAAGTCGTCGCGAAAAGTCACAAAATATTCTTCGTCGTTGCTCCATGCTGGTGGGCTTATTTTTCCGCAGACGTCCGTGTGAATAATTTCAAGTAGGCGTGTTGCTGGTGTCCGCATCTTCCCGAATGAGGCGCGCGTTTGTTTGGCTTTAGGACAAACGTCACAAATTAATTTTAATTTATTAAACTGATTTTTAGAAAAATGCAAACCCTCCGACATTGTTGTTAGTTTTTTAATATTTTCGATGCTTAGGTGTCCTAGTCTCCGATGCCATAGCGTCAAATCTTCAGTTTTTGACACGAAGAAAGCTGTGTTTTGCAAGACACTTTTAAGAGTGACAACGAACAAGCCATTTTTATCGCGTTTTCCGTGCATAACAGGGTAATTATTCATTAATACGACTATTCCTTTTTCTGAAAAGTTTACCGTTCCTCCGTTTTTAATAATGCAGTTTATCGATATCAAATTAGTACAAATATCGGGCGAGTATAAGACATCATTGAGCTCACATTTGTCTGTTATTACCTTTCCCATCGCTTCAATTTGTATGTCAACACCTTCTTTGGCACTAGATACTCTTGTATTAACGTTTTTTACTGAGGTCATTATGTTAATTTTATTAGTTAAATGAGAAGTGCAGCCGGAATCAAAGACCCATATGTCCTCGCAATACTCATTTTCTCCCCCGTGAGCAACGAAGGCAACATTCTTATCAGGTCTAGGGTTTTTACCCGAATTGTTTTTATTATCATTTTTGTTTCGAAAAAAACACTGACTTTCGTCATGGTTTGTTTTTTTACAAATTCCGCATTGACGGTTACTGTCTCCACGATTAACTGATTTATCATATTTATTGTTTTCGGACCTATCATTATTCTTGTCAATGTTAACTCTGCAATAACGACTTATGTGTCCAGCTCTTTTGCACCGGTGACAGGTTCTTTTCTCCTTTCCCAGAAAGGCAACAGCCTCTTCGGTTTTAACTGCTTTCTCTCTATTATGCTCTGCCAAAAGTTTACTTTTTAAAGTTTCAAGGGTCTTATTACCAACTGGTAGAAAATCCCATCCTGTTTTGAATGATCTGTATGAGTCAGGTAGTCCCTGTAATATTTTATTAATAAGCATTTCATCTTTGATTCCAGCTTCTAATCCCTTCAACTGCACAAAGAGTGTTTCAAGTTTGCTCACATAAGTGACCACGTTTCCATTTTTTATAAAATTCAAACCAAAAAATTCTTGATACAAGGCACTTTTTTCTTGCTCAGTTGATTTTCCAAAGAGATTTTTTAATGTCGACCACATCTCATGGGCATAGGTGCAAGTCAAAATGTGAGTCAAGAGGCTCTTATCTATTGTAGTTACAATTATTTTTCTCGCCATTGCGTCTGACTCATTCCAGGTTTTAAGTTTATCCGCGTCTAAAAGAGGTTTAGCATCGTTACCGACCGCTACATTATAAACCTTTGCTGCTTCCAAAAAGATCTTTACCTCAAATTTCCAGAGAGTGTAATTCGAAACACCCTTCAACTTCGTAATGGTCGAGAAACCGGCACTTGTTAGAATTGCATCCATTTTTGTGATCTAAGCTGATCAACACAACAACAAAAAATACATAAACTGTCCGCTTTTACACGAAAAAAAATTGTCCGTGATAATTTTTCGATTCAACACAGTCGCACAACCACAGCACTTTTATTTTTTTTTAATGTTATCGGTTTTCAATCTCGGGTTTTTTTTTTTTTTTTTCGGTTCTTAATTTTTAATTTTTTAATTTCTTATTTTTAATTTTTTAATTTTTTAATTTCTTAATTTTTAATTTTTTAATTTTTTTTTTTTTAAATTTTAATTTCTTAAGTTTTAATTTTAATTTTTAAGGTTATTACACTCCACGAATTCTGCGCTCCAGGGCTTCGTGTCGAGTTTTCAGTTTTTTGCACTTCTGCGCAATGTAGAACCCTATTAATATAAGGATCAGTAGAAATAATAATGCATATAGCATTAGGTCATGAATATCCAGATCACTTTTAATATTAATGGTGTTTTCTTTATTGTCAGAGAACCAGCCCATTATTAAGCACTTCGCGACTCGTAGTAAAACGTAACGAACGGAGAACGATCAACGAACACGTAATGAACGCACGAACAAGACACAATCCACGAATCGAAAGAAACTCCATCTCCGTCTTCGTAATTCGGTTTTTAAAAATAAAAACAAATGCAGATGCGATCACTGGGCCCATAACCTGTTGTTTTGTATTGATTTGAGGATATGAAGCAACGCATTTCGTAACACGGTATTACTAGTTTTATTGAAATAAGACATGGAGTTTTGGACTGAGGCTGTTTACATTCTCGAGGCCTAGATACGAACTGAACTGGTAAGAGCAACAACGGTGAAGCCACCGCGGGGAAAAATGCAAGTATGTGCGCCTTGCACTTTTCAGTGCATTGTTGCCGATTTACGGCTGAAATTACTTATATTACAACACAGAAGCTGTGTGAAATTAATGAAAAAAAAACCAAAAAACTACCCAAGATAAAAAGAGGAGTAAGATAAGTTCCATCAAATACATTTTCTTTTCTTTGTTTTTACTTTCTGTTTTTTTTTAGTTTGTTTCAGTGGTCTTAGTTATTTATTCAACATAGTTCTTTGGAGTTGGTTTTAAAGTTAGTTTTACAATTTACTACTCCGTCTACACGGAAAAGTTTGTTCTCAACTCTTCCTCTTCCCATGTTCTTCACAAAAGTTTATTGGCTCATATTTCAGATTATTCTAAAAGCCTCCTCACACCTCTAACACCTCCTTTTATCAGATCCACATTTGATGTAATCTCTTATCTTTCTGTAGAAGTTGACCTTATCAATTCATTGAATCTTATAGTGTCCCTCACATTAGGTTCTTTAAGAATAAGAAGATAGATAATCACAGAATTGAATAAAGGATTAGAGATAATGAAGTGAAAACTAGAGAATCAATTATATAACTCCTTACTTGCAGGACTTCTCGTAGGGACAGGTGCCATTTTGGACCCAGGCCTTGCAAATTCCTTCTGTGCTTGAATTAAATCTTGAACCTAATCTATCAAATACACTAGGACGACGAGAATCTTTACTATTCCCATTTGTCACTTCACTCGATGCTTTTAGTTTTGATTGCTTCGACATCTTGTTTCAACCTGAAAAAATAATTTAATTGCATCTTTCAGAATTTACTCATTAGTTCACAAATTCACTTCTAAGAGGATGAGTGCTCCGAGAGTGCGAAGTTCCAGAGATGCTATTCCATTACATTTTTGTCAACTAGATTTCCAAAGAAAAATGAAGTATGACTGGAAGTTTGTAACATCACAGACACAGATGCATAGGTTCGCACTTCGGATCATCTTGTATATTCTTGGAATCTAGTGCATCAGCCACAGTAATGTAGTGGTTAAGCCAATTTGTTGACAACACTTGGGTCCTTGGTTCAATCCTCACGAATGATAGGTTTAGAAGAGCACTTAAATCCACCATCGTTGCTGTGAATGACCATGCTCCTCCAATACCCTATCGGTTCCTTTGAGACAACAGGGTGGGTAAAGGACATGACAATCAGGTAGTTGTCAGTCTGCACTGTTTGGCTGTGTTGCTATGAAATCATGGATAATTTATAGTGAGCGTTACTACCAGCACTACCAATCGGTCGAGGATTAAAGCAACGTAGTTCAACTCGATGGGGAAAAACTAAAGTTGACATAAAATAATTTTCCTTCACTACCAGTTGATGCGGATTTCTTTGATTTATTTAGATAGATTGATGTTGGTTCATAATTCAATTTAAGGTCAACTAGGTTTTGCATTGCCTCTGCGGAGATACTTATCAGGAACTAATGGAGCAGATTAACATTTCAGGATAAACCAGTAATCGATCAAACATCGCTGCATTACCCTGTTTAACGCAAGTCTGACCTCATGGTGGAACTGTTGGTAGAAAAATGGTGGCATAAAATTCCTTACAGTAATCGCTTAAATTGAAAGAAGGGATATAATGAGCTGGTATGATATCATGAAGTAATCCGAAGCGCCGTTAACCCATGTTTACAGTGCTACTGTACCCTGTGAGCAAGATGACGCTGAAAAAGCCTTCAGAGGGATGGCCAGTGGATTGGTTGAATAAAAACGATTGGCTCACCACAAAGAGAGAACTCAGGCACGAAGTGAAATAGATATGACCATAATTTTAGGTAAAATCAAGTCGAATAGGATGGACACAACTAGAAGTGAGGTTAGTGGAACAGATGGCCCTTTGACTTGTGATTACAAACTATTTTCAAACTAAAATGAATTACCGTTCAGTGTCACAAAAATATATCCGCACATTGTTAGGAGAAACTTGTGAACCAGACACAGCACATATATTCTTAAGCATTAAACAACTGTCAAAAGTTTCAATACTCGACATTCATCCCTTGCTTGATGAGAGCTCGGTGTACTTTTCTGTTGCTTGAATGTCTGCCTACATCGTTGCCAGTTTATAATTCGATCACATTTCCCACGCGAGCTGGAACTGCACAGTTTCACTTGGTTCCACAGGAGGGCAGCTACTTCGTCAAACGGTATTTCCCCAAACCAAATTTCACAGTTGGTGCCTGGTTGGTGCTGATTTGGCATCACAGTCCAGTAATCACTGCTAAAATGGCGTTATCAGTTTTGCGTAAAGAAATTTGTAAACAATTTAGTGTCAAAAAAGCTCCAATATTTGTGTCAAGATGTGCTTCAAGTGATGCCCGAACACTTCCAGAGGACTTACCCACTCACACCGGACAGGTAAAATCAATACCCATCAGTTTTGACATTTGTGTCACTTTCTAACCTCCAAAAAGCTATTGCACGTACGTGCTTTTGTCTTGCAAGCTTGAACTTCAGAATGAGGCATTATTGTAATTGCTCACTAAAATATATCCAGAACGCAGTCATGGCAACAGGAAGATCAAAGTTTCATACCATTGAAATCTTTGGTCACACGTTTCTCTATGCCGTGTTATCGCACTCGATGCTACTCAAAGAGAATTCAAGAGAATTGATATGCGACAAGGCAGCATTGCCCCACATTGATTTTGATCTCTCCAGCCACAAGTTTAAGTGGAGGTCAAACTCATAATAAGCAATATTCTCACTGTAATGAGCTCTCCTAAGCCCAGTTCAGACAGTGGAATATTCGCAAAATCTGTTGAACGAACAAGATTCAACTTGGCCGTAACTACTTAGCCGAATGATGCAGTGTAATTCAATGCCTTGCCAAACTAAGACAACATTTTCGACTCCTTGAACCGGGCCTTACTCCTATTTTAGTGCTGAGGTCGGATGATTGGAGGAAACAGCTGTAGAAATCTTAAGAATAGCTGCACCTTTGATTAAACGACTACTTTCCGGTAGGATCCCGAATTACGTACCAATAGTAGCTTTAGATAGAGACTAAGGGCTAAGGAATCAGCTGTTCCCAGACATCATCTCTTTAATATTATTTATTGTTGCTGAAAGATTTGAAATTTGAATTTTTTCTCTTTGCTTTTTTCTAGAAATATGACAAAAATGATTACCGAATGGCCCGATTCGTTCAAGGAGTAAAACATATCAATCCTTCACCCGCCATCGAACTCATCCACAATGTTCCACCAGAACCTAAACCAGACAGGATTGTTTCTTGCAATGGCGGTGGTGGACCACTAGGACACCCTAAAGTCTACATCAATTTGGTATGTTATCATATTTTAAAATCTTTTTCATAGCTCATTATTACTCATCAAGGATGGAGTACCAAATGTGTCGCAATGGGTCTATTGTAAACTACAAGTCGAGCAAATACAAAGAGGAATTTCGAATGGAAAATGACTCAAATACTAAAATGATTGCACTGGCAAAGTCTGAAGTACCTTCCTTACCTCACGATTTGTAGGAGACATTTTTGCATCCTGCTTCACAAAGTATAATAAAGCAAAAATATTGTTTTATATTATACAGATGAGTCCCTCCTGTCTCAAAACTTTCCGTGGCCTCAGTCATGAAATGTTAATTCTGTTTTGTGGAACAGATTGTGGCTCTATAGACTAGTCTTTCTATAGAAGCTTGTAATTACTATCAAGTTTTTGTTTAATCACAGAACTTTCTCTATATTTACTTTTCTGAATCAAATGTATTGAAGAAATTAGGCTTAATTGCGATCAATTTAAGGTATCAAGTAAACCAAACGAGATTCCCTGCCTATGAAAACTAAAGATGAGAAGTATCTTCGAGTTCAAAACTGAGGGAAAAAATGTGACTCCAAGTCAGTGACTAATTTTGGAAATCTGGCCATTGGAAGAATTTTAGGACTTGGTTCTCACAGCAAAATTTTATGAAAGAATTTTTGTGAGGTTACGATATCTGTCTCATTTTGAAATCCCAAAACCTAAAAAGAAGCTCATGACAGGAATGAGGTTTCTATTCGATGTCTCGATTTATCAACATGCCTTTTACAATTGAACTTTTCTTAAACAGGTGTAAATATTAATTTTGTTTGTATGAGGTAGCTATTCTAATTTGTTCTCACGTTTTGTTTTAACAGGATAAGCCAGGAAATCATACTTGCGGATACTGTGGGCTTCGATTCTACAAGGATGATCATCATCATTAGTTCAGTATAATGTGGAGACCATAAAATGTAGATATTATTATACCTGTAAATACTTAAACTTCAAATTTTTTTTGTTCATACTAAACGGGAGTAATCATTCAATATTAAATGTTTTAATTTGTTGATATTCTGTTGTTAAATCAATTCTGCTACACTTTTACCCGAAAAATGCGCTGTTAGACAAGCTCTGAACTAGAAAAGAAGGTCACATGCTTTCTCTTTAAAATCTTACAGGAAACGGTTCACAAAACAGGAACTTCGGAAACAACTCCTCAAGGGGATATTCACACACGGAAAAAAAAGAATTACTGATTCAGCAATTCAATTGCTAAAAACAGTGAGTGCAATGTTTCAATGCAGATTTTACAACAAAAAAATGCTACTTTAACCACATTGTAAACGAATTTAACCACGGGGGTGGTTAAAGTAGCATTTTTTTGTTGTAAAATCTGCGTTGAAACATTGCACTCACTGTTTTCAGCAATTGAATTGCTGAATCAGCAATTCTTTTTTTTTCCGTGCAAGTATTTTGAATGAACACGGACCAGATGAGAGGTAGATCATATTTGTATTTTTGGCATTTAAGCGGTGTAAAATGTGAACGCTTATACCTTGTTTAGGAGATGATATTAAGACTTTCCGTCATGTGATGCCTTTTCTTCATGGGATTTTAAGGGTAAAACATGTTGCGTAGGGCTTGGAGTCATACCTTGTCTACAGGCTCGTTAATGAATATTTCGATCCTTCAAAAAAAAAAAGAAATAGCCATTGCAAATACAAGTGATTTTTGTTTTATTACAGAAAATTTAATAAAACAATTTCAGATGATACAGAAAAAAAAGAAAGAAGTCTTGATACCTGTAAGTTTCGAATACAGTCTTAACAGGGAACTTTTCAAAAGATTACAGATAAGTTCTTCCACAGGTCACCTTAAAAAAAAATAATGGCAACCATGGAAACTGTTTGGTTAAGAATTTTTCCAGACATCGCTTTTCCTCCTATTTTTTTTGAACAGCAATGACAGCCTATTAACTGCAATCGTGATGACGCAATGTCTTTTAAGAGGAATTTTTCATGATTTGTTAAAAAGAAATTAACCGTGGAACATAATTAATGATTAATCACTAAATATCCCTGAATTAACTGTCAAATTAGAAATAATTTCAAAATTACCTATCTAGTGTTGATTTAAATTTTGAAAACCCACTCAAAAATAAAACAATTCCCCCGATGCAGGAAAAAAAGAAGATGAAATAAAACCAAAACTCGAATATTAGGTAATAACTCCTTAAAAAATTAAGGAAAAAGTGAGGAACAAGAAATGCCTTGACTTCTTTCATCCTGGATTGCCAAAAGGATTTTGACAAGGCCTCAAAAATTTGAAACCGCCGAGGAAATGATCAAAACCTGAGGGAAAAGATTTTCCATCGGAAGACGCTTACTTTCCCCGGGGTTTATTAAAAGGTCTACCGACTCCTCCTCCTCCTCTACCACCCGGACCACCTGGACCTTTGCCACCACGACCTCCAAAGGAACCTGAAAATTGAAATAAATTATTAGTCGAAAGTCTGAGGGGACCTGATACTCAAATCAGCATCAAAGACATTAATGGGGGAGTGCCATTCACAGGAAAAACCGGGAAAACTCAGGGAATAGACCACTAGACAAGGCACGAATTCAAGCATTCTGATACATGTTGCTTACCCAGAATCTTACGTAGAATACGAGTTGCGCAACAAAAATGACTGAAACTAACTCCTAACAAAGATATTAATCTTTTTATTTCACATTGGTTACGCGGATTCTGAACTGCCCGCTGACAAGAAACTCAAAGCTCTACGTGAGTCAAATCGCGCACTAGAACAGTTTCAGCAAGCCTCTCAATCGAGCACTGTTCATTTTCCACCATGTGTTGTTCAAATTATAAGCAATTTGCTTTAGCTGAGGCCAAAGCGTCAAGATTGGGGTTGCCAGATTTTTATATCGCAGAGACTGTCATGATAACGTTTAGCGCGCTATGTGAATCACGCAGAGCATTGAGTTTTCATGAGCGGGTGGTTTGAATTCACGCATCAAGAATCATTAAATATCTTTGGAAGGAGTTGATTTCGGTAATTTTCGTTGTGCGTATCGTGTTCTACGTGAAATTTTGGTTGAGAAACATGCATCAGAATGCTGAAATTCGTACCTTGTCTTGCCATTTGGAAATTTGGAAGAACATTTGGAAGAACACAGGGAATTTTTGTGAAAACCCGAATCTGGAGGTAGATTTCTTGAGACATGACCAAATGATGAATTGATGGACTTGGACGGAGGACAAGGCGCATGAGTGCACTTTTTGAAAAAATTGAGATAATAATGATTTCAATTAAAACTAGTCTTAATGCATATTCGGTGAAAAATTAGCACCCAAATTCCAATTTTGAAGCATTAAAAAGTCATAAGAATCAGTATAATTTCGAAACGTTGTAACATGTATTTCTCGAAATAGCAAGAACTGCACTTATGTTTTTAAGTTGAATTTCATCTCGGATAAAATGCATTTGATTCTTGTTTTTGCATTCAGTTCTAAAATGCTATCTTACCTAGATCATGATAAGCTGTTTTGTCTGACACTGCTGGCCAATCATAGTGACTATGTTACTATGCTGCAGAGTGACTGTGCAGAAAGCTCTGGTGCAATGTAGCTCTGTGCATAATTTTGCTTCAACGTCATAGGGTCCACAAAAGGAATTAAATCAAAATGATGTATAAGTATGGCTACAATCTGCTTTTGAAGCACGCGGTCTGCGCAAAATGGTCAGATGCGATGGCTTGCAATCTTTTCTTGCATTGTGATTCGTTCAGCTCAAGTGACGTGGTCAAACTGGCATGCGATATATGACATCAATTAAGTCAAAAATCTTGGTCGATTTTGAATTTTTAGCAAAAAGAAGGACGATAGCCCCTGCGCATGAGCCTGAAGAATCATTCTGAATCCAAAAATCAGCAAAATTTCGAGAAATGAAAGCAGAATAGTGCTAGGAAAAAACCTGGCATTCGATTCAGCTATCAATTTCGGTTTGTATCGAATGCGAGGTTTGGTCCCTAACACTATTCAGCTTTAATTTCTTAGAATTTTGCCGATTTTTGGGTTAAGAATGATTCTTTAGGCTCACGCGCAGGGGCTATCATCCTTTTTTTGCGAAAAATTAACAATGTTCCGAAATTTTTGACCTAATCGATGCAATATCGCATGCCAGTTCGACCATGTCACTTGAGCATAACGAATCACCTTAAATTATTTTCTAAGACAGGAAAAATGAGAATGTCCAATGATTGGCAACCCTGCATTAAAAAATCTTATATTTATATTTTAGTGCTAGCTGGATCATATCTCAGCTCAAGAAAAAAAATTCTAACAATGTCTGAAATCCTTCCTCGGATGAACAAAGCACAATTAGGAGCACAATAGTTGCAGAAGAACAGCTGAAAAATTTACCTCGTTGTGCGCCCCTGCCTCGTTGGCCACCGCGAGCTGTCTTGGCATCTCGCCTGCCTTTGGCTTTGACAACTAGATCCTCTTTCACCATATCAATGATTTCATCTGGGATCCGCAAGTATTTAATCGTGCTGCCTCGAATGTAACATTCTGGCATTCTCCAAAATTTGTCTCCATCCTGCAAGAACGTTTCAATAGTTTGGCGGAATGTTAATAAAAAAGCTGATCAATTTCTTTTCTTGAGTAATGCACTAATCACATGGAAAAATTTGTTAACAAATAAGAACATTTATTGCAACTACAGGTGAGTTGTCACCAATTTCTGGAATCAATTAGTGCCATAAGTTTCAGTTTGTGTGAGAGTTGACATGGAATTTTTCTCTGAGGAGAAATAACTAAAAAATGAAAAAAATTTGAGTTGAGCCCTTCAAAAATCGATTCTTGTGAATTCTTGGATGAGAGAAATCTTTTTTAAAACCTCCGTGAAATCAAGGATAGTGTTGGGGAAGTGACTGATTAAGCGTATCGCCATTGTCTACTGGTTTAAGTAGTCCAAAAAAGGATTTCTCATTTAAGATGAAATTTTGCAGAGTGAATTTGCTGTCAATTTTTCAGAAATTTCTGGAGTATTAATTTTTTAAGTTATTAATTATGCATAAGTATTCAAATTTTTCTTTGCTTTAAAAATTGGCAAAAACCATCATCTACTCAAAGGCGACTTCTTTTCTGCCACCATGAGTACAGGTTACCATGCAACCCATCATTTAAACTATGGCTCTTTTCTTCAATTTCAAAATGAAAAAATATGTATGAAAATGAGAAGGAGTGAACAAAGAACCTTTATGTCAATAACATACCCTTGAAGTACAAATGACCTCTCGGAGATTTATGTTCATCCAATTATCGCAACTGACAAGATGTCCGTTGTATGTTTCACCATTCTTCAACTCAACTAACTGTAATTAGAAAAAATAAAAAAATCTGAATTATCATCTGCGGTATTCGTTGGTATCACATCGCTGGTCCAAGTGCGAAACAAAATACCTCCATTTCGGTGTTTGACTCCTATTTTAGTTCTTTGAAGAGAGAAAAGCTTCCTTGATAGCTTCAAAATTATAGGGAAATTATAGGGTATATTGTAGGATAATTATAGGGATAAAATATTCTGCTGACAGAGAAGAAAAATCAAGGAAGTTTTGAAGAGATTACATTGACATGTTTTCCAAAGAAAAAATTAAGTATGATAGGAAACCTGCTATATTGTAGATAGAGATACGTTGCTTTGCGCTTGGGCCATCGGCCAGAGTGGTTACATGATGAGGCAATGACAAAAGTTGAAAAAGACGCCCCTCCATTACATTTCAAAATTTCCTTCAATGTTTTATCTTAATTGAAGGAAAAACCAAAATATTTCCTTGAAATTTTCTTAAGGGTCTGAGGGAAATTTACCAAAAATTCAAAGAATGACTGTTGGTTGATTCTCTTTCAAAAAAATAAAACATGAGCAATAATTGTAACGATGAACAATGCGACTTTTTGAAAAAGGATTACTTAAGTATAATAGCTGAGAGTTATTTTCATTAAGTAAGGTTAAGAAGGCATTTTTAACAAATCTTTAAAATTTTTTTACTTGAGTACATGATGTTCATCTGCTATTAACACAAGGAGTGGTGGATAGCACCATTGTCCACGAGAATGGAGAGGCCATAACTAGTCAGTTCTGCGACATCAAGCTAGTAGATTTTTCCCGGAAACAACAATCATCTCCATGCCATCAGTGCATCGAAGAGTGAGGCAGTTGCCGCTTAGACCTATCGGAGTGGCCAAAGTTGCGTGAGCGGAACATTTGAATCCAAGTGGAGTATCGATTTCCAGTGTTAAACTTTCATTTCCTTAGTCATCAGACAACCCCATAAGACTCGTTTGATGTTGGGTGTGAAATTTCATCCTTTTTTGAAAAGATTCTTATGAATTTTTGCATCAGATCAACCTCTGAGAAGATATTGGCACAAAAGGAACAAGAGTTAGGCGTTCGCCAATAAGAATACATGTTGAACGGCAACCAAATTTAATCTACTGGCTGACCTCACAGGAACGTAGTTACAGCCTCTCTGTTCTCGTAGGCAACGATAATACCTGAAAGCAGTTCGAAAGATGTGGCAATACTCCACATCTGAGTGGATTGCTGAAATTTCTACTAACTCACAACAGAGTTCGTTTTTCAATTAGTCACACATGTTGCGCAAGAATTTTGTCTTCTTGATGGGGATTTCAAATTTAGGAAGAACTGAAATATCTATCAATGATGTTGAAGTGCTGTGCGATATGCATTCCTAAGTCGTCAACTAGATCAATGATAAGTATGTAGGTACCCACAATAGACGAGACTTACCATAGGATGATTTTGAGCAGTCCTCAATAATGACAGAGGTAACTGAAACAGAAGAAACTCATTTTAGTTGATCTGAGATGAAATGCGATGAACATCATTGATGCAGATAGAAAAAAAAATAATTGAATATCTTTGATCAAAAGGTTCGACAAAACCAATATGAAGCATTCGACACTTAAAACCTAGGATATTCTTAAATTGGTGGGAAGTGAAAAGGACTCACCATGATTAAAGTAAAGTGCAATACAACGATACGAAGAGAATATTACAGTTGGAGATATCTATAGACGCAGATGATGACTAAAGTGATTGGTGAAACTTTCCATAGTTATATGTTCTGGTTTTAAATTCACACAAGATTAGTTCTTCAAAACTTAATACCCTCTAAGGAATAAACAAAAAACTTCAAGTTAAAAAAATCACACCGGCTGCAAGGAAACAACTTCAGAAGTCAAAGCTCACACTTTCACTATCACAACACAAACCTAACCTATAAAACATCGAACGAACAAACAGGAAACGGATGTTCATGGCAATGGTCGATGACGCCGGAAACGGAAGTAATAGAGACTTGTCCCGTAAGTAGGTCTGGTTGGTACATAGAGAAATGGGTCTGCTAGGTCCCGGTCCCGTGAATCGTAGCCCGAAACTGCTGAAAATTAGTGGAAAATTTTGAGAGGTGTAGCCTGGTTTTGAAAAATTGCTCGAGTTTATCGAGCTAAGTCTTAGCGTAAAGTTTGAAATAAATGACGATTTTTTGTCAAACGATTCTTATTGGTCCAATCGCTCCCGCTCATGGGGAGATTGGACAAATGAGAGTTGGGCATGAAAATCTTTACATTTTTTTTAGGTCGTTCCGTTGTCAAAGCGGGCCTGAGGGAGTGCAGAGCGCCCCTGGAGGTTGGGCCGTGTAGCGGCCAGGGGGCATAGCCCCCTAGTCTCTTATGAGACACCTATGTTAATTGAAAATGCATACAGAGGATCTAATGCTGGCAAGAAATGATTCAGCCACTGGTCAATAGGAATTGATCGATAACATAGAAATTTCAAGACATTACTTGAAAAATCTCAGTCAGTCAGATCATGCTGCAGTGCATCATGTATTTAAAAGTAAAATTAGATTGGAGAGTAGGTACTTCAAGAGTCTGGCTTGAGTGAATGCCTCAAAAAACTATTCCTATGATACGCCACCCTTTGTGGCGGAGGAAATTGGAAATATAGTTCCAGCTAAATAAAATCCACTTCTTGAGTGCTACGGAGGATACGCCATCTTTATTGTTGTATTCAGTTTTACTGCTGAACTGAAAAAAACAGCTCCTCTGTCACACTCTAAAAGTGCGTTAACTTATTTGGCATGGACTCATACAATTGTGTCATTAAAAACAGTTGGAGATAGCATTTTCATGACTGCAAATAGTTGTAAAATACTAAAAATATCTATGAATAAATATTTCTCTCAGAATTTTGGCTTGTGTAGAAAAATCAGAATTTTTAGTTGATCTTTTAATCAATATTTTAAGTAGAACAATTTTGTCCAAAAAATAAAAAAATAAAAAAAAATAAATTGAAAAATATTTGTAAAAATTGTATTTATTGTTATAAAACAGTTAAAATATAGCAATGGTTACTAAATTAATTATAAACATATTAGTATTATTATAGGTACAGTTATTAAATAGCTACTTTGCATTCAAAAATAGGATATTTATCACAAGAATGCATTTTTTTTAAAAAAAAAAAAAAATCAAAAATTAAAACAGCTAACATAGTCTTATTGATTTTTGCAGAAGTAATTGTCATATTCAGTGCCCTACACAGTGAGTGAGGTGGTTAAACAAAAATTAATGCAACATCTTGTGAGTTTAAAATTATTCTCGATGTCCCCAGTCGGAAAGTTATTTAATATAACAAGTAAAAATTGTAATGCCTCAGAGATAATTTTAAAGAAGGAATCTTCAAAAGGAAAAGAAAAGAAAAGCTCAGTAAATTAAAATTATTTTTGGAAATGGAACTAAAAATACACATTGCATCTCAGCGACTGTCAGAGGTAAATAAAAAATCAGATTACATAATAAACTGAGGGAGGTCACTGGGAGAAGTTTAATTATGACACGAGTAAATTGAGTTGGATGCAAATCATAAATAACGCTGATTTTAAAACCAGGGACAACCAAACACAAGGTTACAAATGTAAAATCTGCTCAGACATTGGCCTGATTAATTTTGACACAAATTATATAGTTACTGGAGCACAATATTGATTTGAATACCTAGTCAAGATACAGAGGTCAAGGACGAAAACATTTTATACACAACAAAAAAAAGGGAGAAGAAAGAGTACCGCTCTTGTCAACCTTGCTGTGTTCCAAGAGGATGGGCTAGAGTTTTTAAAGCTCCGATGCACCGATTGAATTTTTGTTTAAAAAAACATTCCTGTAACAAAAATGGACAATTTTAAATATAGTTTCTCACAAATATCTGAAAAACGCCTGAGTAAAATAATTCCCCCGACTTTTCAGCCATTAAACACACCGATTAACTTTACATGTGGAAAAATAGGCGGATTATGGCATTTGACCCTTGATTACGGCATAATAACAGTAATTACTGAGGATAATATGCCTACTCCTGACATATATCTACAATTTCCAACAAATAAGTTTCAATTGAGGTATCGCATTTTGCGTGTTAATAGACTAAATTAAATTGAAAAAGAAAGTCTTGCCTTTACACGCTATGTTGTTTATTACAAGTTGTTGTGGTGGATGTGTCGCAGGCAAATAGTAAAATCAGGCATTTTGTCAAATGCCTAGGTAAATAGTCAAATATTCTAGCTAAAATTGAAATTCTGATTCTTTTCCTATTTTAGACAAAATAATCAATTGACTTCGTATAAAAAAATTCTCAGTAAAAATTTGCATCACAAAATAGTGTTTTAGACGAGTTTTAGCTCCTGAGTGAGACACTTATCTTGAAATTTTCAGCATTTCAGAGAATGCAGCATTTTTAAAATTTCAACATTTAAAAATATGAGAAGCAATTTAAGAGGGATAGACAAAAAAAGTTTGCAGGTTTGATGAGATATTTTTCCACAAATATTAAAAACTCGTGAGCTCTCCGCCATAAATTCACAAAATTTTGTAAACAATCAAAATTTAGCTCTCTGCCTAGGCATTTGAAAAAATGTCTGATTTCACTATTTGCCTGCGACAGATGTACATTTCGGACATCAAGTCCTTCCTCAACAATTTTGTGTTTAAGTGCTGAGGATGAACTTGATGTCGGAAATGCACATCCACCACAACAACCTGTAATAAACAACATGACGTATAAAGGCAAGACTTTCTTTTTCAATTTAATTTAAATAAGTTTTGATCAATCAATACTATGTACCATGTTTTGCTTCCTAAGTAAGCAGGCGTTCGTGGATGCAAACCTATCTTCATGTAAATATGTCGTGGCTTGCCACAACTTACAAGCCTTCCATGGGCAGTAGTTTTACCCAGACTTAGTTGTTCTATGACTTAGTTTTACAGCCAAAGAATAATGAGTCACTGTATCACTGAGTTCCACAGAGATATGATTTCCAAAAGGATCCTACAGGCTATACCTAGAATATGAAGTATAATGCACTCCATCTTACCGCACTTTCAGGTGCTGATACACAGGGTGAACTGGTATTGCTTCGAATGGGATTCAGCTCACATGAGAGTTCATCTTCGTTAAGAATTTCAGACCCTCCTTTCTCACGTATCCGTAATTCCTCCGGAGCACTCAGTGTTGACTCAGCCCTACGTTTATTATTACGATGTCTTTCAGATTTGGTGAGCGGCAGCATATTTGTGAGGCTGGGTGTACATTGAGAATGATTGCAACAGAAAATATCAATCTCTTCGCCGACATATTCTTGACCGCAGCCTCTGTTCTTTCTAGGGGCTAGTTGTGCATGCTCTTTTTTAGCCTGCTGTTCAGCTTGTCGCTTGATCTGCCATGCAACTTGTCTATCAGCATGCCTAGAGTAAAGGTCCTCGATATGATTGAAATTTGTACTGCACTTCTTGTCACACGTACTTTTGCAGCAAATAGCACAGGATTGATTGCACCGTAAGAAATCTTCGGATCGATCTCCCTGAATTTGAAAATAGCTGAAAGTTGTTTGGCAAACGACATCACTTGTACCATGCAGTTTTGCTGGCTCTGAGGACGTCTTACCTGCTTTTTTCATACCAACTGAATTGGCAAGGCTGTTGTGGTCTTCACTAACTGCTAAAATTTGGTTTGAGTTTCGAACATTTTTCTTTGATTTGAACCACTGTGACTCAGTGCTTTTTTTGGTTTTGGTAGTTGAATGTTGCTTCTTCTCTGGAGAGGTGCCTGTTTCCTTGTTCTTCGTTGTTTTTTGAAAAACTGGTGGTGGTGGAATAGGAGGCGGAACATCTTTAGATTTGCTTATTATTTTGGATTTTGCAGCAACATTAGTTAGGAGTTTGTCACTTCTCTTTAGAGCATCTCTTTTTATTGGACTGTCAGATCCACTCCTTTTGCTACAAGGAGTTCTAACTTGGTTACTGCAATTTTCTTTGTCAGATTTTTCTTTAAGATCATTGATGAGAGATCCAAGGTTTTTTTCGAGTTTTAAATTTACACTAGATGACGTTTCGTTCAAATTACATGAACTGCAAGATTTGCGAGGTCTTACACTTAAAAGCACAGGCTTTTCATGAAAAATTGCTTCATTTTCACCGTGCAAATGAGGAATCCTTTCGTTGCCACTTGATGTAAAATAGTTTGACTTCTTACAATTTGATTCTGCTTTTATGCTGTGGTTGCATGCTTGTGAGGATGTTTTCAACTCATGTGTACAATCATTTGACTTTCCCGATGCATTTTCTTTAGAATTTTTTTCCACACTGCGAACAAGATTTGAGTTTGAAAATGCTTTGACAGGTAGAACCTGAATACTTATTTTCACATTTGAATGCTTAGGTAAGCTAATGTTGAGAGCATTCAATCTATGAGCTTTTGAATCTTTAATTTGCGTTGATCTGACAGTTTCGCATTCTTTTCCACGAGATCGCAGACTTGGTTTGGAGGGAAGGTCTGTAGATTTGTTGGCTTCATTATCAGGGAACGTACACATAGGCATCAAGCACTGAACCATGTATGAAAAACAAGCAGGTTTGCTTTTCTTTGAATGAATTTCCTGGGAAAAAAACAATTATCTTTTCATTAAAATCTAAAATGAAAAGTTATAAAATGCAGTACCTACTGGAAAAAAATTGATAACTGCAGAGCAGCTTCATTAAAATTCTAAACTTGGTGACTCCTGAACTAGTCAATGAAGATAAGTTGGATGAAAAAATGAAAAATTTTTCCTTCATCCATCTTAACTTGGTCGACTATTAATCATACATTTTGTCCCAGGATTTTGATGAGGACCATTAGGGGACATTAAATTATTTGCTGGGTACTAGGATTCATTTAGAACACAAAATAATGCCACATAACTCACGTTACTGTTAGCTTCAAGGCCAAGGCAAGGCTGGATCGGAAGCGTAATTCTGTTTTCCTCTTTGAGTTTTGCAATCTCCTTTGATGGCGAGCCACTGAAGGACCCGAATAGCTGAAATTGACAATTTTTACAACTGTTAGAACATATTTTCTGCAATTTACAGCTTGAAACATAATTATGGAAATAAGTAAAGCAATCAACTTTGAGGGAAAATTACTCTGGACACAGGGAATTCTATCAAATCCCTGGAGAAAGTAAACATATACAACATATGTGGATACGTGTCTGACCAAATAGCACAAAGACAAAAATGCATTTTGAAGCATTGAAAGTTTTCATTCTTATGTCATGTCAAACAATACAAAAAAGATCATCTTCTATTAAAAATATGTTCCTGAGGATTATGATGTATCCAAAATAGAAGTATAAAATATTATGCCTCGTACGTTCGATTAGCGAATTTTCATAAGCTCTTACACAAATATTCTGTTAATGAATAAGAACAAGGTAAGATCAGTTGAAAAAGATGAGATCAAAGGAAACAAAAATAAAATTCTCAAGTTGGGGCCTCAGAAAACTGAAACTGTTTGGTGCAATTTGGACGAATTAGCAACATTATAACTCTACAGGGATACCTCAACTGATTGCAGACGATTCCACGAAAAAATTCGAATTTGACCTACTTTATTGCACATTTTGGTCTAATCATGTTCTCTTTATGATCAATAAAATAAAATTGAGTATGAATGGTAAGGATTGAAGAATAGGCAGAACTGATCAAATGAAAAAAAGAATGAACTTACAGATCTTCTGGATGTGGGAACATCATGTTGTTTGTCTCCTTCACCATCTTTCTGAGCAATTTCAGTAGGTCTACATGAGCCCTGGAAAAAATATAAGAAACTTAAAAGAATAAGTGTGCCAAAGCCTACAAAAGGTATACTCCTTAAAAAAAAAGTGAGAAAGAATTATTTACAGGTGACGGATGAAAGTTCATATTGAACTTTTTAGAAATCTTGAATGTGTCACAAAGTGACTGATAATAGTATTTTTTTGGAACTTTTTCAACTTTTCTCCAAGTGATGTGTAAGTAAATAGAGAACCTTATCTCTGCAACCTCTCTAGAACTTTCTAGGATTTTCTTGAAATTTTGGGGGAGTGACACAAGGTGACAAGTGGTGGTTGTTTCCGGAACTTTTTCGAATTTACTCAAAATGTTGGTAAGAAGATTGTGGCTTGCAAAGTAAGTGACAGCTGGTTTTTTTCTCTATTTTAAATGAATGGAGACTTTGATTATCGCTTTCATCTATATTACTTGTTTTCTTCTCAATCATATTTATTTGTTTGCTAGAAAACAATCGGGGTTCGGGCAAAAAAAAATGATGTAGAACAATAAATCATACCTGATTCCCTTGACTGACTCTTTTGTTGAGGAAAGAAGATCCACTGTTGCACGCGCAATAAACAATTGGCTCAGTTCTCAGCAAACATTTTGAGTAAACTCCTTCTTGATTTGATGCAGTGACTGGTGGGCAATTCTGTGCCTGGCAACACAGTTGTTGTTTTTTCTGACCCAGCGGAGATGCCTTGGTGTGTAACTGGAAATGAGGTTGAGAAGATCCCATCTGGAAAGAAAGAGGAAACAATAATTTAGTAAAGTAGTGATGACAAAACCTCAAAATTGGGAGGATCCCACAAGTTTTACCTCCGGTGATAAAACTTATGATTTAAAGACGGATCAGTTTTGCCTCTCATCGTAACGAGAGCAATCATTATTAAGGGAAAAGGCCCTGATAGTTTTGCCAAGGTTGATTTGTTGTTGCAGAAAAGACCTCTCTTAAGGCTAGTAAGTAAAATAACCAAATGGACGATAACTTGAAGGTGATATTTTCCATCAAACTTGGCAGGCTTTATACAAATTACATCCTTCATGAACCATCAAGAAAGTGATGAAAGGTTTTGTAATTTTTTATTATAACATTCTAATTTTTCTAGAGGATAGCAATCTGTGACTTTGTGTTATTATTTTTATCGGTATTTGTGAAAGAAGTGAGGAGAGAAAACAACTGTACAACCTCCTGAACAAAAGAATGGACACTTTCTTTCAGAGGGATCAATTATGGGCTGAACTCTAAGAGCAATAGCCCTTATTTTAATTGAGGCATTTAGTGAAAAAAGGCATTCCTCTGTCAAAGTTTTACAGAATCTCTACCAAAGTTTCCTTTCTCTATGCAGAACCTCTAGGTAATTCTGTCTGAATTTCATACATTAACTCTTAATTGATTATGAAGTACAGATTCAATAAAATTGTCATCAAGCCACAAAATTTTCTTATGGGAGAAAAATATTAACAATGTTGTTCAACACCAAAACTAAAAAGAGATCCTTTTTTTTACTCAGTGCCCCCACTTCCAGAAAAACAAAAAGGGAAGGATGCGTTAATTTGTTCCATAACCAACCTTGAAAACGATACAAATGGAAAACTTTAAAATAAATTATCTAGGGCTTAAAAAATAGAGGAGAAAGGAGACTAGTGTCAGCGTTGTAAACTCTCACTACCAAAATACCCCAAGAACTTTTAAAATCAATTACAGAAAAATTAGTAAAAAAAAAAAAAAAAAATTACAAGCTTAATCGATTAATGAGTCTAAAGAGTAATGAGCAAATTGGCAGCCTGAGCAGACAATGTTTCATTAAACTGAGCTGATAGAATATATTTTGTAAACGAGACTGACATCCTAGTGAAATACAAAACAGCACTATGCAACCTACTATCTAAGATGTTAGCGTGAAGGATTATTTTAAATAACTAAGTCTAGTGCCGTTCTCCTCACCTGATAGAAGAATAGAGAAAAAATCATTGATCAACTTGTTACATTTTCCAGTATCCCAACTTCGTATTTTATTTCCCTGATAAACATCTGTCGCTCCATGATTTTCAGCTTACATTTCTTTAAAATGTACGACTTTAAAATGTAATTAGAACTCCTTTGTCACAGACGGGAGTGAAAGGGGAATTTAAAAGTCTCTATTACCTGCAGTTTTCATGATGATTATTTTTCCCATTTTCTTTGTATCCTGTGTATTCACAGTAATTACAAGTAGAACAAAGGTAAATACATTCAGAAGAGAGAAAAACATCGGAATTGTCAAAACTAAGAATAAGACTCTATGCTCTCATTGAAGAAACCACGGAAAATAGAAAAGAAGATCCAAAAATGGGTAAAAAGTGAGAAAAGTTACGGGGAAAATTACTTTATTGCAATGAGATGGTAAGTAATGAAGGGAAAATATGTGAGAAAAATTGAGCTATCTCATCAATAGAAAAGTTAATAATACACAAAGAATTCAATTTCGGAAGGTTGGCTACAGAACTCATTAACGTACCTTTGCAGAAGTTGGTCTGATTGGAAGTGATAAAACAGCCTGTGATCAAATGACAGCATCGAAAAAGGATCCCACATCGAACTTTGGGCTCAGGGCAAGCATTATTTCCACAACCAGCTTTAGGTAAAGGATCAAGAGTAGAATTTCTGCAACTAGTTTTTGCGTCAGAGCAAGGACTTCCGCTGTTTGCTTTAGTGTTGGTGCAGGAACTTCCACAATGTTTCTGAGGGTCAGAGCTAGAATTTCCACGATGGGCATTTGGGTCAGGGCAAATAGTTGGACATCCACAATTGCAAGATTCCGAGAGGGAAGAAGATCTTTTAACTTGGTTCTTACTTCTTTCATTCCGACGAAAATCAAAACTCCGAGACCGACTGTGTCTCCGCGAATCAAGGCCTTCGCAGCAACTTTTTGAATTTTTTACCAGTTTATCAATGCATTCACACAGATCATTTACCTTATCAGACACATTTTTAGTGCCAATAATGTTGAGTTTAAAATTCTCGTCTTTACACCACTGTAAATTCAATGAAATCAGACATTTTTTCTAATTTAAAATTACTAGTTAGATTACAACTGAGTGAAAATTTACAACTGTCGATGAAAAAAAGGATCTAAGAGCACAGGAATACATTTTTCAGGAAATAGATAAATTTTTGTCAAGTTGACCTCAAAAGCTGAGTTTTGAGTTGTCAAGAAAGAACACTTAGACACATGGTTAATTGACTGACAGCTGAAGTAAAAAAATGCCTATCTTAGATTGCGATGTTGTAAGTTGCGGCTCATACTTCATTGTTTCACAGGAGAACTAACCAACAGTTTTTAATGCAATGTTGTGTAAATTTTCTGACTAATTTTAAAAAAATTTAACCAAATTGCAAGGAAAAAGTTTGATTAGTTTTCTTTGAAGAAAATAAAACATTATCTGAGGATTTTTAACGTTGCAATAACTATTGAGGAACGTATTTTTTGTAAATGGCTTTTGTAATGTTGGAATGCTAATGTAGATCTAGGTCACTGTCATAAACTGACGGCCAAACTCAATTAAGATGAATGACGTAATACTGCCGATCTAAGGGAAAACGCCATGTGAACCTTCAGGCGTTGCCAAATTTTCTTTGATAGAACACGAATTTCCTGGTAAACCTATGAATATTTTCCTTCCAATTTTTCAGATAATTTTGTTTGCAATTGCACCTAAAGTTTCAGAAAATTTCAACGAAAAATATTCATAACTTTCCTAAAAAATAAAATTTTATCAAAGGAAATTTGGCAACTCCCAAATGTTCATACGGCGTTCTTCCTCAGCACGGCAGTATAAGTCTGAGTTGATTTGAAGATCATTCAGATTAAAATCTTGAGGACTGAGCTTTTCTATGCAACCCTTAAAAAGTTGCTAATGAAATTCTGTTTTGCAAAGGTTGAAGACAGATTGAAAGCAACACAAGAAATTGTCAGTTGACATTAGAAAACAGTTAAGCTCGAAACTTACATGAGGAACGCTGACAGAGGTTTTCCCGACTTTGAAAGCACCTAGTGGACGTGGATTTTTCAACGATAACGCAGATGTGGATGAGCTGCCAAATCTGGTGCTACTCTTGCTTATACAACCATTTACGCTACCTTCCGAGTACTGTCTGATTGCTTTCTCGAATCGCTCTTGAAAGCTTGACTGTTGATTTCGTATAGGCGATGGAGATTTCGACAGTCGTTGAGATTGTGGGAGGGAGATACACTGATGAAAAACCGACACAGGTATAAGATTTAAAATATCACCTAAATTTAATGTTGCATGATGAAAATACACAGAAATTAATTGTAACTGTAGTTGAAAAACTTGCCTGCACGGAAACTTTTTTCCATTTTTGGTGGTTGTGACAGATGAGCGTACCTTAGTTCCATTTTCCTGGATACATACATACTCTATCAATTGAAAGATTTTTTTAAGACCAAAGATGTACCTTCAAGTTTTAAAATTTTCATAATTACAATTTTAAAATCGAATAAACTCACTTTCATAATTACTTACGTGCATTGAACGTTGTTGTTTGAATGTTATATTAAAATGATTTTTTATTTTATACATAAGAAAATCCTACTATACAAAATCCTACAAAACAACCTTTGAGCATATGGATTGCATTTTGCAAAAAGGAACCACTAGCATTGCAATGATGCTAAGATTGTGCAACTTCATCTTTTGCAATAAAATTGCGGAAATTGTGAAAAACAATAAATTTAGATGGTTATTTTTGTCTTAAATTTACAGTTTTTAGCGAGTAAGATAGAAACTATTGATGGATAATCGGGTTTTTCCTCCAAGATAAAAGAAGTTGCACAATCTTAGCAACATTGCAATGCTATTGGTTCCTTTTTGCAAAATGCAATCCATATAATGATCAATTCATTACAATCAATCAGTAAATCATGGATAGAATAAAATTAAGGTTCTTACTTTGGTTTGCGTGAAAGAGTGAGAGTTTCTGGGATCTGCAGCGTTCGAAACACAATTGCAGAACTCAAAAAATTTTCTTGATCCTGGTTTTTGTTTACGTTTTCGAACTTTCATATCCAGACCGTATGCGCTAGATTTAGGTTTCCTCGAGACCAAGACCTGTAAAGCATAAAGGCGTGAACAAGGGAAAGTAAATCAGCCAGTCTTCAAACTCTCTCAAAATAGTCCGATAAAAAAATGCTGAGATGCATTTTAAGAGCTTGAGGTTAGCTCCAGGCTTTAGTTTCGAGAGATTTTCAATTTTCTTCATTTTATAATTTAAAATCTGTCACTTATTCAGGCATTGATGAACATCAAAGCTAGCAAGAAAATACGATACAAAAAGTTGGATCGGTTCAAAGTAGAAGACATAGAAAGTTTAGGTCGTCAGAATATTTGTTCAATACATGGCTATAATTGAGTGAATATTTAGTTCATGCTTTCTTTAAGAGACCAAGATATTCTTCGAAGCAAGGTTCCAGAATTTTGAACTTGCCCTTGAAATGGAGCATTGATAAGCAACCAATGTATATATTACACTTTTATGATACATACAAATGATTTAGCTCGGATACATTACCAGTTCAGCTAGTGAAACCTTAAAGAAGATGTACAGAACTTACTGATTTTGGAAAACGATCCAGACATGGCGAGGGAGGTAATAAATTATGACAATCCGGGCATAATTGAAACTGTAAAGAAAGGGATGTACAATTAATTTTGCTCTCTGAAAACTCACAATAAAATGGTCCTTGTTGAAAGACTTGATATTAAAATTGAAAAAAATAATTTTTCTGGAAATAACTGAATCATCCATAAGTCATGACTCTCTCTAACTTATACTTAAAGCAAGGCAGATTCCATACACCTATGTCATATTGTCACGGGATGTTACTATGACAGGACTACTATGGTAGACATCACATTGTATGAATACACAATTATTTATTGACTAACGATTGAGGTCTATCAAAGGGGGCCCAGAAAAATCCTTTCCAGGTAAGCCCTCTCCTCATCAAAGAGGGACTTTTGGTCATTGAATTTAGATCAATTCACTTCCAAGTTTGGGCGATAATAGCATAGGATTTGTTTTGAAAATTTCTTGGTGTAGGAAAATGAAAATCACATTAGCCTCTGGAGAAGATCTATGGGACTCTTATCTCAGGATATACTTTAAGTCTTTCGACTGATCTTCAAACCGCGGGAGAAAACACCAAAATTATTTGTGCAAGCTCACCTTTACAACTTGTTTTGCACCATCATCCGGTGCCTCAAGTTCTGACTGGGCCCCCCCTTCTGGACGCATACCAGGGATTTGGATATCCACCTGTGCAAAATATTTGTATTAAAAATTAACAGTGCCTTGCAGGGTAATCATCAAATCAGACTGTTTGTAAAATACCGGGGTAAATAGTCAAGAGTTTTGCAAATTTTGGCGTATTTCTGCTCTTACAGAGAAAAGATAGATAAAAATATCAAACTATAACTTCACGTAATTAACCAGCATAAAAATGAGCTACACCTTTCATAACTTACTCTTTTAGATACTTGAGAAAAAGTTTCATTGAAGAGTCAAGTTCTCATTATTACAGTAGACATTTACAAAAATAGTCCTGCTGAAAATTCCTTACTGAATAACAATAAAACCTCATTTGAGAAAATTATTGATGAAATCTAGATAAAAAAAGTTTGGCCTGATGGCTCCTGGGTTTCGGCTCAAAGAGGGATAAAGCAAAACTTGAGACACAAAATTTTAAGTACTAGAGGTTCTATGAGAGGTTATGAGTGGTAACATTTCTTCCTAGTGTGACGATTTTTGATGGCGATTGTGATGTAAATAAGAGGAAAAAAATAAATAAAAATGAATCTTACCTTCAACTGTGCTCTGGGGGATACATTCGGAATAAAGTTTGAAATATTGGACAGCTTCAGGACTTCCGAGTTGGGCCTTGGACCAGTTTTTTCCTAACAAGAGAATGACTTATTAATTTGAGGATTAATATAATTAGTTCCAAGTGTGAAAAAGGTAGCCAGTTTGCGATGGAAAAAAATTGCAACTTATTTCGATTTTATTACAGTAAATTTCGATAAGAGAAACCTCTTAAAATAGTGAACAGGCAACATACACATCACTTCAATAAAACAGCAATACTTTTACTATGTACCCAATTTTAATTTGTTGCAACCATTGCCACTTGGGCTCTGGGTTCAAGATGTCGTCAGACCTATCATTTTAGAGCCGAAGTCAAAGTGCAAAAAATGGGAGAAGCAAAATTATTACTTACTTGTTTGGTATCATTTGGTACTATACTCCGCTCACACAACTTGGGTTTGAGATAAGACTCAGGCTTTGGTGAAAGTTGATATTTTGGACAATGCTCCGGTTTCAGAGAGGCCTCTGATGGCAGACCGATCTCGGGTTTTGGACATGACTCAAGATTGTGATCAAACTCTCGTTCGGCAGTAAAGTCAAGCTGTTTAAGTTGTTTTTGGCTGGACTTGGGTTTTACACATGACTCTTTCCCTTTTGAGTCACATTTTCTGGAGTCATGCTGAAACATAAATTGAGTCAATTTCAGAATTAGGCCTACTTGATGAAATACTTATGGTTGTATGCAGACAGACTTTGCTTGATGTGTTCTGAGTAAGAACCGCTCTGAGTTCAAAAATGTGGGTTTGCATATTTAAAACCCTTAACTGGCTTTTCCTTTCAATAAAGTCTGGAATGATTTTCATGAATACTTCTTTTTTCAGCAGTGCCGTTTTACTGTTACTTTTAAAACCAAACATACTTGACTTATGTTGTAGATCTTGAACTGTTGCTTATACATCTTTCAAAATTCTTTCCATGTAGATGGAACTTTAGTTTAAATGCATCTATTGATTCAAAAAAACTGCTACATTATTTTATAGATGAATGACTCAGTTTTTGAGGGGAGTAACAATCATCAAGGGAAAAAATGGAAAACTTCAGTGAGGTCATCGTTGAGAAAAAAAAGTAAAGTATACTTTTAACCGTCTACCGTTTTATCACAAATAATATTGTAATTCTGTCATTGTTGCACATCAAATAATTAGGTTCTCCGGTTGGTTCCTTGTTGTTAGGCTTGGCCCCGGTTCCCTCCACTTTATTTTTGTATTTTAGGCAGCAAAGAGGTTGTTCCATCTACCATTGAAACTGGGCCCCGAATGAAATCTCCTCATCTTTTCAGGTATCAAAGGGCATGGTCAGGGACACCCAAAAATGGTTGAATTTTTTCCAAATTCCCCCCTGGGGAGGGGGGGCGGGGGGTTATATGAAAAACGGTTTTTTGGCTATAACTTTTGAACGGTTTAAGATATCGATTTGAACTTTTTTTTAAATGAAAGGTCGTTTAAAGAGCTTTCTTTTGGTATATTATGTTTAATAGTTAGGTCAAGTTTTGACCAATTTATGGCCTGTCAAAAATTTTCCATGAGTCCAAAAATCAGATTTCTGTAGTTTAGAGCAGCGACGATCGCATGCAGATTAACAAAAAACTGTTCAACTTATAGCCCTCTTTCTGACGGTTAAAATGAGCCCAAGATCATCTTGGGGAAACGATTTGTCTCCGAGTTATGCTTCTTCAAAGTTGGCGCGGCGGGGTCCGCTTCCGCGGGGCAGCGCTCCGGAGTACGATAGTTCACTCCCACCCCCCTCCCGTCATGCCACGCGACGCAAACCGAGGAAGACTACCTTTAATGATCATTTGAACAGATAAATGCACACAATATACGCTATTATGGTGTACAAGTATTATTAAAATTATATTAATATACTAAATAGAAGAGTGGAATCTCACCGAATTTATCATCACCGCAATCCATAGGATCATCGGCAGTGTGATCCGCATTTTCATCCTCATCTTCGTCGTCTGAAAAGCCAAAATCGACTTTTCTGAGAGGGAAGCACTCGTTCAAAAAGGCTGAAGGCGCTGGTTTTTTGTGATAGCGCCCGTAAAACAAATACGAGCACAAGGATTGATGGTACGCGCACCGTTCTTACATGTGCAGTAACTTGCTTTAATGGCCTCGCTGGATTTTTGACTGGTGTCGATTAATATAAATATATGATATTCTTTTTTTGATTTATGCCTCGATAGGATCCGCGATCGAAGAAAAAGAGGCGAATTTACGGAAATATCATATTTTTGAAAATCTGGCAAAAAGTTATCCTTCGTCACTTGAAAGCAATATTTTCCATCAGCAAAATGGTCTGCAATATGACTTGCTGCAAGTCCAATTTGATAACTTCCCGAGAGGGTGTCAAGATCTTCGCTCCTCCACTGTTCTAATTGTTCAAAATGATCTGTCGTCAGGTTTTCAAAAACTACTTTTTTTCGGAGCCATTTCTCGTCCTCAACAATTTGTTCCACAATATTCGGCTCATTTAATTTTTGGAGCATTTGAATGGCAATTTTTGCGTCGTCACCATCACTTTGCAGGCGTTGAAAATATAAATTATGTATCGCGGACACTATGCGATAGTCGTCAAACAAATTGCCGGATCCAGGTATATTGCTTCTCGTTTTATAGAGCGTTTTCAATATAATTTTAATAATACTTGTACACCATAATAGCGTATATTGTGTGCATTTATCTGTTCAAATGATCATTAAAGGTAGTCTTCCTCGGTTTGCGTCGCGTGGCATGACGGGAGGGGGGTGGGAGTGAACTATCGTACTCCGGAGCGCTGCCCCGCGGAAGCGGACCCCGCCGCGCCAACTTTGAAGAAGCATAACTCGGAGACAAATCGTTTCCCCAAGATGATCTTGGGCTCATTTTAACCGTCAGAGAGAGGGCTATAAGTTGAACAGTTTTTTGTTCATCTGCATGCGATCGTCGCTGCTCTAAACTACAGAAATCTGATTTTTGGACTCATGGAAAATTTTTGACAGGCCATAAATTGGTCAAAACTTGACCTAACTATTAAACATAATATACCAAAAGAAAGCTCTTTAAACGACCTTTCATTTAAAAAAAAGTTCAAATCGATATCTTAAACCGTTCAAAAGTTATAGCCAAAAAACCGTTTTTCATATAACCCCCCGCCCCCCCTCCCCAGGGGGGAATTTGGAAAAAATTCAACCATTTTTGGGTGTCCCTGACCATGCCCTTTGATACCTGAAAAGATGAGGAGATTTCATTCGGGGCCCAGTTTCAATGGTAGATGGAACAACCTCTTTATTGTGGTAGCAAAGTTGTTAATGAGCTCTTTTGGGTCACTTACTAGACTTCACTTAAAAATTTTACTTCCATGAAATAGCATTTTTCGGAAGATAATTTAGTGGAAGAACTTTTTCGAAAATTGGCAGGACACTTCTGAGAGTAGAAGTAGCAGAGAGCCTTTTTTGAGGTGTTATCGTGTCCCTTCTATAAGTAGTGGTAGTAGAGAAAATTTCTTGAGGTATTGACAAATAACATATTCATCTTTATTACCATACTGACGAATGATCACATCAGTTAAATTATTACAAATGATTGGCAAGAATATGATCAAAACTTACATTCTTAGGAGTTGATTCATAGGAGACGGAAGCAGGGGGATCACCACTAGGACGGCAAGGCAGATGAGGCGGTCGAGGAGGAGGTGGCGGTTTATTAAAGGTTTTCCCGTCGGAGGGTTTGATGGGACATTCGCACTTAAATGAAATAATAGTCAAATGGATTAAAAATCAAGTCGGTTAATAGTTCAACAAGAAATGGTACAAAATTAACAGGATGGCAAACATGACTGCCCATTGTCAGATCAAACAGGAGTGCTGAAAATAACACCGGTTGAACAAGCTACGCAGTTTTCACCTCAAAGGGGATCATTTGATGAGCTTCCATTCGAAAGCATAAAAGTAGCAATACTTACGCAAACTGGAGTAGATTCAACACATATTGAAATCTTTTTGCAGTATGATACTTGGCCCCTGGACAAGGAACGAATCAAACCACTACACATCAAGTTTTCTCTTCCAAATTTCACGAGAGAAATAAATCGCACGACAGGAACTCAGGAAATGAACTTCAAAACATGATTAATATTGGTTAAATGGCAAAAATACAAAATATGTCTTATAAATGCTCTAACTTCTCATGCATCAAATATATTTGATCCATGTAGAATTTTTTTTGGATATCTCCTTCAAAAATTGATTTCTTATTTGTTCGTAGTCTGAATCGTTCTCTCTGTAAGATTTTGATGAGAAAATTAGTGACTTCTTTTTAATGCAAACATTTTTTAGTGGCCGATTTGTGATTTTTTATCGAAGCTTAGTGACATTGGAATACATTTCCTTAGACTCAGTTTTAAAGTAATTTACTTCTGAAAAAGAATGTGGTTTTCTTGCGAATACACTAAAAGTTTACTTTTGAGTTCAAATTTTTCGACAGTCTCTGAGAGCGGATTTCCATGACCCTCTGAGGATGGTATTTTGCTGCACTTATTCTGAAACTTAAGTAGCCCACACTCGTAGGGTTTAAAAGAACAAAGCTCTTGAATATATATCTATGTATGTGTTAAATGAGAACAGTAGGTAAATGGACTTAGCTGAAAACACTTCCCATCGCAAAACATTAGAAATTCAAATTTTTGAAGCTAACACAGTCAAAACAACGAATGAATACCAAGAACAATAAAGAAATAATAGGTTAGGGCAGCTGCTATTAAATTGAGTAAAATCATAGAAACTTACACTAAAAAGCACTTTTTATGTCCATGAGGTTTTACAGAAACACATTTGTTGTGATGAGGCTTTGCAAGAATTTTTGATTATATTGTGCATTTGACAAAAATGTATATTAACTAACTTTAGTTATAAACGGCTAAAAAACTTGGAATTTTGAAATTACAAAAAATTTAGCAGAATCTGGTAGCTATGGAAACAGAATTCAGCAATGAGTTAAAAATTGGGTTATTCTTTGCAACATATATATTATTTAAAGAAGATGATAGTAATGATGATGATGATATAAAAAGTAGATATTGGGATGTTATTTCGGTACCTAAGTCCTAATGCCATTGATGAGCGCGGAATGTTCTGGAGGAAATGAGACTGTTGTTAAAATTAATTATAAGTCACATTCATTTCCAAGTTTAGTAGACACTCTCTCAGCCAGTGCAAAAGCCGCACATCAGAGTATTGTTTCACTCCCTTGTTAGAATTTTGTATCAGAAAGCACATTTTTAAATTTTTTCTTTCACAGTTTTGTTGGGGCTAGCTTTGGTGGCAGGCAGTTCGCTACCAGCGTTAGGGTCCCCAATTCGGTCCCTGATGTTTAAGGGTTTTTGAGGACACTTTAAGAGTCTATTATTGTGGCTGTGGATGATCATGCTACGCCAATACCCTATCTCTCTGAAGCACCAAAATGGGGGAGGGCATGGTTGACCGGTAGTAGTCAGTCCGTACTGTTTGACTGTGTTGTGATAAATTGTAAAATCACTCGACAAGTGTGCTACTATTAGCGCAAGCGTCACCTATCATTGGGAGATAGAAACAACTCAGTCCAACTCTGTACGAACATGAGCATATTCCAACTCGAGATGCTCCGCAGCATTGGGCACAGTTGTCAAAAAAGCCACTCTATCGGTTGGCACATCAGAGGGCCACTGAGAATACAGTAAAGTGACACTGATTGAATAAGGTAAGGAGCCAGTCCAACAATTTCCTCGGACCCCTCTCGTCCAGGAAAAGGGTCCATCTTAGAAGTGAGTATAAAGAAGTTACTATTACTGTTTGATCAAGTGGCAAAATGCAACCGACCGATCTGGGTAATTCCTCAGAAATTTCGTTTACACCCTCTTCAGAGAGAGAATGGAAATAGTTTAAAAAACCCATGAACCATATTCTGAAATTTATGATGAAAAGTGATCAAACATAAGGAAAAATTCTCAGGTGAAATGCTTTTTTCATTTTTCCCTCAATAGATGATGCGGTAGTTTAAAAAAACTGAGCTTGAATTTTTTTAGTTTTTCAGCAGAAAAATGTTCTCTTAGAGTAGCTGTATCTACTGTCACAAAGCTATGTTCCTGTCATGTAGTATATGGCATGCTCAAAGTAACCTCTCGTTGGAACCCTGAGTTATACTTAAATTGTGTAACGTAAGAACTTACAGTAGATGTATTAGAATTGACTGACTTCATGACTATTCTTTTAGGTTTACGCCATAGTTTCCTGGAATTTTTAGAGTGATTTTTATTCTTTTTGTACGATGAGTCTTTCTGAGGGCAGAAAAAAAAGGTTAAACTAAAATAAAAAACGGATGAAAGAGGAAAAAGGATGTGTATTAATTCTAACAGAAAAAATTATTGATAGAACAGATGGGTACAAGGATGGGATTGAGACACATGAGGAAGGAAAGACATTGAATTTTTTAAATGCTAACCTGCAAAAAATTGGTGAGAGGCATACAGTAGGTAATTGTCATTCAAAAACTTTTTTGACCTCTTTTTGAAGAAGCAAAATAGGCAGACTTTTAACTTAATTCATCCAAGGTGTCGGATTCATTAAACAAGATGAGGAGACATGAAGTTTTTTGTGCACAAATAATGCGTTGAAAACCTGTAAATTTCTTCTCAGTCCAGGATTATTGAGGAGACATCAGCTTTTATGAATGGAATGAACTCTTGGTGACAAACATGCAGGCAGAAGAAATATTTCCGAGCAAAACGTTCAAGGCTCACTTTCTTTCTCCTTTTTCTGATTATTGTTCTAAATAAAAGGTATTACATACCTCGCAAAGTATGGGCATTAGATTTGCAGAATTTACACTGCATGGATCCGGGCAGGGGCAGATAATTACTTTTTGCCTTCGAGGCCTCATCTGCTTTTCCTAAGGACAGAAATCAGGGAAATTTTATAATTTGCGAATGAAAGTATGAGAGTACAACAATAAGTATGTTTCCCTACTTTTCTTTCTCCGCAACTATTACATAAGTTGGTATGACAAGTGACTGTCCGCAAGAAAAAGGGACTTCAGTCCACACTGGCAAAGTTTTCCATAGAGGGATTTTTATCGAGATGGGTAAAAAAAAATCAAAATTGAGATTTCGAAGGAATTTTTTCTGAGGTGTCCTAAAGAATAAGTTGCCAGTAACTTAATTTATTCTTGTGCTAATTAAGGACGTAAAGCTGCAATATCTGCCAACTTTGGGTCCTGAACATGGTATATTCATACTTGAATCAGTGAGAACGAAAACACACCAACTCGGTAACTCCAAAATGCTCAATATTCGTTAAAGAGAGTCAGTTTTCATAAAGGTCTTTAGAGTTCACCCATCTGCTCCAACTTGGACCTATAAGTGTCCTTACGTATTTGTGTTTCGGCACCAAAAATCTTTTTCTTGTGCTAACTTCTTCAACTACTGCGCAGTTTTGCGTGTCTTGATTATTTTCATTTTTTCGAGTTGGCGTGTTTTCGTTTTCACTGATTCACTTAAGACAGCTATTTCTTCAAATTACGTTTTATCAAATGTGAGGCTTAACCCACAATAAATCCTGTTTGGCGAGATATTTCAGGTGTTTTCCGTTTCAAAATGTTTGAAGAATATTCTTCAATTTTCTGGTACCTCCAACTTAATTTTGAGTTTTTGTAGACCTTTTCCCACGGATGATCAATCATTAGTATACAAGAGCAAACTATAAAAGGTAGTTTTTGGGTCATATTTTCAGCTTTAACTAACAGACCAAACTAATTTCTAGTAGGGGGAAAAAATAACTTCCAGTTCTTTTTGCCAAATTCTTCTATTCATCTGTTTTTGTGATGGATTAATGATTCCAGGCCTTTTTTTAGATTCTTTCTTTGTTCTCATGCTTTCATCTGACGCATCATTTTTCTGACGGAACCTCCACATTATCTAAAACCCCTAAAAATTGAGAATTCCCCCAAAGAAGATGATTCAGCAACAGAACATGGTTTCTTAGACATAGTATGGCTTATTTTATGAAAAAACAAGTCAAGTAAAATATGTTGGTTGAGGATAAACAAATAAATGGGAAAATGCAAAAATGAGAGACTCACCAAGTCTCTAACCCTCCTCCTCCCCCTCTTTGTACTTATTTCAGCAAACTCATTATTGCGACTAGGATTGCAAAAATCTTTCCTGGGCTGGAATACATCCATTCCATCACAGCAAAAATCCTTATTTGGCTGGCATGCATCCATTTTGTCACAGCCAAAGTCTTGGGTCGGACTAAAATCGAAACAGTCTTGTTTTTTCTCTTTAGGTGAGCAAGACCTCTTGGCTCTTATTTTGCAGCAACTTGTTTGCACTTTACAAGAGCTTGTTTGCTCCCTACAAGGGTTGGCTTGCTCCGAACAAGAGCTTCTTTGTCTCTCTCTAGATCTAGAAGAGCAGGATTCTTTTCTCTGACGACAAGGAACTTTTTGAGGGCAACAAGGATCTTTTCTGGGGCAGCAGGAATCTGTTTTGGGACAACAAGGATCTTTTTTGGGACAGCAGGAATCTTTTTGAGGGCAACAAGGTACTTCTTTGGGGCAGCAGCAATCTTTTAGCGGACAACAAGGATCTTTTTTGGGACAGCAGCAATCTTTTTGTGAACAACAAGGATCTTTTTTGGGACAGCAGCAATCTTTTTGAGGACAACAAGGATCTTTTTTGGGACAACAAGGATCTTTTTTAGGACAGCAAGAATCTTTTCGAGGACAACACGGATCTTTCTTGGGACAACAGCAATTTACCTTAGAGCAGCAATTAGATCTACTGCGCTTTTTACAAGGAGATTTTGAGGGCGTACATCTTCTTCGGGGGCTGCATTTCCTTTTGCATGTTTTGGATCTTCGTCGTTTAGATGGTCTGCGACAATATGCTGGAGGTCTTGGCGGAGGAGTAGGGCATCTTTGTGGTCTCTTATTTTCTAGGTTGTAAGGATGGATCAGCCTAGAGGGTTTTTTCTTCAGTTTCCTGCAAGACTTTCTTTTTCGGGGTGCAAGAATTTTACATGCAGAAGAGCTTTTGGCAACTTTACAATTCAACTTGGAGGTGCTCCTTATCCTATTAGCTATCCTAGTATAACTGTCTTGAGAGCAAATGTCTCCTCTGCTTCCTTTACGTCTCCTTTCTCTTGGTGAACAGCAAATCTGAGAACAAATTTAAATTGAACAGCAATATCAAATTATCGATTCCTGCTAAAGTTCCATAAGGATATGACAGCTTTTTGAAAAAATGGGGGGGGGGGAGGAAAGCTATTGGATGTCAGGGTAAGTGAACTGAAAAAAATGTATGCCCAGCTGCCAGGCTTGCATTATGAGGTCTAAAAACACTCAAATGTACATAGATCATCCGATTTGACCCCAGCTTCAATTTATCTGCCTGAGCTGAACACTCTCAATCTCCAGTCCTGTACTGATACTCATTAGAGTTCAAATTGTTTAATCCAATGAAAATTTTTGGCCTTGATTTCCCTGCAAAACAGCGTGGACCCAGCAATATTCTACTATTCTGTCATTACCAAATTTAGAGATTTTTAATTTGTTTGATTTTGACTAGTAGGACATCCTTAGAAAACAAAATATCTATCTACCTGGCTTTTCATGACGAAGGGAACTTCCAAAAGCAGGCTCCACTAACATTGTGGCATTACAAATGTTAGAGAAACGCGTCTTCATCATAAAATGAACTGTATTTTAGAACAAGCCGGGATGAATATTTTTGGAACATACCTGTTAACAATGAAATGTTGATTATTTATAAGGCAGAAAAGGTAATCAGTACTAATTTGAAGTTTGATTTATAGTAAATATTGCTGGGAAAAAAATATATTGAAAGTTCCCACTATCTCAAAATACACTTTTAGCAAGAAGAGAAATACTAACTGTTTCTCTCTTGATCCAACAGTTTATTGCTTTTCTTTTTTCTCTTTTGAATTTCCTTTTCTTGCAAATACCATTATGCTTCCTAGTAAATTCAATTTTACAAGGCAAATTATTCATGCGCATCATGGTTCTTCTTCAGTCACATTTTGGATAGTAGAGCAGACACAACCGACTGCTTATCTCAAAACTTTTCCTCCATTTATGGTAACATCAAAATCACACAATGGACCACTAGACAAGGTACGAATTTAAGCATTCTAATACATGTTTCCTAACCAGAATTTCACGCGGCACACGATTTGCGCAACGAAAATTACTGAAATCAACTCCTAAGGAAGATATTAACGTTTTTATTTCACATTGGTTATGAGGAATTTGAAAGGCCCGCTCACAAGAAACTCAAAGCTCTGCGTAAGTCAATTCGCGCACCACAACGGTTTCAGCGAGCCTCTCAATCGAGCAAACGTTCATTTCCAACCATGTGTTGTTCAAACTATAAGCAATTTGCTTTAACTGAGCCAAAGCGTCAAGATTGAGGTTGCCAGATTTTTATATCACAGAGATTGTCATGATGACATTTAGCGCGCGATGTGAATCACGTATAGCATTGAGTTTTCATGAGCGGGTGGTTTGAATTCACGCATCAAGAATCATTTAATTTCTTCGTAAAGCGTTGATTTCAGTAGTTTTTGTTGTGCGCATCGTGTTCTACGTGAAATTTCGGTTAAAAAACCTGTATCAGAATGCTGAAATTCGTACCTTGTCTAGTGGTCCATTATCATGGCAGGCAATTTAGTAAAAAATCCTTCAAACTGCATCTTTAAGTCCTCAGTAGTTCTGTTAGAGGTTTTACAAACCATGCAGAGGATAATTCCATTAAGATTAGGTACTTGTGTAGTGAAAGAAGTAAATATGAAAGAAAAAAAGACACAATTTTCCCTTCAAAATCTTGTCTTTCTAGAAAAAGATTTACGCAACTGGAAGTTCAGAGGTCAACTCGGATATTATGATGATATGGGTTATGGGTTTGGCACTCAAAGAGTACAACCAACTATTTAGCTGTAGGTCAAGGTTATAATAGTTTTAACAAGATATCCTACTCACCAAAGCACAGCATTTTGCTGTACATTAATAGAACTCAAGAATAGAAAGCGATTCACACAGAATAATTCAACTAAATAAAGGGTGAGGGAAACAAGTAGAAATTTTGAAATGAGCGGCATGAGACATTTTCAACCAAAAATTTTGATCAATATGAAAAAAAAAAAAAAATTAACATTGTTGACAATCGACAGCCTCCATTCCTCAATCTCATCATATGTTTTTTAGACTTCTTTGAACAGATGTCTAAAACATCTGGTGTCTATCAAACACTTTCCTAACCTGCAATACAAAAGCAGAATTGGAAATTGGTTTTGTTAAAAAAGAAGAACGGACACTGACCATAAGGCAAGTAGATGAATTTTGAAATAAAAAAAGGGAAGAAATGGTAACTCCAAAAGATGTTGAAAAGGTTTGTTCTTGAAGTTTTGAAATTGGCTGTAGTTGAATACATCGTCACCTTCCAGGCAAAGTATCACAAGCGCCATGCGACGTTTAAAAATTTCCACCGCCGTTTTATTTTTTTACAGAGAAATTGTTCAACGAAGCTGTCCGAAAATTTCACTGAATTTTCTTGGTGCTGCCGATAAAATTTAGTGAAATTTCCGAACAGATTCAACCAACAATTTCTCAGTAAAGAAATAAAATGGCGGCGGAAATTTTTAAACGTCGCATGGCGCTTGTGATACTTTGCCTGGAAGGTGACGACATGATCATCACTGATAAAATTGTTGTTGATTACTGAGAAAAATTATGATTCCTCTACCCAAGAGCGGATCTTTTAGTGGGGGAGAGAGGGGCTGAAGGGCACCACGTCAAGGGAGGTCTAGGAAAATCTCAACCAAAAGGTATTTGCAGAATTCATACAGTTCTAAAAGAGGGTTGCACGGTTTTTTCAGCTATAAAGAGGTGGTCTGGAGGCCACTCAAGGAAAATTTGGAAAATTTGAACCATCTCATGAGCAATTTTAGATTGCTCTCACTGCAAAATGGATCATATTATATTTCAAAGAGGAATTTGTATAACGCAATTACTTACCAAAATACCTCTCACATTTCTTAGGAGAGGCATAGTAGATGGGGGGCAGTGGCAAGCCACCCCCCCCCCCCCCCCCCNAAAGTTCCGCCCTGGCTTCAACCTCTCCACACATTCACTCGAGTGATGAGCTGTAAATCCAGCCACTAACATGGGGGATGTATGTAACACACAGCTTCATGTCCATATTCCTGCACAGATTATGTTTACCGTCTTAAAGATCACAGAGTGTAAATATTCATGAAAAAAAAAAAGCTCGATTAATCATGGAGCAGGAAAAAAATGCTATACTTTACTATTTGATATTATCCTATGACTGTGTTAATACTGCAATAACTTTACTAAATTTACAGAATTAAAACTCTGAATATTCAAATCTTTTCCTTAAATTTTGTTATTGAATGGAACTGATTGAGGAGACCCTGTCTTAAAATTTTAGACTTCACCTGTCGGCCTCCTGTGGTGTAGTGGTTGTAGCGCTGACCCTATGACCAAGAGGTCTCGGGTTCGATTCCCGGCCAGGTGATCTGAGTTTGATGGTTTGGCAATGGTCACCAGGGGCTGGGGTGATAAGCATAGGATTAGCTAATAGGCTATTTGAAATTGTTAAAAAAAAAAAAAAACCCTAGTAAGCTGTACTCTCAAGTGCACCCGTCAGCAAAAATATTATATTAGGAATGATGAAACAGGATTTTGCAGATGAAATCCTTCTGGATGAAAGATTTTCATTCCAGAGAAGACCTTCAACCTGTATCAATTCCCAGGAATACCATGACTTGAGGATCTAGGAAAAATTAGCAGAAAATTGAAAAGCCAGTTTAAATAAGACCAATTTGGGGACTTGCAGTTCACGCTGATGGTGAGATTTTGGAAGTTGATCAGTCCCAAGAGTACCGGGTTTTCGACAAGGTCAGACTGGTGTCCAATATAGGGTGTCTATTAAGTAAAACATTTTCACAGATTTTGGCTGTCCAGCCAAAAGAGGATGGTAGATGTGCGCATCTTCTTAGTCCTAAACTGGGATCAAAATCAAATTCCACTTCGTTTCGCATCCTCCAACTCGAGATGCTTCCTTGAAAATTACAAATTTTCTTTTATTCCGAAAAGAGAGGAAAGATACAATAGAAAAACTTACACTTTGAAATCCCTTAAATCAAGCAAAAAAAGACGATCATGGCTTTGGAAAAGACTCCTTACATCAAGGCTTATTACTGTTACTGACATCATGAGATGGAGAAGTCAGAGGAAAATAGGACCTTGAGAGAAGCGAGAAAATGAATAACTAAACAGTAAACCGAAGTGAAATTCTTTTAATTAGAATTCTTCCTAGAAATCACACTCTTCAAAATTCACATGTTCACGTGCTCTTTTTCCTACTTTCTAAAAAAAAGTAAACAAAAACCTGAGGAGTAAAGAAACTAAAAAGCATCTAATGACCAACTGTAGATCTATTACCCCATCGGCTGAAGGATTAATTTAATTGAAAAAATTTCAAAATCAATTGAGCTAAGCTTAGAAATATTTTTAAAATTTAAAACCGTGATATTTATTCCAATTTTCAACCAAAAGTATCATTATTGATGTACATAAATCAATAAATCACACAATAAAAAATTAAGTGGTGATAACGAAATCCGTGTGAATTTTTATCTAGAAAGTTGACCAGCTTGAGCTCAGATGATCAGATCGCGCATGCGCATCGCTGACGTTTCTGCTTGCAAATTTCGACGCCATTTGTTTCTGTTCGTGTTGTTTAGATCTGGACTTTTTTAAGCCGGTATTCCTTCGAAATATTCAGTGTTTCTGATTAGTGATAAACTATTAGTTAATTAGTTATATATTAATTAAAGTGATAGTTGAATCTCAAACAGAATTGGCCCAGCAGGTGATGTCAGCAGGAGTGACAGACCAGGTAAAGTCCAGGCTAGGCTTATCTAATTAATGAGGGAAGTATTTTGGAATGGATACTTTAATCCTTTGGTTTAAACCTTCAGGAATGATTTTTCAATCGTTTTCAGCAGAAATATCCCTGTTGTAGTGATGCACGACCGTCACTTTGACCGGCAAATCGCTATGACCCTTCTTTGTTTTCTTTTCATTGTTGTCATGGGAAGAGCGATCTCGATGGGTAGGACATTTTGACCATACTTCCTGCTTATCCAAACTCTCCCTCATTGGATGGTACCATCATCAAAAGTATGACACTATTCTTCAATTTTGCCCTCTGGATAAGTATCTCTCCTTGAAGTGAAGACGGTTTACTTGCGCTCTCTAGTTGGTTAGTCATTTAACATAGAAAATGTACTACCATGTGCTCTTTTATGTTCAGGCACACTGGTTGGCGATTATATTTTCATGCAATGTTTATGGCTCTAGATTTTCAATGTTTACCCTTACTTCCACACACAAGTTTTAAACTGTGCCTTTTGCAATGTTGTGGTTTGCGGATTTCTGACACCAACGTTGAACCTAATTTAAGTGGATTGAAGAGCGAATGATGAAGCTTCAGCCAATTTTGTTTCCTTAATTCCATTCAAGTTGCGGAACTTCTTTGGTTCATAATACCTAGAGGAATTTGCAGGTCACTAATGGCTTCAGAATATTCAATGCTGTAATTCTTAATGAAGGCAATCTGATGAGTTCAGTTGTTGCATCTTTTAAGATGTTCGTTCTCAGCTCAACATGGAAGTGGTTTTTTTCCTTGCGCTATTTATTTCTGAGGACAATACCTCATAGTAAATTTTCAGTGCATATCTTTGGGACGATAGGAAGAAACTACAACCCTTCCAAATTTTACATACGATATAAAGATTACTTCCCTGAAAAATGTTAAACGTTATGAGAAGTCTTCGGTTGGTTTTCTAACAACTACTTAGCTTCATCATCAAACTGCAGAATGAATTTGCCATCTCCTATCTCTTTTGTTTTTTTACAATCTTAAGTTATTAGAACCAATTAACTTGGCTTCTTTCTGAAAGAAATAAAAGGAGAAAAATTGAATCATTCAAGTACTTAGGCACCCTCCCACAAACGTACTGTGAATCCTTACTTATAGATTTATAGAAACAGGTGCGAGTATTATATTCAGAATAAAATGTACTTTCAACTGCTTCCAGCGCATACAAGCGCTGAAAGGTGCTTCATCTGTGTCATCTGCGCCAAGCTTCAATATTGCTCAGATTTTAGAATTTTGACTAAAGGATGAGCGATTAAAGTGTCTTACCAGAGCAACAAGAGTCAACAAAAGTTCTCATGGAAGAAAAGCTCTTGTTGGTCGGTTAAATATTTGCGTGATTCAAGCTATTAAATGACTGATTTAGTTCATACATTTCTGAGGTCCGTGTGCAATTCATGTTTTTGAATGATTTAACTGTGAAGACATGAGAAGTAAAAATTACATTCCATCCTTTCAGATTCTCTGAATTTTTCTCTTGTATGAAGCTTTTTTATGATTTAAGTCATACTTGTCTTTAAGAGCACCTTCTAGAACCAAATTTCTGACTAAGATCATTCAGAGCAGTCAGATTAATTCTAGAAGTGGTCTTTTTTTTAACTTTTTTTTGGGTCTTATTTTTCCAAGTGTTAAGTTGATTGTTCAGTATAAAACAGTATGAACAACTATACTCTTAACTTTTTAGAAGCTCTAATCTAAGGAGTTGTGGTCAATGCAATTTTTTAGTTAGTTTTACGTTACCAGAATGTCTTGCAATCCTAAAAATCCATTACGTAAGTAAGAGCTTGAATCTGTCATAGCTGTTTCGCTTTCTTGAAAATTTTGCCCCAAGAGAGAGATGTTTTTGCAATGTGATACAGATCATTGTTTTGTGCAAAATGTCACTAAAATGTTGGTTTCAAGGAAAGTTGAATTTTCACTTATTTCCAAGCCTCAATTAACTTCTTTAATTCACCCTTAATTCATAAGTACAATTGCACGGTACACCTGTAAAATTTCTTACAAATTAATGGGTAGGTAAAATTTGTGTACTTAGGAAATAATATTTCTAAACACTCAGTGTCATTGAGGAGTCATCCTATTGAAGCAGGAAGCATGCAATAATATTCTTTTAATTTCTTTTGGCAATAGAACTAGTCAGAACTATATTAACAATATTTTCTTTTCCTTTTCTTGCTTGGTTTCATCCGTGTCGCTGCAGCGAATGAAAGGACAAGGAAATCAAGGTAAATCAATTTACTTTGTGTAACCTCATATTAAATTTGCTATTTTCATCTTCTCAAGCATTCTGCTCCGTAATTAGTTTTGTAAGGCATTTAAGATGATTTAAAAAAACTAAACCTGTTTTAAGCTAAAAGCGAGGAGAGAGAAAACAGGGGTGCAGAAAGTTCTTCGGTCCATGCAGTTTCAAGCAACCAGGGATTCAGCCTACGCACTATGGCTTTGCGCTCTTAGCAATTTTTCAAAGATTAAACGTTGTTGCATCAATTTTCTATAAATTCAACGCTTTCGCAGTAAATGTTGTAAGAATTGAACACTTCTGCGGTAATTTTTTAAAAAACTCAACACATATGCTGTGATTTTCTCAAATTTTCAACGCTTCTGCACTAGTTTTGTAATAATCAGTGCGTTTGCACTGATTTTTACTAAGTATCAACATCCTTGTCTCAAGTTTTTTTTAAAATCAGTGCATTGAGCGTTCTCTCTTTAGAATAAAACTGATTTTTTTCAATTCGTATCAACCAAAACCGAACTTCATCATCAGCTCTTTTAACCTCATGAGTTCGGTTCCTCGAACTGAAAGTTGTGTTTGACGTACCGAATACTTGGGATGACGTAGAACACTTTGTTCTCCTTCATTTTGTGGATTTGCAATTTCACTTATTTTCCTGGGAGTCAAAATAGTCGTGCCACGTGTTTTGCCCCATCCAACTTTTCTACTGTGTGTTACAATCTCTGATTCATTCGGAAAGAGCTCACATTCTCCTGCATTTCGTGGATATGCAATTTTACCTAATTTCTTGAAAGTCGAAATAGTTGTATCACGCGTTATCCATTTTTTCTGGAGGTATACTTCAAGCAACGTGCCCTGTCTCTTGAGAATGCGGCGGAATTCTATCTCAAGTCTTGACTCGCAAATGGCGCCAAGTTCCTAGATGCATTCTTTGTTGAAACGCGTAGCAGGGCAGCGCGCGTACACAACTTCGAAAGGTGTATACACAATGGAGTGGATTTTGATCACAACGCAATGAAATTTATTTCATTCTCTATTACTTAGAAGTTGTATCATACGCTGTGTTCCCACTGCCAACGCAATTCGACCGATCGGTGGTTAGTTCGTGAACATTCTGCACCTCTGAGAGAAAATTTATTTATTCATAAAAAACTTATGTTCACAGTTGCATTAAAATTTCAAGTACTACAACTATGGCACTGCATAAAGAGCAAAAATTAGGGGAGACACCTTTAGTAAGTCTGAACTTTGGAAAGACCCCATTACAGAGCTCTATCGAATACCATCCATTTAAGATGGCATTTATTGTAATGTGCGTTCGTTTTCTTAAGAAGTGTTTGAATTTCTCTGACGAAGACAGAATAATGTTTAAGAGGACTGGAGCATCACTTTATTAGGTCTTGATTTTATACTGAATCGAATTGCCTGGATCCTCCCTTAATATTAGACAAATATCTTCTTTTAATTTTAAATACATGGACAAGGGTTGATAATCTTTTATGAAAGCTCTAGAAGCTGAAATTGCTGAGGGGCCGTCCATATATGATAACATGGTCCTAGGGGATCAAGGGATGGTAACCAGTAACAGAGGGGGGGATGAAGTCAAGCCTAATTTCCAACGAAATCCCAATAGAAAATTATGTTATTGACGCTTATTAAGCGTTGATTTTTGAGAGAAATATTAGAAGGGGCTGGGTATGTAATTTTAAGGATTCGGCACTGCCCAATAACCCCCCACCCTCTCTTCCTGGGGAGGGCGTNGGGGGGGGGGGGGGGGGGGGGGGGTTGAAGTAAAAATCCTGGCATCATTTTTATAACTGGCACACTCAGCAGTTTGTTATGGAAAATGAAAATTAGAAAATTGTTGACCCCAGTGTATAAAGCTAGTAGCCGTAGCAAGGATCCTAGAATAGCTGATCGGTTCACTACTAGCGGAAGATCACATTGATTTGCTTTGCTCTCTAATTCACCCAGTAGCTCCTTTAGGTTCCATTCAAACTATACTCAGATTGCGCCATCAAAAATTTGTCCTCCCTCTCTTCGCGTCTTGAAATTTGAAATTATTAATTGATTTGTTTGTCGGTTGGTTTCAATAGTGCATAATGGGCCTAAGGACCATGTGATCACTAACGAGCCGGAAGTCTTTGAATCATGGCGTACTCAGCAGCAGCATCCAGTACGTTGTTGATTTTTTCAAATTTCAATAATTTTTTTGAATCTGTCACTCAACTTGCTTCTTTGTGTTATTAGGTGCACTTTGAAATCAACCCTCAGTTCACATCTTCTTTAATAATCTTCAACAGCCGATACGAACAAGAAATATAACCACAAAATTAAGTACTTAAAATTTATGGGGTTTTAATTGTTTCATCTGGAATTCGCACATCAGTTTTATGAAAATACCTCCTTTTAAAGTTGCATGTAATTATCTTTTATGGAAGAAGCTGAAATTGTTGAGGGACTGCCCTTAATTACCTCAGGGTATCAAGAGGGCCACACATATATCCAGTTACAGACGAGGGGGGGGGGGGGTGTCTACCAAATTAGATGTCCAGCTTAAATCGATTAAAGCGCCAATTTTGAAATTCTGGCAAATTATGCTGAAAGGTGGAAACTCAAATTTTCTTCATAGCGCGAAAAATTAGTTTGCGGGACAAAAAATATTGATGTCCAATTTTCGTTGCTGAACTTTTTCTAATATGCTAAAAAAATGAAAAAAAAAGATATGCTTGCCTGGCATTCTTACTTAGGAACAATCACGCATGTTAATTTGGCCAGCTGTGTCAAGTGGTTAACAAGGCAAAAACCTTTGTAGCTTAATAATGACATGAGTTCCCTCTAAATCTGAAAGAATTGTCGAGGCCTGTCATTTGTTCGCATTTTTTTGACGTTAGTGCTAGTTCAAATATAGGATGAGTGAACTCCAATAGCTACTCGTCAAAGTAAAGCTGAGGATGTTTTTTAAAATCAATGTCAGATTGTATGTTTTACATGTCGTAGAAACTTCACATTCTAGAGTTGGTTCAATTGATACGCTGAAAATTTCAATTGCACTTCTTCGTAGTTATGCGCTCTGTCCATGCTGTGAATATAGGACAGAGACTTCTTGTGCGAGGAGACAAGTGCTGGTCAAACAGAAGGACTCAACTTATATCCATCTAATCGTCCGCCATATGGCCCCTTTTATGGATAATCCCTGACCTACATTCTAAGTTAGAGAGTAAGCATGAACTACTAAAATATACATTTGCACCTCATAGTTTCAAATTATTCAGCTATCACTTTTGAAATAAGAGTTTCCCTCACTCAATTTAAAATATGCCCGAAACTCTCATTGAGCAAGAGAGGAAGGAGCACATACTTTGAAGGAGTTAGGTAGGAATAGGCTCCCAAAGTCACCTACAATTTTTTTTTCAATTGTAGATTCAAAGAAAATATAAAATGATACAAGGGATGGATCAGGTAATACCTACATTATAATTAGTATTTACTGTAATAGATGAGCATGCGAGTCACATCGTGCTTTGATGGTCGAGTCCCATGGATCAAGAGAAAACTTCCTCCTTGATCATTTCAACTGTTGCATTCAATCTGCAGGTTCAAGTGGCTGAATCCACCTCTGTCACTTTATATCATGTCAGAAGCATCTATGACACTCTGATAATTGCTCGACTTTAGCTCATAATTGTGTGAATCTGCCCACAATGCTGAAAGGACCTCTTTTTGCTATAAATTCCATTTCCAAACTTTTCAAGACACGCTTTAATTTTATTTTGTTTTATGAGATCAGTTAATCTTTGTAACCAAAATTCACTGGAAAAGCTCTCTATAAGAATTAGATGTATTTCCTTTTCATCCAATAAAACATTTCCTTAAACCAAGAGAAATCGCCTTCAGCTTTTTCTTCAGACATCCAGCAGAAATATTGCAGACCAGAAATTACATTCTTTACTTACTACTGATTTGGATACTTTCTAGTCTGCAAGACGTACTTGTATGATGGGACAAAAAAGTTTGTAGGTTGCTTCACACAATGCACAGCTAACAATATAAGGGGAACTATGGGGGCTGCTGCGGCAAGCAGTCCAAAACACACCCCCCCCCCCCCCCCCCNGGAATTTACCTGTCTCCTCCCAAGAAATGTGAGGGACTTCACTGAATTAGAGGGTGAAATATCTGTCATCCCTGAAACTGTGATTCACTCGCTTTTCCAGTGGGATCAGCTCAAAATTGCCCCAAAGACAGCTTCATTTTTCCAAGTTTTCATGGGGTAGCGCCCCCCCCCCCCCCCCCCNAAAGTCCATAAAGATAGTTAAGTTCCGTTAGTTAAGAAGGATAGTTTCCTTTTCGAAAAAAATAAATTTAAGTCAATGGAAAGCTTAGTCTCTGTGGCTTCCTAAAAGCACATTCCATTGAACTTTCCAGCACCTTAAGCTTGGACAAAAGAAAAATTAGTGGTGCCCCCTTTGTTTTCTTTTTTTCACCAAAAAGAGTCTAAGAATAAACTTCTCGGTGAAAATAGTTTTATCAGAATATTTTTTTAGTGATGAAACTGCTTCTATCATTGGTGCCTTATTTTAAATTTTAATTTTACTGCTAATTGAATAATCTATTTTCCTCATGATTTAAATGTCTCGTTTTCCTCCGTGTTACAGAATTATTCAGCTCAAAATATGTCTGGTGGCTCAATGGCAGCTCCGTCTGATCCTTATACAAATTACTATGGCTCTAATGCTTATTCTTATCAATTTGGAGTAGGAGATGGAACTTGGTCCAATGGTGGCGATCCAGTAACATTTTTGAGTGGATATCCTGCCACTCCTCAAATTGCACACGATACAGGTAAATTTCTTTTCTACCCAGGGACACCAACTATCTTCAGTATGAGTAATTTTCAATGTTCTTTCCATAGCGAATTACGGAAAGAACGAATATATTATTTCGTAACAAATCATTATCCATAACGAATTATCATCTAACACTAACCAGTATGCCTTTTGTACTTATATGAACTTAAAGATGACTTTCAGAAAGGATACTACTTATCTGAATAGGTACATGTTCGAATTTATAATGGCTTCCTAAACTTTATGGCGATCTTAAACTGTAAGAAGTACATCAGATGAGAAAATCTTAAAGCTTAAAGGATACCTGTAATTCAGTGCATGGTTTATACTTGGAAGTTTTAAGGTTCATTTCAAACCATTCAAAGGCTTTAGTAAGTGAATTTTACGTCCTGACCTCCTTAAGAAGCGATAGACTTTGATGAAACTATATCCTTTTGCAATCTGGTGGCTCATATCACCGCAGAATGGACATTTAGCAACGACAAGAATATTGGAAAGTTCTTTAAGGCTCCTTTCAAGCAAACTCATTGTCTCATTTCTCTTCAAGCCTGTTCACTTATTTTTCGCATTTCAATCTGTCATCATTTTAATTGTCGGGTTTGTTTTTTATCTGTTTGAAGTTGGGTACTCAATTGATGGTATGTTTGGAGGAGCAAGCGGAGGATTTGCATCAACGTACACTCAGCCCGGAGCTCACAATGCTAGCTTTAACTACTTTACACATGGTAATGGGGATTATTCCACTTGGGGCAACGCACCTGCCATGACGAGAAAACCATATGATGAATATTTTCGTGGAACCGATGGCGCGGTGTACGCCAATGCCCAGGTAGATCCCAATAGTGTGAAAAGTGTCGAAGAAGGTATGCAAAATTTAAGTGTTGGGCACTCAGCGCCGGGTGTGGAATATATTCATCAGCATCAGTTGAAGGAGGCTATGATGGCTCCAGCCCCGAAGAAGGTTACCTGGGCATCTGTCGCAAGTCAGCCAGCTAAACCTGCTCCAAATTCAAGTTCTAGTGGTATGAAAAAGAAACCAGGGATGCCTCCTCCACCGATGGTACCTGGCAAGCACAACATGGACATTGGTTTGTGGGAAACGAAAAACGGTTTGGCTTTGGCGGCCAAAGCTCAGGTGAAAGTGCCACCTCCACCTCCGCCGACCGCTATTCGCTCTGCGTGGGGTGCACATCATATGCGTCCAGCCACGATGGCAGGACCGCGACCTGTTCCACCGCCAGCTCAGTATCAACCACCTCCACAGATGCCTCCACCTCCGGTAACAATTGTAACTCCAATTCCTCCGCCTCCAACTGTTATGCCTTCTCCTCATCATATGCAAGGGCCTCCGCCTCCGACTCTTCAACAGCCACCTCCGATCCAACAACAGCAGCGGCATGAGCAACAGCAGCGACATGAGCAACAACAGCGGCATGAGCAACAGCAGAGGCATGAACAGCAACAAAGACATGAGCAGCAGCAGAGGCAGGAACAGCAACAAAGGCATGAGCAGCAACAAAGGCAGGAGCTGCAACAAAGACAAGAACAACAACAGAGGCAAGAGCAACAGAGACTCGAGCAGCAGAGACAGGAACAGCAGCAAAGACACGAACAGCAAAACCAGCAGCGGCATGAGGTCCAAAGTCAGCATCTTCAGCAACAGCAGCAAACGTCAATGCCTCCACCCTCTCATCCAGCGCCCTCTCCTCCGATTGCTTCATCTGCCTCTGCGGATCCTACTGCTGCCTTAGAAGAACACCCAGTTCTTAAAGAATTGACACAGAAAAACAATTACAATCCACCAGACTTCGATTTAACACCAAAAGGTGCCCGATTCTTTGTGATAAAGTCTTATTCTGAAGATGACATACATCGTAGTATTAAATATGAAATTTGGTGCTCCACAGAGCATGGTAACAAAAAGCTGGACGATGCGTTTCGTGAAAGGGAATCGGAAAATGGCACTGTGTATTTATTTTTCTCAGTCAACGGATCAGGTCACTTCTGTGGTATGGCTCAGATGGTTAGTGCGGTGGATTATAATTCTTCAAGTAGTGTTTGGTGTCAAGATAAATGGAAGGGGCAATTTAAAGTGCGTTGGATTTATGTGAAAGATGTTCCGAATGTTCAACTCAAGTTCATTACACTAGAAAATAATGAAAATAAGCCTGTCACAACTTCTAGAGACACGCAAGAAGTACCTTATGACAAAGGCTTACAAGTTTTAAAAGTCATACATTCATACCGCAATTCGACATCCATTTTCGATGATTTTATCCACTATGAAAAGAGGCAGGAACAGCAAGACCACACTAAAGGATCGCATTCACGAGATCATCAACGAAATAACTCGCCCCATCAGCATCATCAGTATCATCATATGGATCGAGGGAATCACGATAGGATGCATGATAGAAATCATGACAGGAACCACGATAGGAACTATGACAGAAATTATGATAGGAATCATGATAGAAATCTTGATAGAAATTTTGATAGAAATTTTGATAGAAACCACGAACGGTTTCACGATCGAGGCTTCAACAACTATCATAAAAACAGACAGGTAGGTCAAATTCATTCAGTTTTTTATTTTATTCTAATCAACTGAAAACTGATAGCAAATCAGTCAAGTCATGAATTTGTTCAAGACTCAATTTTTTTGTCAAAGATTGACTTTCATTTTTTACGAGATAGATTTTTAGTTTCAGAGAGCATTATCCACACCAAAGATAAAATAACATGAGAAACTTCCTACCGCTATACTCCCTCCGATACAGAAATTATCATAAGAATCAGTTATCAGATCTCCTTGATGATTCCTGATTATCCAAGTGTTTTTTAAGCAAATACAACTCAACTTGAAAAACTTGTTTGACCCTCTGTGCACCAATCTTGAGAAAAGTAGGGCTGAAACCTGAATTTTTTGTCCTTCTTAAATTCGTTTTCTACTGAACATGTTGGACTATGCGATTAGTAAATTTGTGCGTGATCTCTATGCCGCATGATCTATTCTTTTTTCCTGGTTTTTGATTTCTTTTGGTCAGTGTTATCTTTCTGGCTGCCAAGGAGGCAGAAGATCTGCTCAATCATTAATAAGAGGTTGCAACATTCCCACTAGTTATTGCATGTATGAGTACGGAAAAATTCATTTTTCAGTCCTGCTTTTCTTGAGATTGGCTCATAGAAAATTGATTTTAAATTGTCCTCAGTAGGTTGTTGGGAACATCTTAAAAAAATGTTGAAATTAGGCTAGAGCATAAGTTCTCAGTATTGTGTGCACAGTCCTTTGCCACTAAATGAAAGTCATGATTTCTCTATTATTTTCATTAAAAAAACTCATTGATTCCCATTCATGGCTTGAGACAAATCTCTCTATCTCATAGCAAAATAAATATTAATGTAATTTAACTCTAATTTTACGGAATCAATCCTCCAATGGAGAATTTGCATGAAAATTTTTTATTGCTTCATCTGAAATTGCTTGAAGAGCTGATTTCACAGTATTTTTTATAATTTTTTTCTAATATGGGGATTAGTATAAAAATAGATTTAAAAGTGAGAAAATGCACTGCCTAGTGACGTCATCTGGTGGCATTTCCCATTTAAACACACATATGTTAGCAGATTAGATCGTTTTGTCATATCCTCTCCAATAATTGTTCAATTCATGAACCAAGGGTATCCTCGTGTTCAGTTCACTCAGTAGTTACCACTTAAACACGAAGAAATTCATCAAATTTCAGACATCTGCAAATTCTCTATTTGCTCAAATGTCTCAATTTGTTGAGTTAATTAATTCAAATCACAACTTTTTGCAACCCTCATACCAGGATTAGCAGGAAAATTAAACTTTCTCTGAGTTTTTGCCTTCATTGCTGCTCTCAAAAATTGTTAAACATTATGTTAAGGAAGTATTCATGATTAGCATTTTACTTATTGCTACCTTTTTCTCTCATTTTCAGAATCGGAATGATGGGAACGAGCATTATGATAGACATGATGGTGGCGGAAACAATTATCATCGTAATTACAACCGGAGTGGTGGATTTTACAACCACCGTGGAGAACGTGGGGACCGCAATGATCGAGGAGATCGCAATGACCGAGGAGATCGTAGTGATCGTGGAGATCGTAGTGATCGTGGAGAACGCAATGATCGTGGCGAACGTATTGACCGTAATGATCGCGGAGATCGCAGTGATCGTGGAGACAGGATGGACAGGAGTGATCGGTTTGATAGGAGTGATCGGATGGACAGAGGTGATAGAGGTGACCGAGGTGACCGTAGTGAAAGAGGTGATCGCAATGACCGGATAGATAGGGACCGTGGCCGTAATTATAATAATGATCGTCGACCAAATTATAATCACCATTCAGAGCGTAATAATTCATCATCTAATAATTCTTCCGGACACAATAAGTCTCAAAATTCATCAGGCACTAGTAACTGATTGTAGTGAGCATCGTTTGTGTATTTTTTTTCACCTTTTAAGAAAACTGTTAAATTACGATTTATACTTTTGCATTATTATTGTAATCAACCTAATCATTCAGTTGTATTTAAAATATAAGTAAAAAAAGAATTGTAGGAAGTGTTAAAACAAAGTACACAGATGTATCAATATGTATTCACGTTATGTATGTATTAGTGTTTTGCATAAATAAGTATTTTTATATTTTTGTGTGATTTAGACAACTATATTTAGTACCGTTCATCGTTTACCTTTTATTTTTACTTCATCCGTTTTAATTTTTCTCTTTTATTTAATTTTTCTCCCCATTTTACAACTGTTTTCAATCTTTTGTCGTTTGTAATATTCCTTCGCATTTTTTTTTTCTTTTATCTAATTAGTGTGCATTAGAAGAATCAACTTCATCTGTGGGAAATATAATTGAGTCAGTCTAAAAAAGTGATGAGTAAGACAATAATGATTTATTCAAGGTCAATTAACTTAACTTTATCATGACTCAGACACAAAGATTTCATTTTTTCTTGGAAAAAAAATTCTCTCAGGATTTCTACAAATCGGACCCAACAGAAAAAATGGAAACATCTGAAGTTTGGGGAAAGGAACCATTAGTTTCTAAAATAATTTCTCGGATCGCCGAATGCTTTAATTCTTTTTTTTTTCTTTTTCTTTTACAAGTGGGTAAAAATATTTACATTAGGACTTAGATAAAAGTTCTTTGCCTCTTTGAAAACAGTTCATCCCCTTTGAAACAGTACCAATAAAGTGAGTTATTGTTTCTCACAGAAGAGAGGAAAAGGCCTTTTTTGTCACTGTAAGTGTGAAGTAGATGAATGGCAAATTCTCTGATTGTTGCTACAGTGATATTATGCAGAATATAAGCTGTTTCAAAGACCATCTAGTTGTCTGTCTCACACATAATAATGTTTCACCATCTCTTGTAAGTTTGGCGTAATATGTCAGTGAAGCGGTGTTGTTTTTAAGGCGAAAAACGTATCAATTAAGGCCTTCTGCATTGTTTTAATGAACTAATACAGTGAGTTTGCAACTTCCTTTAATTTTATTGAATAATTTTAAGGTTAATTGCTCTTGTTCCAATCTTCAAAAGCTCCATCTCATAAGATGAAATTTACATGTACTTTAAAAATTCCTTAATTATTTCAAAGGATTTTCAAGTGAGGGGAAAAAGCTTAAATAAATTGTTAATTTAAAGCAACGGAACCTTAAATGGTACTGTACTTCAATTTTCTTCGAACTATCAGATCAATATCTTGTTTAGTTTTTTCTGAAAACATCTTGTTCATTTTATTGGTGCCTCGGTTATTTTATTTTATTCATCAATTCACTGCTAACTGCTCTAAGACGAATTTCTGCAAGTGTATTCGGTTAAGTTTTTTACCTATTGTCAACCTCTGTTACAACCAAACGAATTTCGCTCGAGGTGACGGTACTACAGCATTTGGTTTACTTGTTAGCTGCAATGACGACTTCATCCAAAATTCTCTACTGGCAAACGTCTGCTGTACGTCAGTAAGTCATCAAACCATAGAGTTGAGTTCTTGATGTCTGGCAAGTTTTTTTTTTTTGGCTCGTTAGTTGGCTGTTTTGTGAAATTTGGCTCAAAAGTAATCCGAATTCATTCACGGAAATTCGCTCATAGTAGCACATCTGCTGTGTTTTTTTTTTTTTTTTTTTTTTTTTGAAAATGCTAGCAAGTTGGTCAGTTTGCAGCAATAATCATCATGAGCTGAAGATTGGAAATTTTTTAAGCATGGTTTGCAGAAATCCTGTTATTTTATTCCTGTATAGAATCGGTTATTTGTAGTTATTTGTAGTGAGTTTTATCCAATCGTTTTCACAAAATGAATTTTAACAGTGTTACTACTTAACTCAGCTAGTCTGACAAAAAAAAAAACAGTTCTTGTTTAAATGGGGAAATTTCTTCCTTTTCTATCAGTTGTTAGTTGTCTTTTTAATGAATGAAGCTTTCATCATGTAATTGATGCGCACTTTTAACTTTGTGAATTTAATGCTATGAAACCTTGATTATGGTTTTCCTTGTAAATCTCAATGTGTAGAAATGAAAGATTTTAGACAACTGCTCATGAAAGCTAAACGAGCCCAAGTACGTATTTGATGATTGTAAGAAGAAAGAATGTTGATAGCAGCTACCTCAATATGCTCACAGATAACTGTTGGAATCTATGCAGTTTGCTCAAGTCTTCAAGCAAATCAAAGCTCTTGAATGGCTTTTGATTCCCAGAAATTTGTTTGCATTTCAATGAAATTTATCAAGGTCTAATTTTGATATTGTATGTTAGTATGTACAGTCTATTTCACAAGATGTTTCAGTCAATCTTACATATTCAAAAATGAATGGCGATCAGAGCTTGAATTTTGTTTGCCGGCTTGTATTTGATTGAAAGATAAGGGAAGAATGTTGACTTAGTTATTCGATTGCTGATATCGGTCTGCACCATCGAAGAACGAAGTATAGTTCGAGCCTGTTGTAAAGAGAACTCAACTTGTGCACGGTTTGAGTTCAAAATATCCAGACTTGTAGTTGAATCTAAAGGTTAGGTTTCGCAACCTGCAGTCGCTCTTAGCCAACAAAATTCGGACCCTTGTTGGCACTTTGGAACAGCAGACACTGATTGAGCAACTAGTATCCTTATTGTTTTATGAACAGTTTTGAAGTGTGAATCTTTTTCCATGTTACTTACTATGTATGGCTCAAAAATATAGGTTTTTTTTCTCAGTTGTGAACAAGAAAAAAGGTAACATAATAAAAAGAACGAAATGAGAAAAAAATTAATCTTGGCATTTAATACCTTCAAAGTTACTCCACGATCGGATGTTCAGACACTTGTTGTGCCGCAAAATAGCCAAATTTTGAGCCCTTCAATATATTTAAATGATAAAATTACTGTTATTTTGACATCGTGGCAAAATGCCGTACAAACTAATACCTGTAAATTCACCTTAATTTAATCATCATTGATTCAGGGATTTTGAAATGTTGTTTCAAAGCTTTAACTTATCATGTCTCTCTCCTGCCTTATCTTACTGTCGCTCGTTTTACAGAAGGGCGCATGTCGATTTTTCCATGAGCTCCAAAAAGCAAGGATTATATGTAGAATTGGGCTCTCATAGAAATTGAGGTACGCCCTTACGCCAGATCAAGTTACCGCGACACTATCAAGTTACTGTTTCAGCTCTGTATTTCTTTAACATCTAAATAGGCATGATCCTACTCTCAGTATTAAGAATTATGTAGGCCTAGCCTCTTGCAGCTAATTCAAGGCAAGGCTTGTTCATAATGCTTGAAGTTTTCATTAAGATGGTTCTTTAGAACTTTTGAGAGCGATTTGATAGACTATCGACTAATTGATCATTTCTGGATTTTCAGACATTTCTTAAAATTTCCCAGCATCAAATCTTAAAGTAGTACGTCAGGTATTTGTACACAAAATTCGACCATTAAGCATTTAGAAATAGCTTAAAAAGTGTGTCCCGAGTGAATAACGCAAAGCGTTTTGCCTTTTGATTGTCGCAGGTATCCACTCAGATCGTACTATTTAAGCTATCTGAAAATGTTTCTTGCTCAAATTTTGTGCTCCAATAAGTACTATGTGTACTGCTGTGTAATGTGCTCCTTAAAGTGCTGAAGAACTACCTAATACGTTACTTTAAAGGCAAAAAAGCAGACCAACTAACTTGACAAAATTCAGCTTTCCTCGTTCAATTTAGATATTGGGTTTATTATTTCATTGTTGCTCGAAAAATTTAAGGATCGATAAAATGGCAGTTGTCCAACACTTCGTCGTAAGAACTTTTCTTAATGCTTGGCTCAAGATCCTCTTTGTTTATCCTATACAGAAGACCTATTGATAACGAATTTAATACTTCAGTGCATGTAGTTTTGCATCCAGTTGTTTTTACTATTTTTTTCCAAATCCGTTATGTTTTTACAAGGAGTTTCTTATGGTGCTACTAAAAGCTGAAGACCAGGAACATAATCTACGGAGTCAGTTAGAAATTTAAGTCAGTTTGACCTTTGATAGTCAGAAGTATCATTTGAGGGGTTTCTGCGGGAAAATTCTGCCTTCATTGAAAAATGACTTTTTCAATGGAGTTTCCAGCATTTTTGGTGATATTCTGTGAGTTTACAGCCCCTGGTTTGAACACAGTCAACATCTTCTGTCGGAAATGTTGAAATAGTGAAATAAGCTGAAATTCATTTTAGCCAACCCCTTATCTGTTATGTTAAGCCCAGCTGTTCCCACTAACATAAGTATTCACTGTAAAGCTTGTCAACAAGGAGCTTGTTTAATCGCTACTAAGTTTCCGGTGCTCAAGAAAATGATGAATCGCTTCAGTGCACATAATCTGTTTTAATCTTTTTAGTGTCTTTCATCAGGAGCAAAGCTCATCCGTAGCCATCCGTTTGGTCCCTTCTTTTATCCCTTTCCTGTCTTTATCGTAGAAGTATCGTTTAAAACAAATCAGACATGTGAATCATTTTGTTATTTTGTGTAAAAAAGCTCTTTTATGCGAAACAAAAAAATTAATAAATGAAGAAAAAAATTTAATTGAGTCCTCTTTTTCCTATTTCCTCCTTAATTGTCTGTGGGAAATTACTTCGTTGCTACCTCTAACAAGTTACGATACTGATAGCAAGAGAAGCACAGAAAGATAGCCAATGAAAGTTCAAATTTCCATTTTCCATCTCAGCTTTTTTGATTGTGTTTATCAAAAAAGAAACCTCTTTTTCTTGCTTATTTCAGATTCATAAGCATCTCCATTCGTCCTTTTCTAATCGGTGCTCATAAAATGTTGTCTCCTGCCCGCAGAAGCTTATTTCACTCGTGCTATTAGTATTTCTTACAAATTTTTATTTTTTTACAACATAACCGCCAAATTGAACGTGCCTGAAATTTTCAATGCCTTTTCTTCACACCTCTGAGAAAAGACATTAAAATTTTTAAGCAAATTCTTAAGACTGTTCTATCATGAAAAAATAAATTGTTAAAAGAAATACTGAAAGATTGCAGATAAGATACGTTCCTCAGTGCAGGAGACAATAATAATTGAACTTTAAATGTTTCTAATAAGAGCTGAATGTGTGAATACGTATTTAGTTGCTTGGATTTAATTCTCTCACTTCACTTTCATTTCTATTCCATATTTTAGCGGGGACTGAAGTGACCTCCTTTAGCTGATCTCAATGAGAACATCAAAGATTCCCATCTACCATTTTCATTCTCAATTCAGGACTGAAGGTTTGGAAAGGAAAAAGCTAGCCTTTTTTCCTTCAAAACAGATGATTTTTAATGATTTTTACACAACAAGCTAGGCATCACATAATTAGAGGATAACATACGCTAGATGGCGGCTACACTTAAACGTAGGAGCTTTGTGTTAACAGCTCAAAGAAAAGATAATGCTACGTACAAAAAATATACTTTAAAAATAAAGCTAAAAAACTCAGGTTCTTGTTACACAGTTGATATACGAACAGACTAAAGGGTCATCAATGACCCAAATTCATACAAGCTGAAAGAGGGCTTAAATAGTCATCAGTGTTTGTTTCTAATTTGATCGCTAGAAAAACCTGACAGCTAACACAAATCTTTGGTTATTCAATACCATAAATACTATGACAATGAGGAAAAGAATTCCTGAGAGGGCACATAGGAATCAAGAATAAGAGAGCCTTGTAAATTTTCTTCATGCCCTGTTATCAGAAGTGAATTGATCGATTATGTGTTTTTGGGCGTTGAGTTAGGGAGAAATTTTTCATAAAATTATATCACCCTCAGAGAAAATCTAATTTTTCTATGATACAGGTTTTTTCTAGGAGGAAAGAAGAAGATCTGTGCATTATTAAGAGAAAAACCAAGTTCATTTTTGTGTTGAGTAAGAAAAAAAAATAAAAATAAACGCATGCTTTGCAAGAGAATTTTGCGTTTTTTTTTTTTATTTTCCCAATTGTGCACCACTTCACTGAAAAATGTATTTTTTCGTGGAAAAAACTGTTTTTGAGCAGCTATAAAATATGAGCACAAAACACGGTGCTGACTGCTAGGTTTGTTGAACTTTTTGATCTTTTTGATACGCAGTTAAATTTTGATGTGATAGAATTCATACATCATTTTCTCTGAACTCAGCACTTGGATACGAAGGAATCAATCAATCTGAGTCCTTCTAAACAATACGGCACAATTGAAAATTTGTTAGACTGTGTAATTGACATTGAAGTATTTGGTTATCAGTTGTGCGGTTTTCAGTGTATGTCCAATTTTTCAGTTGTCATGTAATAATTGTCTATAAAGTGTTATAGGTGTCCAATATTTAGTGTGGATCAAAGTTTTAACTGTATAGTATACATTTCACATTTATTTCTGACATACAAAATTTTGGCCTCCTTGTACGAATTGAGAATTTTTCAAGGTAAGTGGATAAGGGATATGATCTAAAGTTCTTCAAGAGAATTTTCAACACATTAGACAAATTGTAATTAGACTTATTATGTTTCAATGACAGAGACAGCGGTGGAGGGAGATGAGCACTACAGACCAGTGGCATATAATTGCTTTAAAGTGTTGTGCGTGTGAAGACAGTTACATAATTAGAGAAGGAGGAAGAGGGCACTGTTATTGCACAGCTATCGATGCTAGAAGGGAATAACATCCTTCGTTTTACATTTTTCCCTCCTGTAATTCAGGTTTTTGATTTATTAAAAATCCTGCAACCTTGAGATATTATTTAATTGGGTTACGCTAAGGGAATTTCCAAAATTTCTTTTCCGGGAGCCCTCATTCCACAATAAATTGGTAAATTTAGATGTAAACCTTGCATCAAAAGGTACATTTTTTAATGACCCTCGTGTTTGGATTCAGGGTGTGTTGCATCAAATCGGGTTCTAGATTATAAGTCTTGTTACTTATTTTTAGAACGTTGAGCAAGCAGTCCTAATTGGCTTCAGTAAACAAGTGGGGGAGTTTTTTACGCAATAAATCGATACATTGAGAGAAATAATCCTAGATAAGGAGGACGATAAAAGTAAAATAAAATAAGTTTGATACGTAAGTAAAAACAGAATACACAACTATTCGACCTAATTATGATGGAGTTACCTGTGAATTAAAATCGTTTTAAAAGGGAATCTAGTCAGACATACTTAAAGTTGTCCCCTTCCCTTTGCCCACCCATAGGTATGGCTTATGGGAGTGAAGGCGTATTGAGAAAAAAAAGGACCATCTACTCTTCATGGAAGTAGAGTGGTGTTAACGCAACACGGAAATAGTTGCTGAGGTAACATTCTGGATGTTAAAAATCTATGCAACACTTCTTGAATGTTGTTATGGACACTCCGCAGATTTTTAACATCCAGGATGTACTTTCAGCAATTTTTTTTTTCTGTGAGCATAAAATGCATGATGAATGGCGACTTAAAATTAAAATCACACACATAAAAGTCTTCTTTTTCTTAGGTAGTTAGTCAGGCATCAACTTTCTGAGATTCACTGACTTGTGATGACTAGATTTTCTGAGAGGTTTAGGCCATTTAAAAAACCACACAGTGGATCACAAAAGAATACTGTGAAAAAATTTGGTGGGTGACTCACCAATTGACAAAAAAATGTGTTAAAAGTGGACCTATTCCACAATTTCAACCAAGTTAAGGCACCTAATTATGAGGAAATTGGATAGGAAGATGTAACCTGCACCTGGACTCTTTTGAGCACCTGCAGAGCTTCTGGATCCTAAGATACACAGTTAAGGAACAATTGACAGTTTGTATCCTTCACCTTCAAGCTAAGCGTCTATTTCTACAATGCGCCACTAGACAATAAAGTTAACAGAACAGCTTCGCTGTTGGCAGAATATTCTGTATAAATTTCAAGCAATAACGTTGAGTTGTTTCTCTTCAAAAAATAAACTAGAAGCAGAGATTTTGAAACAGCGCATGAAGATATGTGGTTTTGCACTTTAGCCATCAAAAAAGTTGCCAGAGGTAGTTACCAAAACGTTGTCACAACTTAAAGACTGAAGGTGACGTTATGACAGTTTTCATGCAACGTTATTTTTGGCCATTGCTGGGTGGATTGTTGGCTGAAAAATCACTGGCAGGACGGCTTTGCCAAACTCTGATTACTTAATCTTTTGAAAAAAATTATAACATATTAGCGAACGACACATTATAATAAAAACCCAGGATGAAAGAGGAACGAATTGACAGAAACTCATAAGAGAGGGACTTATACATCTATAAAATTTTAGAATTTTTTCAAAACCTAGAGTACGTAACTATGGTTTTTTCTTTTGTTACAACAATTTTTTTTTAGCAACTATGAACCACTCCTTGAATAGAATATGTAAGAGAGGGCTGTCTACGCTAATGGTGTTAAATACCTTATGTGTTCTTCAAAGAGAAGTTTCTGAAGATGTTCAAAGAAGAATATATATAAATGCACTCACTTCGCGAGGGAATGATTAAGCTATGGCACGAAGGTATCTAAACAACAATTAAGATCGCAGTAAAATTTTTGAGATGGAAATCCTTCAGAAATACTTGAGGCTACATTTAGTAGAGTTCTGGATGGATGGATGGAAGAGACTCGGTCGGCCTTGACATGTTAAAATGTTCTCTTTGAAACTTTAACACTCGACTGTTTTTCATCGACTCTTCATTTTTTTTTCACTGATAATCTTCATTTTTTTTTCTGCTCTCAATTGTTGGATAGAAGACGTGGATAAGTTGCTGGTATATTTAAACACTTTCTGAAAAAAGAAAAAGAGAAAATTGTCAAAGAAGTATTTTAGTCACCTAGTGAAACACAACAAGAGGAAAATATTGAAAACAAATCTTCTGAAAAAAAATAAAACGGACAGTTCCGATGGTAAAAATTGGCCTGTTGCAAACTTTTGCTACATCAAAAATAAGAGTTATTATTCATGGAAAGTGTCTCAAAAATCGCGATGAGCGCATCGGCAAAGTCTGGAATGCACTCCTTACTTCACAATTTGCATAGGGTATCTTTTCGAGCTTCCTGCTTCAGGAACGATACCACGGCACAGGTGAACATTTTGTAAGAGGAGTCATTCCATCCAACCCCTGCTTACAAGGATACTACGCAATATTCAACATAGCCGACGCCAATCTGCCAAAACACATGTGACGGGACGATAATTCTATCCACCTGATAACAATGGGCATGTTTACATTCATATTTTTTTCGCGTTGATAGATATCCGCCTTGATTGACCTCGTGCTCTCCTCAACTTGAGTGCAGAAGCGTTGGCCATGTTGAACAGGGATTGAATGGAACGACTCTTCTAACTAAATGTTCGCCTGTACCATAGTACCCTTTTTGAAGCAGGAAGCTTAAAAAAAACGAAAATTTCTTACGCCGATTGTGAAGTTAGGAGTGCATTTCAGAGTTTACCAATGCGCTCATCGTGATTTTTGAGACATTATCTTTAAGGAACAACTTTTATTTTTGCTCTAGCAAAATTTTGCAACAGCCCATTAGGAGATCATTCACAGAATCTGTTCATGAGATGAGTCATTATATGTGTGTAAAAGTAAAAGAAACTGGAATTGCCAAGCTAAAGTACATTTAATGTTAATACAGTGGACCACTAGACTAGGTACAAATTTAAGCATATACATTTTCTCATAAAAATTTCACATAAAATACGAGTTGTGCAACGAAAATTACTGAAAGAAACTCCTAATTCAGATGCATTAATGGATACATTTTTATGCATGAATTCAAACTTCCCACTCATTATCAAAATCACCGGTTTCTTGATTTTGATCGTACACTGAAGTTTACTGTTACACAACTTTAAACAAGGATAAATAACATTTTTAAAAGGCATTCACAAAGAAAGAAGAAAAACCAACGAGTAAGTTGTATGATTGGTTTCAAAAAATGTTATTTATCCTCGTTTAAAGTTGCGTTCATGGTGCCGAGAAAGTTTCAGCAAAATGCATTGAGCAACAACAAAGTTTCCTGTAACAGTCTCTGCAGAGTGAAAATATAGCAATCTCAATATTGGCACTTTGCTTTGGCTTAGCTGTTTGTGTTTTTTTTTTTTTTTTTTTTTTTTTTTTTTTTTTTTTTTTTTTTTTTTGAAGTTTTTGGAATGCATCCAGTCAAAAATAACAAAGTAGCAAAGGCTACAATGCAGAATGAAGAGAGACTAAAAAGAAATTTTGCACTGTAATGATAAATCCAAATTTCACACATGAGTGACGTAACAATTTCCACCAAACCCTTAGCAGTGTATGTTCTCATCATATTTATCAATTTGTGGTGAACAAGGGAAGAGAAGATATCGCAGAGTCTGAGTGCAATCTAAAGTGATAATCAGAGGCAATATACAAGGAAAAATTCATACCTCCATGAATGAATGACACGAGAGAACAAAATAACTGCTTTGGATTTCTTTGAAACAATTCATAACCTCGGATAAGTCATCACATTTCAACAGCGAGGAACGGAATTCTATGATGAGGGTAAGGCCTACTCTGAACAATATTTTGCTTCCTTCGCAGAAAAGACAGTCCCATATCCTCAGCACTGTCTGAAAAATAATATAGACATGTCATGATCACAATTCAAAATGAAGAAATGTAAATAAAAAGAAAACTATTTCTTCAGAATGAAACAAATTATGATATTCAACTAGTGACGGTAGGCTTCTATAGTAGCTCTATTCAAGATTGTATGCTATACAATCTCTCAGATGTCTTTCACCAAACCTTTAAAACACCTTTCGGAAGTTTCTTGACGACCAAGCCCAGTTTTTGAAGGTATTTATTCAAAATAAGTTTATTTTCAGGAGAAAAATATGGTAGATAACCTTTTTTTCTATGCATAAATACATTATTGTCATAATACACTACATTCTATTGGGGGTTTTTCAACACAAGTATAACGACAATGTAAGTCAGCAATCACATAACTCGGTTTACGACGTCACAGACTTTCTGCCATACTTTAATTTTTTCAACGGAAAACTACCCAATGGCAATTCTTTAAAACTGCCATGATTTTTCTTCTCTGTGCGAAGAAAATTCTGCAAAAACTTCGAGGAATGATGTCAATTTGTTCTCCTTTGAAAAATAACATAGAGGCGGAGGTTTTCAGACACCGTGAACGAGATATGTGATTGCGAACTTACGCCGTTGATAAATAACAAATTAAAGAAAGCAATGATGCTATCTGCACTATATTCCTAGTTTTGACGCGAGTACAAATCAGTTCTACTTAGTTCAGTTCAGTCAAAACAAAAAAATCAGAGAGTATTTTTCAAATAATTTTAGGTATTGACCAAATTGGAGCAATGTTTTACAGTAATTATTGATTGGTCTGAACTATAAGGGTCTTCCAATGAGTAAATTATGCTATTTTTTTTTTCTTCACAAACATTACAGAAGAGCAAAACTGTATAGAGTCATATACTGGTTATATTTTCAGCTTTAAGATGAGCTTTAGTTCCTTGAATTTGACCCAAAGGCCACTAAAATATTAAACTTCTACCCATTTTCTTTCCTCGCAGGTCCGATTTTTCTACAGCTGAATGAACCCGTGAGAAGTACCTGCCAATGGAAACAAGGCAAAAGTGGTCTTATGAGTCGCAAATTAATGGGAATTGTCTTCTGAGATGCTACAAGAGTAGTGTTGGTCAATTGTTTATCGCGTAGTAAGATCATAAACTAGAGGCAATATTGCGAAAGTCTCAATAAGTTCCAAACCCAGGTACAGAGAAAACGGATCAGGAACTATTCTTCATCAAACATTTTCATCTTTCGTCTTGTCTCAAATCAGATCCTGGTAGTAACTACCTTTGTGGCGATGAGAGGGTTAGCTGTTATTGGATAATCTCATTGCACTGGACAATGTCCTAACAAAACTTGTCAATTCAGAGGTTTATTTTCTGTTTCAGTAAAAGTGCACCTTTGAATACATGAGTACATACTGCAACTCTAAGCTGGACATATAAAAAATGCAGACAAGAAAAACAAGGAGAATATGTTACCTCGGTTGGTAATACTTCAGCGTAACAACAAACAAACCACTTTGTAGCAATCAAAGCCCAATGAAATTCTTTTGATTCTAAATGTTTATGTACGTCTGGGAGTTTTACTCTGAAAAAAAATAACAAAAACAAGAACAAATTGAATTTTTCCATTAATTTTTCTGTAGCAGAGAAACTTTTTAGAATAAGAACATGCAGGATTGAAGCTATTAGTTAGGGTTTTCTGGAACCAACTCTTTAGTGAAGTGATTTCAAAGAAAGGACTACTTACGGAGCACTAAGAAATTTGGTGTTAGTTAAACTTTGAGATTTTTTGATATGATGTGCCTTGCAATCTCCTGAGTAAGATGAGCTTTTAAAATCGAACTTCCTGTGTGCCAATCTCGCAAAAAACAGGTCTGAAAAGCGCAAATTTTGGCAATTTAACATGTTTTACCCCACAGAGAAGTGGCACCATTTCTGAGTCGGAGATGTAGAGCCTTTTATTTTGAAAGGAGTTGGAGTTTTGGTCGGAGTTGAAAGGGGAAAAAGAAGAAGACCTCTCATATATTTGCCCTCCATTAATTTTCAAACTTACGCTGCACTTATGATAATAATTTTGATTTTGATTAAAAATTTAGATTACGATTGGAATTAGCACAATTTTTTTTTACTCCTCAAATTTTTTATAAAGACTGAGTTTGCTGTTACCTGACAAGCTCAGCTAGAACTTCGATATCGACTAGTACTCCTATCATGGAAGGAGAAAAATAATCCGGAAGTATATTTTCAACTAATGCTTTTAAAAGCCAAAACGAGGTCTGATCACTGGTGGTTATTAATATGAGTATTCCAGCAACATAGTTTAAACCCTGAAACAGAGAAATTTCAATTTTACTGAAGGGACCATTACATACAACATCCAATTCTTGAATAAAATCTACTTGTCGATCAAAAGGTTAAAATAGGATAGGAGACAAATAGGAGAGCCCAGGACAAGACATTTCCCAGGAGTTGGAGTTGGCTCAAAATCATAATACTCTAAGTGGCTACCTGGATACAAACCCCTTTTATTTATCTCTCTATGGGCTATCATTGTTCCAAAGACAAATGAACATTTATCTGTTTGGACGGTAACAAATTCTTAACAACTAGAAGGCTACGCTCCCTGCCCCCTTGGTGGTCCAACCCTCCAGCGTCCAGACGCTTTGTGTCTTGGGCCTTATCATTTTATATTTTGGAGTAATGATACATTGTAAAGCAGGATATCCAATTAACTGACTCCATGAGCAGCAAACTATAAGGGAACCTTTCATAGTTTCTCTCAAATTCGTTCTGTTTTCTTAAAAAGAAGAAAAAAAAAACAAACAGGTTCTGAAGATATAAAAATACACTTACTCTTTAGATAGCCTTCGTACTATCAATTTTTGTCACTGTAAGTTTTTAAATGCTGAAAAAGTGTGCGGTTACATTGTTTCCTGAAGAATTTTCATATTTTCTTATGGCAGTTTGGGATAAAAAGAACAGTGCTTCGACATTCATATAACACACGGACGGTATTTCTTAGAGCCCCTTTATACTGAGAGTCAAGACAATGTGAATCCGTTTCTGATTGGTTACATTATTTTAGGCCTCCACAGTGTCACAAACGGGAATAAAGATTACATTTTCACCAATTGCAAAGATTATAATCTGGAATGGACCGAGGAATTACAGGTTCGCCAAGGAACAAACGGAATGAGAGAAGGAAAGGAGATAGGAATTTGAAAATGGGCCGATCAAAGATTACGAAAAACGTTTAATTTGTGTAATCTTTATTCCTGTGTGTGACTCCATGAGGGGGTGTTGTCTAGACTCTCAGCATAAAGGGACTCTAGTATTTCTCAGCAAAAAAGCTTGCAGGAATTTTTTTTTTCTTAAGAAGAAGATGGAATATCAAAATGATTAAGAATTATATTTACCTGACAGTAACCAACAGCGGTGTTTTGATTTGCAAATGCCACTAAAATATTGTAAAGTTGACTTTGATGGTGACCTGGAGCGCTGAAATAGATGTTGTTCGGGAATGTCCGAGAAAGATCTAACTGAATTGAATCAACGACATCTGTATCTTGGATTCTGCTGAGAAGGGAGGGAAAATAATCGCTATTCTCTCTGGATTTGAGAGCATTGGCACCGCTTAATTCCATTAAAACCTGGTGAAGAAAAGAGACTTGTGAGACTGGAAACAGTCAAAGTAGATTAAATGTTTTCAAAGAGATTCAAAATATTTGATGCAGGAACTGAAATATGTAGGTCTTTTGATGCCAATAAAAGAATAGGCATTGAATTTTTAAGTGGGGGCTTAACCACACTGCTTAGAAGAAAAAAAAGAAAAAAATTCTAATCAGCTTTCACAGATACCTGCTGTTCCGCTATCCAAACATTAATTCCATAGTGTTAAATGTACCCTGCTCAATTTCCATCAGTGTTGAACAGAACGAAGCAAAATAATATTTTCATTCCCAAATAAGTAATTCAAAAGTTTTTTAGAAATAAATCTATGCAAAATTATACTGTTATCGATGGTGAAACTCCAAAACCATGTATCTGAGTTAGGGACGTTACAAACTTCCCGTCATAATTTATTTATTAAATCAAAAACTTTACAAGGTTAATTTCTTGAAAATTCCGTGATTTTTTTTTCTTCGTGCAAGGAAAATTCTAAGAAAACTTTAAGGAATGATGTTAATTTATTCTTCTTCAAAAAATAAAATGGAGATGGGAGATTTTAAAATACCACAAACGAGATATTTAGTACCTGGGAGTTTTATAGTCGATATGCCTTTTTTCCGTGAAGCACATAATACTGACAAGTTTTCTGGATGGTTAAACAGATACTTTCTGATAGACTATTAAAATACTACAATTTATGTTGGTGCTCAGATTTTTAATTTAAGTAGGTATGTCTTTACGAACTTGTATCACCTAAATTGGATTACATTTTGAAATAAGGAGCCACTATCTCTGGCTCTTCCAAGAAAGCACCGTCATGTATGGAAAAACCAATGGCATACATGTTGTTTTTAAAATGAGCCTGGAATAGTGGTTCCTTATTGCAAAATGCAGTCCAATTGACATTTGTTTACTTATGAAAGATTTGCGCAGCAGATTAATTTAGAAGTCTACTCGTGGTGGCATCAAGGCATCTTGGTCTATCCTTGATTAGTATTTGGAAATGCTGAGGAAAAGCCCTGTATGAACATTCGAGAGTTGCCAAAATTCCCCTGATAGAATGTTAATTTTTTGGGAGAGTTAAGAATATTTTCACTTGATATTTTTAGATCAATTAGGTCCAATTGTAGATACAAGTTTCTGCAAAATAGGAGGAAAAATATTCACAGGTTTCCCTGAAAATCCATATTTTATCAAAGAAAACTTGGCAACGTCTGATTACTCATACGGCGTTTTCACTTAAGGCGGCATTAATGAACAGTACCAGCGCAATTGCTTGTAAACAGACAAAAGTCAACTTGTCTGATGCATGCTTTAGCGGATATTTAGCCAGTATGGATCTCGGATACATACTTGAGGCCTGAATTCGGTAGGAATTCCTTTACGAATAAATCTTTTTAATTTTCGGTTGAGGACGAGAGGTCTATCTCTTTTCTTAGTCATTAACTCAGTCCATTTTTTATTCCGCCTTGCTAGGATTGGCAAATATTCCTCCATAAACTTTTCATACTTCTGTGGCTCAAAATTTTCATCTCTCTTGAATCCATATTCATCAACATCACTGAAACAGAACAGGAATATTAACCACCAAATACTAATTAAAACAAGAAGGAAGAATTGGTTGAGAAATGGAGAAATTACTTGTAAGCTTGAATCTTCAGATAGAAAATCAGATATTACAGGGTGTACAGGTATCAACGATTATTGCTTCCACAGGTTTCAGAATTGGTAGATAATTTCACCTGGCCACGTCATTATCTATTGGTCAAGGTGCCTGGGAAAATTTTCTTCCCCTTCTCCTTGACTTTCCAGGTTTTTCCTGACCCTTGAATTTTCCATCTCCTCGATAGTCCCTGACTCTCCTGAATCTTTCTTTCAAAATCAAATTAAACACAAAAATAAAAATAATTCAGCGCAAAGTAATGGTACAAACTTATAGGGTGCTTGATTTCAGAGGGAAAACTTCCCTACATCTGGGGAGAGATCGGTGCAGGGCTTAGAACGGAGAACTTAGGGAAAAATCATACTCCTCCCCAGGAGTTCGCAACTCTCCCGGCAGTCACTCATTTCTTGATAAACGCGAGGTGGTATGACATCCTATATAGTCATACCTTTAAAATTTCTTTACGATCAACTCAAGTGAATAGTATGATTCAATTCCGCCATCTGCTAGGTAAAATCTTGTTGGATGAACAGGAATTCTGTGAGAAAAAAGCCCTATGGACTCTCTTGTCGATATATCTAACCACACTGGATACCAATACTGATGCTGATACTAAAAGCAATTTTTGATTGTAAAAGGCAGCAAGATGGCAAAAGCAGCTCAAGAAACGTTGACTGAAGCAGGAACAGGAAGTATACTTATTCTTGTGGAGATTCAATATGTGATAAATCTCATTCAGAAATTCGGTATATTAATTATATCGCAACGTTTTAATTAAAATTTATAATTAACCACAACCTGACCGAAAAAAAAGACGATGAATAGTTTGGGAGGAGGACGATCGGTAGGACGGCACAGCAAGCTTACATACCTGAACTTGGATATAGCCATTTGATCATTTACGTATGAAGCAGTTGCAACAACTAATGTATTATTTTACATTCAGATGAGAATAGTTAGTTGAGGTTTCACTTGGTTTGCAATTGAAATAAAATGAATAAGTGAACTGGGGAGTGACTCACACATTCTAATCACTTGCAAAATCTTAAAAATATGGATGTAAACAAAAACTTAACCTAATTTTTTGTGTACATTTTTTATCGTGCGCAGCCATTTGCAGCCAACACAGTAAAGAGTCATGATTGGTTAGATGTGTTGGCGCTCAAATCAGCGCAAAAATGCAACAACCAATGGTCGGGCTCACATTTGGCGCGTTTATATGGCGGCATTTTATGAATATTGCCCCATTTGACCGTTTTCCCGTCATTCCCGAAATTCTATTGCTGTACGATAAAATGATCACAGCATCACAAAAATCGCTCTAAAACAAGATATTTAATTTTTTTCTAGAATCCACGCCGCATTTAATCACACCCATCTCTGCACAATGGGGTGGAAAACTCACTGTCTTGAATTTCTGATATACTTTCAATGCAAATATTAAGAAAGAAAACCGCGATCTCTTGTCACACTTTTACTGAGACTGCCCTTGAAATTTCGAAAAGTGTTTAAAATTTCATTAGAAATTAGCCTGAGATCGCAATTTTTTTTTAAATTTTACGGGGGACTTTCTTGAAATTTCATCGCGAAATTCCTAATTTATTATGAAATTTTCTATCTCAGATTGTAAACTAAAAATGTCATCGATCTGTATATCGGGTTGGCTTCAACATGCTACATCATGTAACGGAGATACTGCGTGCAACAGAGGTTTGTTTGATTTAATTTTTCTTCGTATAACATCTCACGAGAAACACGATAGTGCCTTAATTCTTGAGGGAAATCAATTTTCAGTTTCCTCCCCTTTGGAGTTTGGTTCCTGCATTTCTCGACTTCTCTGAGGAAAATATATTCCGCTTTTTCCGAACCATTCCGAATCTTTTCGAAACTGCGGCTATGGAAGAAGTATCATAAAAAAAAAAAAAAAAAAAAAAAAAAAAAAAAAAAAAAAAAAAAACACCACATCGTATGGACAGAGGCGTTATTATTTTACGGTACGATTTGTAAAATTATAGTGTTTTTATCCCCTCGAGAATGACATGGTGACATGACCACGAGTATCTGTATTTATTTATTTTTTTATAATAAATAAAACACGGTATAAATAAACAACGGTTTATTTTAGAATTGTCTGCAAATTTTCCTAAATTATTTCAAGGATATTCACTAAACATTTCCAAGCGATATTCCGGTTAGTTCGTCTTTATTTTCAATGGCAAAAAATTATGCACGGTTCTAGATTCTGAAAGTTTCAATTCAGATCGACGGCGTAGGTCCGCAATCACATATATCGTTTGCGGTGTGTGGAAAATCTCCGCCTCTATGTTATTTTTTTAAAGGAGAACGTATTGAAATCCTCCCTTGAGGTTTTGCATACTTTTCCTCGCACAGAGAAGAAAAATCACGACAGATTTAAGGAATTGCCGTTGAGTAGTTTTCGTTTAAAAAATAGAGTATGACAGGAAGTCTGCGACGTCTCGAACCGAGTTATGTGATTGCCGACTTACACCGTCGATATATGTTTTCTCTGATAAAAACGGGGAGAAAACGCGAGTTGAGAATTTTGAGTTTTTTTTTTTTTTTTTCTAGCGTAGGTGCCCTCTTAACGTCGCCTAACCCAGCGCAGCTTGGCAGCGAAGTTCGATTTCAAGGTATACCGCAAGAGAGCATTTTAGGCCACCACCGCCAGCTTGGATTTTCGAATTTTGAAAGTTCGAGTTGAAATTCAAGTTTCCCGGCAAAAAATACTTCCTGCCACCAAGTTTCAAAAAAATCGATCGAACAGGAGGCAAGATAGCACTTTAGGGTACATCCGCCATGTTAAAAAAAAATCCGCCATTTTAATTTTGAAAATTTAAGTTTAAATTCCAGTTCCCCGTCAGAGCACCATGTTTCACAAAAATTGATCGAAAAGGATTCGCACATCGTGGGAGCAGTTGTAAGTGGTAAACGAAACCGGGTACTTTACATAAATACGTTACTGTGCAATACGTTTGTGGCGGAATAGTTGCTCAGAGCGCCTTCATCGGTATCACTCCGACTTGATGGCAGAGGATGACGATTACCGATGAAATTGCACTCTACCACGTTCGAAATTGCACATTTTTTCATTACCAACGATGTCGTTAGATATGCCCATACCTCAATTTGCGACGTTGCAAGTTTTTCACTGCCTATTTAATGGGAGTAAACCAAGAACACTGTAAAATCTGAAGTGATTTTTCGAGGTAAGATGAAAAATATTATTTGAATGCTTCATAAAGTCTGGTTGTATGTTTTTTTTTTGCAGGTTTGCAAAATCCTCTCAAAAATAATTTTTCTTACACAAAAAGACAGAATTTCGCTGAGTTTTCCGCAGCTAATCCCGGAAAAATCTGTGAAGTTTTTGGTGAAAAGTGTCTTATAATTTCCGAACACAAGTACAAATTTTGACCTGAAATTTGGCAACTTTGAGATGGAGTCATGTTTCCTCGTCAGGAATCGACAAGTTTTTCGCGGTTTTCCAACAATCGCCGATGTTGGAGATACGTAGCAATGGCTCCACCGATATCAGTAGAGGTTCAAGAACTAGATCTAACTGATATCAGCAGAATTCATTACATGTTCGCTACCAATTTTGGACCAAGGTTGACAGATATGTAGAAATGAGAGGAAAAATCACGGAAGTTTATAAAAAGTGACGTGGAATAGTTATCCATATAAAAGATGAAGTACGACAAGAGGTCTGCAATATCTCAAACCAAGATACGTTGTTTGGTAGTTACACCGTCGATGTATCAGAGTTCTTAAATTCGCACCATGTCTACTGATCCATTGATTGGAAACTGTTCACGACCAGCGTTCGAAACTCACCTTTGAGTTTTAGGAGCCATGAGGCGCATCAAGCTCGATTTTTAGGCGCCATTGAAGATTTTTTAGGGACCAAATTGACTTTTTGCCTATATATTACGGCGCATTTAGTGTAAAGTTAGACGCAAGATGTTTTCGTAACAGAACTAGTAAGTAGCTGTAACTTGGGGAAGACAAAAGCACTAAGAATGAAATCGTGAAGAATAGAAAAAGCAAGCTTTCGCTTGTAGTGCTGCAAATTCTGAGTTTTTTCAATTCAAATAATTTTGTTTTTCTTTTTTTATATGTGACTTCCTGTAGAAATCCAGATTTTTAGGGGCCACGTTGGCGCAGAGCCTTCAATTTTTAAGCGCCGTAGCCGATTTTTTAGGCGCATTTGGCGCGTTGGCGCCTGTGACTTCCGAACACTGTTCACGACGGAGAACCCCCAAACCTTGTTGTCTCGGTGTTTATTTGCAACATCTTGCGGATGAATGCAAGCATTTATGTTTACTGTCGAGGTACTCGAAGCTCACTGCTGACGGCGGCGGAGTGCCCGCGCAATTTTCTCGGCTGGGAAACGCGCTGAGAGGCGATTTCCGGCCGAAACTCGCGGCTCGCGCGTCGCGACGTGTCGTTTTCCTCGCTTCCTGGACCATTTTGACAAGACGTCGCGACGTCTCGGCGCAATTAGACGCTTCTGCTCGGCCTCAAGCTCACGGAATTCGCACTCGAGACTCCTCCGACTCCATTCGCTAAATTTCCGGCGCGATTCGGCAAGATCGTCTCGAGGAAGTCCGCGTTTGGGCGGCTCACACACTTGACGGCGCACAGTTGATCGAGTCAATTGGAGAGGTCGGACATGAAATCGTTGAGTGAAACAACAAATATCTATGTTTATTTCGTCACATTGTAAAATTCTGGGGGTGCACATCGTCGTCTCCCGGACGAAAGAACGTAACTCCATTCCAAAGGTTGTCAAATTGACTCAAACAATCAATTTGTTTACAAGGGTACATGGACTTTATGTCCACTTTTTTTACGTCTACAGTCTTTTCGCCCACGATTTTTACGTCAACAGTTCTAAAGCCCACACTATTGTCAAGTCCATTACTTAAACGTCCACTAAGTTAAGTCCACAAATGTAAAGTCCACTGCAATCAAATTCAAGCGTCATATTTTAGTCCGTGTGTAAAATTATATTGACATTGACCAAAACTAAGAAGCACGCAATTTTTTGTTTTTAACTTATTTGTACATCGACCTTCTTGAGTCAAATACGTCCAATTTTGAGCGTTTAGTTGCGCTTAAACCACGCTGCAGCACAGTAAAAGCCCAAAACCAAAAGAATAAATTTGAATGCTTTGGAGATCATTAAATTTGACACGGAACGACTATTATATTTACAAAAAACACATTATATTTTCCAGTAGTACATATTTCTTTTTCATCAGTTTAAAGGGGAATAATCAATGCAGAGAGTGCAAACATTTCAAAATCATGAGTTGAAAAACGCTGACTCCGCGAGTTTAAATATTAGAGCCTAACACAGAGCGGAGCGGCGTGTTAGCTGCGCAGAACGCGCACTGGCTCCTACAAACCTAACGGGATACTTCACGCATTGCGCAACGCGTGAAGTATCCCGTTAGGTTTGTAGGCGCCTATGCGCGTGTCACGCTGGTTTCCTGCCGCGCCGCAACGCTTTAAGCAACTATTTCGCGTCAGAGGCGTTGCACAGTATCCCACAAGATTGAAGGCGCACACGAAATAACTAGCGCACGAAATAATTAGTTAAAGAGGACTTTCAATTTTGACTGCATCTGTTACTGAAAAATGTTTTATTTGTCATTGGAGCGTTTCCTAGGCTCCCGCTTTGGTTTTCATCTTATTATATCCGCACAGTGTACACATGAACATATGTTTTAATCTGCTCTTGGAGTCTGTTCTCTTTCATGACTTGATTCATGAATGAAATGTTTTTAAGAATGAAGGAACTCTTCACCTCTAAAATCTAAATTTTCGTATATACTTCCATTTTCAAAATTATCTGTAAAGACGTTAATAGCCTGTGAAGTTGAACGTCTTAAAATATACTAACTAGGTATGCATTTATTTTTGAGGTGGTTCCTGTCATTTAAATGAGAAGAAAAAAATGTGGACATAACATGTCCACAATTTGGACAATTTTGGACATATTCATGGTTGGACATTAAATCATGTGGACTTAATAAAGACTGGACTTA